AACATTTCCAGAAACGTTTGTAAAGTATCTATTTAGAGTTCATCAGTTTTTTCATTTCAAATATCAATTGCTTTGTATGCAACATTTTCTACTAAATGCATGATAGACTGCAATTTCTTTAGCCAAATATCTGATGCATATTGGATAAAATTTCTTGCAAATTCTGATGCATTTTGGGTAATGTGTGTTTTTGACACATAATTATATGATAAACTACTTTGGTTAAATTTCTTACAAAATTTTCATGCATGTTGGATTAACCTTTCTACATAATCCTTAACTGATCTGATGTACTTTAGGTATTCTACCAAAGTTTGATACAGTGAGTTTGACTTTTATGCTTTAGTAAAACAGGAATATTTAATTTGTAATCAATATTAAAAAAGTCACATTTTAGAAATATAATAAAAAGTTTTCTGCATGTTGTAAAATAATATCAGCTCTTTTTGTTATTTGAATTAAAATTGCTTTTTAATGAAAAATGGGTAAATAGCACCTAAAAATACATAATTTGATAAACTGGGTTAAAGAAAAACTAAACTAGAAAGAAATTTAGAAAAAAATCATATAGTGTATTCTGAATTTTATCAAATTTTTAACACAAATGATAATATATTATACCTTCCTTCAAAAATGATGACTATAGATAACGGGTAAAACAATTCATGTCTATACATATTCAATATTTGATATTTGTGCATTCTTGATGGGGATCGCGTAGATAAGATGACATGGTCAATGTTAGGTTTTAGGATGATCTCTGAATATTTGAGTAACTGTCATTACACGGTACAAATAGTATTAGGGTCGCCATATCCATATATTATAGTCCAGCTAGTTAACAACTCAGATTTGTTAAGACAAGCTGTAGAATAACAAGTGCTAGCTGGTTTCGGATTTCAGTTTTTTTTGGTGTTACTTAGGTGAAGTTTGAACTAAAATCATGTTTGTGAGGTTGATTAAACCTTCTTGTTCAGGTAAAATTCAATTTATTCTTTTTCTGTCGTGCCTTTTTGTTTTATTTCCTTTGACTTTATTTTTAGATTTTTTTTACTTGTGAAAAATGTATATAAAATGTCAAGTTTAATTTCATACAATATTTGAAGAGACAAATAAATTTAAAGGAAATAGATTGATGAGTTATTGTTTAAATTTAGATTTATAACTTTATTGGTTGTAGAAAATAAATTTGTTTGCTTTGAGAACACACTTATAGTACTACAAAATTTATGTGTATATTGAAAGGAAATATTTTCTATAAGTTACACAATGTAGGGTTTATTTGTGGGTCTTTTGAAATATAGATGAGCCAGCATTTTTATGTTGACCTGTTCAAATGATAAAAGTGGCTATGACTTGGAATTTGATTATTTTAAAAAAGTTAAGCACTGTTTTTAGTTGATAAGGATAGTTATTACTATATGCATTGACTGTACTATATTTGTACAAAAATTTCAAGATTACATTTTGCTAGATTTTAATTCTGCCAAATGTTTTTTGAATTGTTGACTTAAGTAGGACTGAGTTTGGACCTGTTTTCTTGCTATTTCTGCTGTTTCCAGGTTTGATTGTTAGTGTTAGTTTGACAGATCAAATCTATAATAGAATAGTATGTAGATTACAGATGTATGTGTGCTTTCTTTTGTTTCTGATTTTCATAGTAATATGAATATAAATCTTTCAAGAATTGCAGTATCTGATTTATGAAGTTGAGTTGACTATGGGGTTTTGTTTGTTCTTTTGGAGACATGTAATTTCTATGAGAGAATGTTTTAAAAATTTGCCTAATTTTTGCAATGGAGATTGTGACCAGATTTATGAGGATTTTGAGACTAGGTGTAATTTGTAGTGGAGAGGGTTTTATCTCATCATAAAAATTAAGGATGAGATTCAACTCCTCCAACTGCAGGCGTTCACCTAATAACTACTAACCTCAACTAACCTGACTAACTGTTGGAATAACTACACTAACCAAAGATCAATCTGTGGATACTGGATACTGTGAGTAACAGATTAACTAACTCTACTCAGATTGCAACTGTAAGTAAGCTAATATCATAACCAAGGATTTGTATAGACTATATCACTATACAAATCCTTGTCATAACTAACAAAAAGTACTTCTGAATAGTATCTGAAAAGTTCTTATCATACAATTTGTTTTGATGTATACTATTTTTTGGCCTAATGAAATGATCAGAATGGCTGTATTAAGTGCACCTTGTGCAAGGTCAATTATATTTAACCATATCAGTTGCAGTCCATATAAAATCATGGTTAAAATGCCATATTTTGTATAGCTTCAGCAAGTTGGATGCATATTTAGAATTTACTCATGAAAGATTCTGTTCTATTTACATTTTCAGAAACATATCTTAGGCAGTTTATGTCTTCTGAAAACCAGCAACCTAAGACAACTTTATAAAATAATTGCCCCTTTATACACATGTTAAAATTACAGGCATTACTCACAAACTAGTGTGTGGGAAATCTATGATAAAAAGATTATGAAACCATTTTCCATGTCAGTTGTGATATAATCCTCAAGAATTATCTTATGACCTGATATGTGGTCAAGGGATGACATTGAGACTTATAGGCAATATCATGTGTAATTATACTGTACCAGAAGAAAAAGAGATATGCTTGAACTTAAAATATGATTTTTTTAATGAAGTAATCTTTCAATATACATATGCATTTATGTAAATTAGCATTTTAATGTATTCTTATTTACATATAGCACTAGTCAATATGAAGAAGAATGTCATGCATGGTTTACAGAAGAATAGTGCACATGTGTTTCTTAATTGAATATGAGACAAGAATTTGTCATGATCTCATGTATAATATGCAATCTGAGAATTTGTCATGATCTTATATAAATATGCAATCTGAGAATTTGTCATGATCTTATTTAAAATGTGCAATCTGAGAATTTGTCATCTGTTATAAAATATTGGAGGAATGCATAGATATAGCACATTTTCACAGGAATAATTATTTTTATCTAATTAATTTCTTTTACTATTGTGTAAAACCTTGAAAATTTTTGTTTAAATTTTACTCAAATTTTTTTGCTTTTATTGTAAAGTTTTCTCTGATAAGAACTATGACATTTACTTTCAAACCATGCCTATTCACACCATAGCAGAAGGTTTGAAAATTACAAAAGTTATTTATTCAACCATGTCAGTCCTGAGTAAAATTGCATATACTGTTCAGTACTTTAATGGTAGGTTTTATATGATATGATCTCTTGATATTTGTGATCATATATGCTTTGTCACACCAGGCTAGACTGATAGAAAGTTGATATATTCAGCTATATCTATAAAATAGAGATGTCCACACAGACATTCAGTTTAGAATTAGACACCTAGATGCATGGCCAGATATCTGTCAGCACAAAGGGGCCATACATCACTAAACAATCATGCACACGCATAATTTTGGATAAATATTGTAAAAAAAGACTTAAATAAAATTATGGGCAGATTTTAATTTGCACCAAGAAAATTACTGGGCATAATCTAAAGGATTTAGGCATACCCCGGTAATTTGCCTTCAAGAAATGATGTGCAGTTGTGATAATTATGAATATAAATGTGAACAGATAAAATGTCTGTATCCACACACAGGGTCATTAGACATTAACCTTTAGACACATCGTCTCATATTGTTTTAGGCTATCTGTTTAATCATGGGACGAGAACAAACTGGTCCCGTTGCCTGGGAAAGTTGGTCTTGTGATTAACGAGTGTTTAAACAGTACTTGATGTCAGCCATTTTGTAGCGTAAGACACCTCTCTGTGGATGGCTCTCCTATCTGTTCACAGATAAAATTAACTAACAACTCATATATTTACTTCTTATCTGTTAAAGTTCATCATAATTTAATCTTAGGTTCTCTTTTAATATTCAATATATAAATATAGTTTAAAATTCATAGGTTTTTATGTTCAAATAATATTTTCTGAATTTTTGTTTGATAAAATTAAGTGTGTTATATAAACAGATTATAAATCTTGTAATGATGTCAGATTTTTTTAGGAGTACAGTTATATATAGGATTTTGCAGACATTTAAAAACTTATTAGCTATTGAATTTAAAATTTCATTCCGTTTTACCTAAGATTTGACTGAGTTCTAGCTGCCTATGCAAGTGATTTTTCATTTGAGCAGCAAAAAATTGTTCAGCTTGCAGAAGAATAATTTATCTCTGACATATGTGCATGGTTTATGCTATGTAAAATGTGTGCATGCATTTGTGTATGTTTTGTGTTGGATGGGATCATGATTGGTTTATGTTAACACCAGCTAAATCTGTGCTGACTGTAACTTTATAAGGTCTTCTAAATACCACCATTTTTATTTTGACAACATTGTAAATATTTGTCATGAGTTGTATTTTCTGGGACAGAAAAAAAACCAGAAACAATTTTTGCATTTAGTTTTACAAGAAATTCAACATTTTTTATATTTTACAGAAACAATGAAAGTGCAGTAGTAGGGCCAATCTCAAAAACTGCAATAGAAATGAAAAAAGTGGTGGGATTCTGTTTAAGAATTTGTAGCAGGAACTAATAATCTGTACCTTATAGATCTTGTGACAGAATTAAGCACACAAATAATCTTGAACTTATTTGTCTTATAACAGCATTAAGCAGCGCAAAAATTTTCATTTTGTGAAGAAAAATCAGGATGCAAAATAATCTATAACTTATTCTTCTTGTGACAGAATTAAGCTGTATTGATCAACCCCCAAATAAATGACCAGAAAAAAGCCAATTTTTTCATACATTTTTGTAAAATTCAATTTTCCTAGGATTGATGTTTGATCCTCTGCCATTAGAGGAAGACCCAATAATACTGTAATTTATATAAATATAAGATAAGAGAAGTATATTGTGACATATTTAAGTATTTAAATATAATAGTAGACTCTTCACAGTTTAGCATTGCTAAATCACTTAGAAACGCTACATTGTCTATTTTAGTTTTTTCCAGTTGACCAAGAATGTATATCATGTATGGTGACCTTTGAACACTTAGTATGGGTGTGTGAAAATAATGCTGTTTTTCCATCAGAAGATTTTTTCTGGCTGTACAGTGGAAGGTAAATATTGTATCCCTCTATGAACTTACAGTACAGTCTGATAATGTACATGTTGCTAAAGGACAGAATTTGGTGGAGATCTAGAAAAATGTTTTTTTCAGATACAAGCTTTATACACTATTTTTGACAGCAAATTTTGTAATGATAGATTTATGTCATTGTTTTAAATCATATTTTTTTGTACGGTTCCGCTTTTTAGCAAAATTATATAATTTTTACATTCTATCCTGTCTCACAGGAAGTCTATCTTTATAGTATATGATGAAAAACAATTTCAATGTCATGGAATAAATTGAATTTATATAATAACAAGCATAGATATAAAAAAATTCAGAGCAATTAACAAATGAATGAATTCTGTATTTATAAATTGTAGTTTCTTTGGAGATGGACCTCCTGGCCAGTATGAAAACAAACAGCAAGAGAAGACAACTCCACCAAACATACACCAGATGCCATTCCCTTTTGATTTGTTGTCTCTGCTACCCAAAAGTCAGCAGGCAGAAATTTTATTCTCGACATATATGTTGTGTATGTTATATTTAAAAATTTGAATATCATAATTCCCTGGGTATTAAATCATTTCAATGTGTATCGAATTGATTTAAAGAAAAGGCAGACACAGTTATGGCGTTATAACTATTGCCTTTGTACATGTGAACCTTTATCATGGTAATGTGGTACAAATATATAGAACTTTAGAATTCTTTATCCAAAAGTGTCCAATCTCTATATGAACATTTTGAATAAATTTACCATATGAAATTTAAGCAAATTTCAGTTGAAAATTTACAAATCTCCTGTTTTTGGCGCAATAGCATGTCAAATGTTTGATAATAATAAGGTATTTATATGTGGTTTCTTTGCATACATCTTCCAAAATCATTTCTATATATTTTGAATATGATTTAGGAAATAGAGAGGTTAAAGTATTTAATAAAAACCTTTCCTCAGAATCGGTTGCTGTTTATCAGGCAGTTTAAATTTTTGCAAGGTGAACTGTCCCATTGAATAAATACAATAGCTATTGTTCTGTTGAGTTTGTGAACTTAACTTCTCCTTTAAAAACCAATCACTCATTGATTAATTTGGCTGTGCAAAAAATAAACTGCTAGTGATGAAAATACATATACCAATACTGAATAACAACATACAAACCTACATTTGATGTTTTATTTATTCAATATCAACAATTTTATTTCTGCAGTTTTACTAGTATGTTGTTTAGTGTGTTACAAGGTTGTATGAGGGAAATGTTGACACTCATTACTTTATTACTATAAAACTAAATAAACTAATATAATTTATTTGCAATGTGCACCACTTAAAACAGAATTGTCTACAGCTTCTTCTCGTAACTTTTTACAGTTTTATTTTTCTGTACTGACCAAATAAAATAAAAATTTCTCTTCAGTAGACTAATATTGAAATAAATTTGTAATTATTAGTATCTCTTGCTCTGACAATGTGTGTCATCATTCAGTATTTTAGTTTGAGAAGCTTTTTCCACTTTTCCAATATCATTGTCTCGCCTTGACGGAGTCAAAAATGTATTAGTTTGTGATAAGGTATAGTTTATGGTGAACCACAAGTGGTAGGTCAATCATATTTGATATGCAGTTGTATTAGCATTGGCACATCTCATTTCCATGGAGATTATTTGGCCCTGCCCCCTCAGTCATGGTCTATTGACTTTGAAACTTTTGCTTATTTTACATGTATTAGTTTGTGATTAGGTCAGTTTATGGGGAACCACTAGCGGTGGGTCAATGATATCTGGTATGCAGTTGTATAAGCATTGGCATGGAGATTATTTTGCTCCGCCCCCTTAGTCATGGTCTATTGACTTTGAAATTTTGCTTAGTTAACATGTATTAGTTTGTGATTAGGTCAGTTCCAGGGGAACCATTAGTGGTAGGCCAATGTTAATTGGTATTCAGTTGTTTAAGCATCAGTACATCTCATTTCCATGGAGAATATTTGGCCCTGCCCCCTCAGTCATGGTCTATCGACTTTGAAACTTTTGTTTAGTTTACATGTATTAGTTTGTGATTAGATCAGTTTAAGATGAACTGCTAATGTTAAGTCAATGATATTTGGTATGCAAATTTATTGGCATTTGCAAGTATCGTTTCAATGGAGATTATATAGCCCCACCCCCTCTTCATGGTTCATTGACTTTGAAACTTTTACATAGTTTACAAGTTAATGTTTGTGTTTAGGTTTGTTTAAAGGGAACGACTTATGATAAGTCAATGGTATTTGGAATGCAGTTGTATTAGCATTGGCACATCTCATTTACATGGATATTGTTTAGCCATGTACCTCAGTCATGGTTCATTGACTTTGAATATTTGCATAACTTATGTAACTTGTTAAAGTATTGCTTTTTTAATTTCAACATTTGCATAATCAAATTTACAAAAAGACGAGAAATATCTCTGTGATAACAGTTTTTATTTTACTGTTAAACTCTTAATTTGAATTAATCTGATTCATTGCAAATGATATTTCCTACAAATTGAAATTAAATTTTTCATATTTTGCATCTTGAATTGATGGCTGTTTTAGATGCTTAATTTTGAAGAGCCAGGCACATGATTAATTACTTTTTATTTTTAAACTTTTTCTAGACTTGGGGTGATATAGAGTTAGAAATATTCACAAAAACCAGTCTGTTGTTGAAGACTGTACATTGACCTCTTGATGTCTTTATGTAGTTGGGTTACTGTCTCATTGGCATGTACCCACGTCTCTTTTCATTCATATTTTATTGAAAATAGTCACTTACACACCATACTGGACACATCAATATATATTTCAGACCCTTGATTACCTTGGTTACTTAGAAATCTGAATGAACAAGTTAATTTTTTTCATTGCTATTTCATCCTTTGCCTGTTCCTAATTCCAGTCAAAGTGTGTTTTTATTTGATACTGAAAATAGCTTAATATTAATGAACAATCATAAGACTTTGTATTTAAATTGAAATATAAATTCAGTGTGGTCCTTGAAATGGACAAGTAACAGTTACCTTAAAGACAGCCTGAATAGTTAACCAATAATTAAAAGCAAAATACTAGCATTTGTGTAAGTCTTTCACAAGAAAAACTGTTACAGTAATCAAATTAATTGCCTAAGGAGAAGTAAAAAGATTATTAAACGTTTTAGTAAATTATTTATTGGTTGTAGTGATACACTTGTTGTTTCCAGTATTGATAGGTAAATGTATTTTATCATGAGATAATGCATATCACATGATATTATTTTGGGCAATTTTAAAAACAAAATGATGATAAATTTTAACAATAACTCAGTGGCAGAATTGAGGACTTATATCAAATCTCAACATATTGTTTCTACCAAACACAATAAAAGGAGCTTGTGCATTAAGTATGAAAAAGCATTGTTACAGCCATTTAAACAATTAAAACAGAATTTTGAAAACTGGGAGTCACAACTGTAATATCATGAAAATGTTATGGTCAATTATTAAAGAGTTAATTTATATAAAAGTAAGAAGATGTGGTATGATTGCCAATGAGACAACTCTTCACAATCCATTATTTCAATAATTTTTAGGTAGGTGCCTCAGTGTCCCAGTGGTCTAAGCAGATTATCTATAGTGATCACTAGCCTGTCAACACTAAGGTTTTGTGGCAGGTGCTTTTGACTACAATCTTAATTTCTGAATATTACCCGTTTTTCCTGCTGCAGGTCTGTGGTTTTCTCCAGGTTATCAAACTTCCTTTCCCAATAAAAATTGACAGCCACAATAAAACCAATGATTCTGAAAGTGGCATTAAACAGCAACAAACAAACAATCAATCAATAAATTATTTTTACTTGATTGATTGATTGATTGGTGTTTTAATGCTGGATAGAACCATCGACCTTCAGTAGGAAAACTGAAATTCTAGTCAATTAAGATTGGAGTCTAGCGCACCTACCATGTGAACTCACAATCTCAGTGTTGACAGGCTAGTGATACAGTAGTTCGACTACTTAGACCACTCGGCCACTGAGTCCCATATTTTCATTTGAATTATTAATGAATACCTGTAGGGTACAATTTTCAGCAATTAATATTTTTGGTTTTATAGGTATCTGTTCACCTGTCTGTATGTCTGGACTAACTAAGGCTATTATTTTATTTTCCAAAAAATTTAGGTTTTATATGTTTATGTTTGTGTGTCTGTTTGTCTGGACTAGCTTTTTCATGATTAATTTTGTCCAGACTGATTTTGTATTGACCAACTTTTTATTGCACCAACTTTGCCTGGACCAACTTTTTCTTTACAACTTTTGTGTGAAATAACTTTTTCTGGACTAAATTTGTTTGGACCAACTTTTTATGGACTAACTGCCTGTACCAACTTTTTCTGGACCAATTTTGTCTGTGCTAACTTTTGTCTGGACCAAATTTGTCCGGACTTACTTTGTCTGGACCTAATCTGTCTATACTGTAAGGGTTTTTATACGTCCGTTTACGGGACATATTATGGTATACCGTTGTCTGTCCGTCCGTCTGTCCGTTCGTTGTCAACATGTCGGACATTAACTCAAAAACGCTTTAACCAATTTGTATAAAACTTTGGTGAATTGTTTATATCTATTGACGTGAGCTCCATTTCGTTTTATATAAATTTTAGATTTTACGTTTCCGAGTTATGGGGTTTTATTCATTAAAAAAAGGGGGATTTTCCAGTTTTCGGACAATAACTTAAAAATGCATTCACCAACTTGCAAGAAATTGTGGTGAATTGTTTATATCTATTGACATGAGCTCCCTGGTCTAATACATTTTTGTAATAGATATGAATTTTGTGTTACACATCTGCTTTATGACTTTATTATTCCTACCAAAATAAGTTGTTGGTACTATAATTTCTCAGATACATCTGATTTAAGGTAGATTAACTGCATACAGCCATCTTGGATTGTAAACTTGCAGTACACAATGAGTCTATTTCTTTGCTTAAATTTGCATGTTTTGAGACAGATTGGCAATTAATGTGTAAGACTGTTTATTTACATGAGGAAAATAAGTGATTAATTGCATTATTTATACTGTTTTAACAAGTACTGAATATTTGTTTTGTTCTATTAATTTTTTCAACTTATGACATATAAGGGAAGATTTACTCTCATAGTAAAAATTTTATAAAAGAATTTTAATGAAATTTTCATTTTTTACTTGAAGTAAAAAAAACAAGTTTAGTGATATCACTTTTTATTTTTATTTTTTTTAAAGCATATTATAAAACCTATCTTCTCATATTTTATTGCAAAATTCTATCTCTTAGATTTCTTTTTATTTAGGGGCCTTGGTGAATGAGTTGTCTAAGTAGTCGAACTACTGTATCACTAGCCTGTCAACACTAGGGTTGTGAGTTCAAATCCTGCACATGGCAGGTGCACTTGACTCCAATCTTAATTGACTAGGATTGTCAGTTTTCCTACCGAAGGTCGTGGTTCTCTCCGGGCACTCCGGCTTCCTCCACCAATAAAAACTGACTACCATGAAATAGCACAATAGTGCTAGAAGTGGCGTTCAAAACCAATAAATCAATCAATCTTTTTATTCACACAAAAAAATGTTTTTTCATGAATAATCTATACAAAATTGGGCAATTTTAAACTTGTAGCCTGAAAAGTAGCATTGTGACCCATACTTTTATTATATATTTGAAAAAAGCAGGGTAAAATCTTCATTTTGGCAAAGTATAAGAAAATTATATATGAGGAAATATATTATGTTGAATCAACTTGAGCATAAGTTGCTAGGGTGCTTTACATTATGGAAACAATGAATATTAGAAATGATTGATGTCAGGTATACAAATTCCTTCACCTCTTAATATAAAAATAAGAAGTGTTATAATTGCAAATGAAACAACTTTCTACCTGAGACCAAATGAAGTAGAAGTTAGCAATTATAGGCCAATGTGCAGCTTTCAACAATTAACAAAACCTTTACTACATAGCAAGCTTTAAAAGGCCCCAATATGACAAATGCAAAAATAATTCAAACAAGAAAATTAACAGCATGATTTATGGTAAAAAAAAACTAACATCATAATAAATATAAATTCAGCAACAAATGACAACCACTGAATTTTTAAAGTACCAAATGACAATCACTTACAACACTGAATTAATAAAAGTCAACTTATTATTTAGAATGTCAATAAAATTAATTTGTCCAAAAATGTTAATGACTAGAATATTATTGCAAGTATTTTGGGGTTTATTTTGCCCTTGTTTCACTACTCTTCTTTCAAAAAGAGGGTTTTGATATCTGTTGTCTTTAATATATGCTTATTCAAGAATCAAGCCATCAAGTCTTAGATTTAAGCAGGCCCACATTGAGGCAAGTTAATTTGTTTATCAAATACGTATTATCCATCATTGATTAGATGATGGTAGTTGCAGCAAAGTGGACATTTACCGTTTGATTGATGAATTCATTTTAATTCCTACGTTCTGTAAATATAATTTAAGTTTACATAATTAATTTTAGTTACATTTTATTTGTAGCTTCAACAGATGAACAACCTACAAAAGGATCAAACAGTATTTTATTTCAATTATTATTGGACAAACTCTCTGAGACATTCGACAAAAAAGTGTCCTTATCTAAAACAGACTGTAAAAGGTTCCTAGAATTGCTAAAAAAACGTTCTAGAGATGATTTGGAACATCCTCTGCCTTTTTCTATCGATAAAATTCTCAGTAATTCTACAGAAATTCCTCAGTGGTGCTGTTTTGTGAAGTCTGTCAGTAATAATCGTATGTTTATGACAATTTTACCAGAATCTTTCAATGATTTGTTACTACTGGATACAAAGTTAGAAGTAATCAAAGAGGGTTCATCAGAAAGTGATGAAATTATAGACAGAGTAACTGAGTCACAAGGTGCTCAAACAATAGACAGAGTAACTGAGTCACAAGGTGATCAAACAATAGACAGAGTAACAGAGTCACAAGGTGCTCCAACAGAGTCACCAAGTGCTCCAACAGAGTCATCAGGTGTTCCAACAGAGTCACCAAGTGCGCCTACTGAATCACCAAGTACTCTTACAGAGTCGTGCGATGCTCCAAGAGATGATGGCCAACAAGAGAATAAACCAGAACATTATGGTAAACATGGCAAACAAGAAGAACCATACCATTATTACACAATTCCATTTTACATGTATGAGAGTTATCTTCCTAATGTGCTGGACATGTTAGTCAATCCTTGGGATTTCACACTTCCTGAAGACTTATATGAAGATCTGACATTCATGGAAAGTAATCGGGATGAAAGTTTTAGCAAAAGTCCAATGTTTAAAGTTCCTTCATTTGAAAGAGAATTTACTCCAGGTTGTGACGAAGCTACCATGTATATGTCATGGATGAGGATAACCCATGAACGAAGGCTGACCGAATGCTCCAATAATGAAAATGAGGCTACACTTAAACAACAATGCAGTGTGCTTACAGATATATACTATTCCTGTTTTGTAAATGGTATATTTTAATATCTTTAATAAACCTTTTGAAAAGACAGATTTAAAGATTAATTTGACCCAGAATATTATATTTTGATAGCAAGAGCTGATGTCAATATGAAGTTAATTAATATAACTTTTGTTCATAACATTTAGTTTTCCAAAGTGTTTATAAAATAATTTTCTATTTTCATTTTGTTTGGATGCAAAGATTGGATAGATACAAGTCCATTTTCAGTGTCTAAGAGTCTAGTTCAAATTATAAATGGATTCTCAGCTTTGTGTCACCATTGTTAATTAGTGTCTGATATTTTCAGGTGTATTCCAGAGTGTACAACAGGATCTTTGTGTACACAAAAATGATGTAGAAGCAGCTATTAACAACATCTGTGAGGAATCCCTGGCTATAGAGACAGATATTACTACATTCCTCCTCTCCTCCTGTCAACATTTTCAGAAGATTGCAGAATCAGCTAAGTTTGATCTGGCTAACAGAGAGAATGCTATACAAGATGAAAAAGAGGAGGTTGAGGAGGACTTCTTTCCTCGAAGACAATCTGTCAGATTTAATGATTTTGTGGAAGAATTGTAATTCATTATCTTTTTATATTCTTTATTTTTAGCTTACCTGGCCCAAAGGGCCAGTGTAAGATATTCCCATTACTTGGTGTTCGTCATCTGTGGTCAATAGTCTGTTCTCTCATGTCTTTTTAACTTTCAAATGTTCAACTAACAATGCCATTTTGAAAAGAACTTGGCAAGAATAATTTACGTAAGGTTGAAGAGCATTGAGGACTCAAAATTTCGATAGGTTTTGCCAAATGCAGGTAAGGTACAGTAATTTATTCCTGGGGTAGAAAATCCTTAGTATTTCTACCTAGTCTTTGATAAAAATTCCTCTTAAATATAAAATCCTTATATTTTACCTACTTGCTTGGTGGTATACCTAACAGCAATGATGACAAATTGTTACACATTGTGCCCTATAGTTAATCTCATAACGTGACCTGGCCAGAACTTCTTCGGTGGTCACCTGTTAGCCTGAATGCCTCTAGTGTGGGGGTTGTTTGTTTGATTCCTATCCAGATAAAACCAAGGACTTTAAAACTGGTGTTTGCTGCTACACCAATCACACAACACTCAGGAGTGCCACAGATTCAGGATAATGTGACCTGAAGGTAACATGTCTTACTGCAGACTGTCGGCTTTGATGCTTAAGCTAGCATGTTGATATCTGATTCAGCATAGCTCAGTTTGACTGACTAGTAATGTATCTTTATATTACATTAACATGATTTTGTCCTGTATATGCATGTTATACTTGCTGCTGGATGTATAGCAGCCATCAATCGGTCCATGGTCAGGAACCTTGTCATGGTTTTTGTCGAGCCTTCGACTTTTGTCGAAAAAGCAAGACATAGCGATCCTACATTCCGTCGGCGTCGTTGTCGTTGGCGGCGTCCACAAATATTCACTCTGTGGTTAAAGTTTTTGAAATTTTAATAACTTTCTTAAACTATCCTGGATTTCTACCAAACTTGGACAGAAGCTTGTTTATGATCATAAGATTATATTCAAAAGTAAATTTTGTAAAAAAAAATTCTATTTTTTCCGTATTTTACTTATAAATGGACTTAGTTTTTCTGCCAGGAAACATTACATTCACTCTGTGGTTAAAGTTTTTGAAATTTTAATAACTTTCTTAAATTATCCTGGATTTCTACCAAACTTGGAAAGAAGCTTGTTTATGATCATAAGATAGTATCCAGAAGTAAATTTTGTAAAAAATAAATTCCATTTTTTCCGTATTTTACTTATAAATGGACTTAGTTTTTCTGCCAGTTAACATTACATTCACTCTGTGGTTAAAGTTTTTAAAGTTTTAACAACTTTCTTAAACTATCCTGGATTTGTACCACACTTTGACAGAAGCTAGTTTATGATCAAAAGCTAGTATCTAGAAGGAAATTTTGATAAAATTTTGTTCCATTTTTTCCGTATTTTACTTATAAATGGACTTAGTTTTTCTTCCAGTTAACTTAACATACAGTCTGCAGTTAAAGTTTTAAAAACATTTATTAGATTCAAAAACCATCCTGGATTTTTACCAAACTTGGACAGAAGCTACTTACAATCAAAATATAGTATAGAGAGGAATAAATTTTTTATTAATTTTTTTCCTCATTTTTGTTGAGCCTGCAATTAACAGCAAAAGTAGGCGAGACACTGGGTTCCGCGGAACCCTTACGAATTTTTTTTATGTCATATCATTATCTTTATGGTTATTTGGAGAATTTTGTGTTCTTTCAGATCTTTGATATCTTCTGTTAGACTAATTCTCAACTTTATTTTAGACTTTGGACAATTTAAAGCTTGAAATATTGTATAGACACCTGCCCTTCATAAATATCTTTTTGTTCCAATCGCCTGCATACAGGTCACTTCTATCATGAGCCCATGAATAAAGAGAGATGGGTGGATACATTAAAGAGAAAAAATTGGCACTTCTACCATGAGCCTCTATGAATAAAGAGAAATATGGAGTATACATCGAAGAGAAAAACAAGGCACTTCCACAATGAGCCTCTATGAATAAAGAGAAATATGGGGTAAACATCGAAGAGAAAAACAAGGCACTCCCACCATGAGCCTCTATAAATATAACCCGAATAATTCAGTCGTTATATTCCACTTCTCTACGATGGCTACATTAACACCTGAAGGCTTAGTCAATGAAAGATCGTCAAAAAATCATTTGGAATTAGCTCAGGATTTACCTATCTCGATAACATTTAGCTATTAGCTGATTGGCTCTCTCTCACAGAGAGCACCAATCAAAATCATAGATTTGTGACGCGTTTTTATCGTATAAAGAGTTCAGGCCCTCGCGAGTGGGAGAGTCGATCACGGGGAGGGACTGAATTATTCGGGTTACTATAAATAGAATGATATGGGGGATACATCTGATAGAAAATGAGAGCACTTCATAAACCTTTATGAATAGAGATTGACATGGGGTATAATGGAAAGAGAGAGCAACACAAAAAAAATAATCAATAGATGTCTCTAATTTTATTTTTTTCCAATAACTAAGCATTTTGTCATTCTCAACAATACAGCTATAGTTTTCTATGTTCTTTGGATTTATCATTGTTGATAACCAGTTGGCTAATTGTTAGATAAGAATAATACTTAGTTCTTTGAATTGTTAGATTCACATTTAGACTATTTCCCAGTAAAGAATTGTACAAAACAAATAATTATTTTTTAGAAAAATACTTATATCTAGTGGCTATAAATTAGTTTAGAAACTTTAATTGTCTAGAGGCAAACGTACCATCCAATAACATGTACTGGTGTTGATACTGTTTGTGCTGACTTCATTTCTTGCCACACAAAAAATGATGTTTATAAAAGAAATGATCCTGTTTGAAAAAGATCCATATAATAAAAAAAAAAGCTTTCAAAGGGGAACAAAAATTATAACCAATAATTAATAATGACAAAGTTTATTCATTTGTATGGCTTAGGTTAGGCCATAGTTTTACCCTTGTCCGTCATTCTGTCATTCCGCAATGAACAGTCATACAGACTTCTTAAAGCCTTCAGATATTGAGCTGATTCTTTTTAATATGTGAGATTATTATGATGAGTTACAGATTGATTTTACGTTTGGTTCCACTCCGCTGATTTTTGTTGAAATTACGGGCTTTGGAGTCTGGACTTTGAAAATTTTGTGAAAATAACAGCTATACAGACGTTTTTTCTAAACGCCTCCATAAATTGAGCTGATTTTTAGTATGTGAATCTACTATGATGAGTTACAGATTGAGTTCACATTTGGTTCCGCTCCGCTGATTTTTGCCAAAATTACAGGCTTTGGACTTTGAAAATTTCCACTCCTAAAAATGGCTTCAAGCTTTTTTTGCGATCGGGGCCATTTGTGTTGTTCTGACACGTCTTGTTTGTATTTAAATTGTTCTTGATATATATAAATAATTTTGCATCAACATCTCCCTATAAATCCAGGCTTACATAGAAGTCAAGTGTTGACATTAAAGATTTGTGTTAACAGAGATAGCCACCCTGTGTGTGGCAATATACCCATGTCATTACAACTACCAAAGACTATGACTAAATTATAGATTTGTGATCACCGAGATAGCCACTCTGTGTGAGACAATATACCCATGTCATTACAACTACCAAAGACTATGACTAAATTTTAGATTTGTGTTTACAGAGATAGCCACCCTGTGTGTGACAATATATCCATGTCATTACAACTACCAAAGACTATGACTAAATTATAGATTTTTGTTTACAGAGATAGCCACCCTGTGTGTGGCAATATACCCATGTCATTACAACTGCCAAAGAGTACAGCCAAACTAAAGACATCATTGAATTATCCATGTGAATTCACTGAAGGATCTCACAATCTTGTGAAGAATAAGTTTATAGATATTGTACAGAAATGGTTTAAACAAGTTCCCAGTAATCCTGACTACTACATATATTGTCCAGTTAATATTCCTCAAAGTGTTTCTGTAAGTATTTCACATACTCATAGCGAAATCAGTTATTTTGGCCCCACCACAGCGGAGGAAGCATTAAGTGTTACTCTTGTCTGTCTGTATGTCAGTCCGTCCGTCCATACGTCACGAATTTGGTTTCAGTTCTGTAACTTTATTTTGCCTCAACCAAATGTTATGAAACTTATACACAATGCTTATTATCACAAAACTCATATCAAGTTCGAATTTGGGTGGCGTCACTTTTACCGTTCTTGAGTTATGTCCCTTTATAACGTTATATTCAAGCAGGGGCATCATCTGTGTCCCATGGACAAATTCTCCATTTATTTATTATGAACTAAATTGTCTTTAAAATATATGTTGAAAGTTATTTTAACAGATTAATAACACATAGCAATATGCAAAAGTATGTGACCAAACAAATGGCCTTATCATATCTTTGCCTTTTAAAAATATATGTCCATTTTTATCAAAAATAAAACTCCATTTAGAAAAATGTATTGGACTCTGATTTGTTGATCAATCTAAAAGGACAGACATAAATATCTATAAAAAAAAAAGTGAAAAAAGTAAAATGTGATGACAGATTTAACATGATGTTTTTATATATTTAGGGAGAAGAAGAATCTGATGACAGAAACCAGTCTGATGGAGTTTTAGGTCAGTTTTTAACTGTGTTTTCCAAAGGAAAAATCCAGTTATTAAGCTGGCGAAGTACGGCTGACTAGCAGTGGCCAACAGATTCTGTGCAATAACTTATGAACTGTTCAACAAATGGTTTTCAAATTTTAAAATGATGTTTCTGATTCCAAAATAACGGTCAAGTTCGATATTGATGATGTTAACTTTTTACCGTTCAGGAGTTATAATCCTTGATATATATATGACAACGCAATTTGTGCTGTTTTCATGTAATTACTTATGAACCATTCCTACAATGGTGTTCAAATTTTAATATTATGTTACTGACAACAGAATGAAGGTCCAGTTTTACATTGGTGATTTTTCACTCATACTGTTCAGGAGGTATGGTCCTTGATATATTGAAAAATGACACTTTATTTCATGCAACAACATATGAACCATTCGACCAATGCTTTTCAAATTTTTAATATGTTGTTACAGATAACAAAATGGAATTTAATTCACTATTATATATATAACAATTTTCACTTGTAGCGTTCAGTAGTTATGATCCATGATAGGTTGGGAAATGACACTTTATGTTGTTTACGTGCTATAACTTATGAACTATACAACCAATTGATTTTAAATTTTGATATGTTGTAACTTGTTACTGAAAATAGGCACAGAACGTAGCAGGTCAAACATGCCTGAAAGTACCTTCAAAATACAGAAAACCAAGTTTGCTGTCAATTTTACAGCTCTTTTCTTGTTTTCCATTTAAATTCAATATGCATGGAATATATATGTATGTATATAGACATTGACATCATGACTGCCAATAATTATGTGAATTTTGTATAAATAAAGATTCTTATTATAAATATGAATAACAAAATTTAACACTAAATCTGCTAATTTTACATGGATTAATAATCTGTAGAAACACTCTGATCTAAATACGATACAGTTACAGGGGAGGTAATGACGTTGCTACCGTAAAATGATATTTTTTGCGACATCAAACTGTGACATAAAATTGAGAATGGAAATGGGGAATGTGTCAAAGAGACAACAACCCGACCATAGAGCAGACAACAGCCGAAGGCCACCAATGGGTCTTCAATGATATATGGGAAAGATGCATTTTTTGACTGTTTTTTATCATTCAGACTGATTTTACTTGAAAACGAGTTCATGGACCCCTCTTTTTTAAAATGACATTAGGTTTGATTACATATGAAGATTATTTGTACCAATTTTTATGAAAAAGTCACTGATGAAATTTTTTTTAAATAGATAAATTTACAGCAAAAAAATCTGTTTTTTTTCTAAAATCATGAAACTTTGATAAAAAATAATTATTTCCAAAGAATTGTTATACAAATTTAGAACATACTTAAGATTTTCCAAATGTGTTTACAAAAATCCGCTTGTGTTTATCTTTTGAAACAAAAAAGTTAGGTTTGTCTATCCAAAGGATAGAAATGTCATAAAAACCGAAATTTTGAGTAAATGTCTAAAATTTTGACCCTATTTATCTCTTAAAGTAGCACATGAAGGTATATTTTTTAGTACATATTTGAATTGACTAGGTGAAAAATAGCTTGTATGCAAATTTTTGCACAAAAATAACCGTGGGATCAAAACTGTATTGTATGCCCTTAAGCCCAAGATACATAAATACATTATAGCTATAGCCAAAGATACATAAATACATTATAGCTATAGCCAAAGATACATAAATACATGATAGCTATAGCCAAAGATGCACAAATACATGATAGCTATAGCCAAAGATACATAAATACATGATAGCTATAGCCAAAGATACATAATTACTTGATAGCTATAGCCAAAGGTGCTATTTAATAGAAATTATCTGTGGTCAGCTTTGCCTTTTAACCTTAGGTTCTATAAAAATAAGAAAATTAAAAAATTTATCAAGTAAATATAGAACTTGGAAATATCTATCTATATATATTCTATCTATATTTAGACTTAAGCCAGCAAGATTATGAAGAATTTGCTTTCTTTGATGATGATGATTTGGTGGTAGTAGAGAGGAAACAGACTGACCACTTATCAACAACCTCAATGTTAGACTCAGAGGAATCTTATACTGATGAAGATATCTGTGAGGAAGAGAAGGAATCAGAAAATATACCTCTCTTTGTTTTCTTCACCTGTACTGTTAAACATAGACTGGACCAGGCACCAATAGCTGTTCAAGGACTGATTCCCTGCCTAGGTAGGATTTTGTAAAATAAATAAAAATAGTAAAAAAAATTGAAACAGTTTCTTTTGCTAAAATGGGCTTTGATAATTTTAGTTTTTTCACTAAAATGGCTTAAAATATTTGGTGTTAAAGTTGCACCAAATTATCTGAATTTTTTTCCGACCAATTTGCTTAAATATCCTATGATCACATGTACATTGAAATAATGATTTCAGGACACTGACTAGTTTTTGTTGAGGTAGTATGTTTTGAATTACTCCCATGGCAGAATATGGATACTTAAAAATTCAATTAGCACTCATACTTAAAACGGAATAATCACATACATTATAAAATATTTCTGAAAATAATTATCAGTGATGGTATTGATTAAAAAAAAAAATGAATTTTCAAGAACATTTTAACATAATATGAAAGCCTGATTTTCATTTAATTATTCATTATTAAACAATTCCTGTTTACTATTTTATAGATGAAATTATCAATAAAATTGAAATAGATATGGAAGTAAACCTTAGTGATTTGAAGGTAACCTTTGACATAAATTGTGTTACTATGGCAACTGATGTAGAAGAGGAGCCAAAGAGGACATTCATGAGAATGTTATCAAACAACAGTACAAGTAGTAGTCCTCCATTGTCACCCAGAGAAGATATGATGGGTAGCTCTACCGATTTAGGGTAAAATACTTACTTAAGGGCATTGGGATTTTGGGGTCAATAGGTCAAGGGTCATGGTCACTGTTTAAGAAAATAGAAAAGTTTAGGAAAATGGTTTCCAGATAATTACCGAAGTTTTCCTTGCTTAATTGGAATGTTACTTCTACAGATGGAAGATATATGGAAGAAGAAGAAGCCTACAAATTTTGGGATCAATTAGTCAGAGGTCAAGGTCACTGTTACATAAAATAGGAAAAGTGGTTTCTGGACAATAATATGAGTTTCCAAAATCAATCTTGGAGTCAATAGGTCAAAGGTCTTTGTTACCAAACAAAATGGAAAAAAATGGTTTCCAGATGTAAGATTTAGTTTCCCTTACTTGATTGAGGATTGACTTTTACAGATGGGAAGTCTAGAGAAGGGGAAGAAGCCTATTGATTTTGGGGTCAACAGGTCAAAGGTAAAAAAGGTCACAGTTACAAAACTGGAAGAAAAAAATTAGCAATAATATAACATGTTTATTTGTTCCTCCAAGCATACCAGTATTTTGACCTCTGGAAATAAAAATATTTTCTCTTAATAAATGTGTAGTTTGGAGAGCATCAGTTGGCAGTGCCATCTTTTTACTTATTTGAATTATCATGCCCCATCCCCTCATATAATAGATTGTTGAATATCTCAAAAATGGTTCAGATTCCAAACCCCGGAACCATATATAATCTTAATTGTCCTGAGTAGACCTTTCTAGTTCACCACATGTTTTGTACCTGGGAGACATACCCAGCCTCTGCATTACATCAATTGTTAAATAGCTAGAAAACTGTTCATATCCCCACCCCAAATATATTCTTAATTGTCAGGACAAGACCTTTCAGTACACCACATATTTTTTTACTTGGGATCATGCCCCACCCTGTTATAATGTTATTGTTAATAATATTAGAAAACTGTTCAGATCCCCACCCCTATACTATATATTCTAAACAGCATTGACAAGAACTTTTAAGTGCACCATAGATTTGGTTTGTGGTGGGGATGGGGGGTTAAGCCACACCTGTCATATAATGAACTGTTTAATATATTGAAAACAGTTAAGACTTCTCAACAATTAACCATATACATATTCTTGTTTTCCATGACAATACCTATTCAGTATTATAATGGGACCTTTTCTGTACTGTAGTGACTTTTAGAGAGAGGGGGGGGGGACATTAGTTTTAGTCCAATAAAACAGTTCCACCTAGCTTACATGTATACACACATATGCTTTTATCCAAAAAACTTCTCTCTTGTAATTTTTGTCTTGACGATTTTGTAGAAGTCTGAAGCAGACCTGTCCAGATCCAATTAAACATCTACCTAGACAACAACACCTGGCTGTAACTAAATGTAAAGAAGAGGTACTTATATAAATGCTTTCTTTTTTATCTCAATGATTTTTAAAGAAAGTTATGTAGACCAAACTAGGAAAATGAATACACAAAACACAATATGTCATATCCAGAATAGGTAGGTAGAAGTATTTTAACCCATGATACTAATTAGGGCAATTTTAAACCCAAAATGGTGATAAATTTAATAATTATGTGGTGCCAGAATCTGAGACTTGCATTCAATCTATACTTATTGCTGCTACCAAACACATTAATGGAAGCTAGTAGACCTTGCACGTTACTCAATATAAAAACTTTTGTTTACAGGGAAAACCTGCAGCCAGCTAATCAAAAGAAATTTAAAAAAAAAGAACTCACAAAAACATTCTTTTTTTGTCTTCCCTTGACAAAGTCGTAAAATAGAGTCTTATGTGTGCTGTATTTGGCAACTTTGACGGTGGCATCAACAATGTATTAGTTTGTGATTCTTTGTGATCATTTTCAGGGAAATCACTAGTGGTAGATAAACGATATTTGGTATGCAGTTGTATTAACATCAGCACATCTCATTTCCATAGAGATCATTTGGCCCCTTCACCTCAGTCATGGTCTACTGGGAATTCATTATTTTTCGTGGGACAGGAGTTCAATGAAGTACACATCTTCAATATGCTTGTATGTAGACTTTGGCAAAACAAAAAAATACAATATCCACGAAAATACAACTTTTCCAGAGTCCACAAAAATTGGTATCCATGAAAATAAATGAATCCACAGTATTTGCTTTGAAACTTTTGCTTAGTTACATTTTAAAGTTTGTGAATTGGTCAGTTTAAAGGGAACTACCAGTGGTAGGTCATTGATATTTGGTATGCAGTTGTATTTGCAATGGCACATCCCATTTCCATTGATACTGTTTGGCCCTGCCTCTTCAGTCATGGTAATTGACTTTGAAACTTTTGAATACCTATATGTTAAAAGTTTGTGAATTGGTCTGTTTGAAATGAACAACTAATTGTAAGTCAATGATATTTGGCATGCAGTTGTATTTGCATTTCCAAGTGTCATTTCCATGCAGATTATATGCACTCCTCCCCCTGACCATGGTTTATTAACTTTGAAACTTTTGCCTAGTTAACATGTTTAAGTAATTGTTTAGGTCAGTTTAAAGGGAACAACTTATGCTTAATCAATGGTATTTCATATGCAGTTGTTTTAGCATTGGCATTTCTGTCTTGGTTCATTGACTTTAAATAATTTGCATAGTGACTAGTTTACATGTTAAAGTTTTTCAATACATGTTAAAGTATTGCCATTTTAATTTCAACATTTCTGCATTTTACTATCTAAATTACATAAAGGATAGACATGTCTCTGTATCAACAGTTTATATAGACAGAAGCTGCCTTTCAAGCACTTTCTTGCTTTGATTTTTATAGTGTTTTGATCAAAATATTGAGGTTAAAGTTTAAAAGTACTAGAGATATTGATATTAGAAAATGTTAAATTATGTACAAGATATAAACAATATTTGAATGTTTACAGTTAGAATGGTTACTGAGGGATGAGATAGCCTCCTCATTACGACAGTTAAATCTCATCCAGACAGACACATTGGAGTTTGTAACAGATCATATCCAGGTGTCAGCAAAGAAAGGCAAACCAAACTGTTCTTGTGAACATATCCCTCTTCATTTTGTTTATGGAATGGAGAAAAGCTTACCAAATTTCAAAGAGGTAGTCTTAACATTAGATATCTGTTGATTTCTCAGTATGTCAGTTTGCAGTGAAAAAAATAGTAACATTAATTCTAATTAGTTTGATCTTGAATTAGAAAACTTTGATTTATAGTGAAAAAATCCTATTATTACAGAAAGATCTAGTATTTAGACTTATAAACCAGCAGTTTTGTATTTCCATTTTTTTTTTTAGGAATTTGAAAGACTAAACTTACAAAAGTACAAATTGATGAAGGAGGAAGACTTTTACTTTGTTGTAACAAATAAAGCATACAATAATGTTCTGACCAAAGCTTTAACATCTGCTTTAGTAGAACTCAGTAGAGAAAATACACCAGCTTCCCTGGAAATGATAGCATCTAGTACAAATGATGTCAGTACAGCTGTCACGTATGTCTCCCCTACACTGATGTCAACAGAAAAACAGAAAATTATCTCCCCTGTATCACACAGCAGAGAAGATGGATTGTCTCCCCTACCTAGTGAGAAAGGTGGATTATCTCCCTTATTAAGTGGTAGTGAGGAATCATCAAGTGCGTTTCTAAAGGTAGAAGGAAATAAGAACTTGAAATCAGACAATGACAATAATGATAACAGCACAGTATCTGAACGAGAACATTTTACAGATTTCTATGACAAGTTAGAAGGTATTAAAACTAACATCAGGCCTGTAAAATCAGTTGATCTAAGAAGTTTAAGTGCAGGAGAAATAGACCTACAAGGTTTGAAAAAATCATCCAGTTGTGCAGGAATAATAATGACCAGCGTTAGCACTACCAAAGAAATTACATCTTTGGCTCCCCCGCCTCCAGTGATGACATGGGCATCTCATGCACCATTTCTTGGTAGACCTCGTCATTTCTCTGCACCATCAGGACAGGGAACACCCAGGAGTAAAACATCAACAATAGACCACACTCCATCATGGTTATCATCAAGAGCAAGTGAAGCAGGTAAGCTGCCATTGTTCTTTATGAACTTTATAAACCTAGCAGTAGTGGTGGTATTACTCTGTTAATAGATTTTTTTTAATTACCTGATATGCATTTGTCATGTAGATTATCTGCATTTAGTGTTTTAATTGAATTTATAATAATATTAATTAAAATAGATGATGTGGCTTTTATACCTTACAATACATGGATTTTGCTCATTGCTGAAGGAGGTATAGTGCCCTATAGTTGTTTACATCCTCTTCCTGCGATCTCTGATGGATAGTTGTCTCATTGACAATCATACCACGTCTCCTTATTTATATAGAGACTAAAACCATTAAAATCTCTCAATTGTAGTCAATGTTAATAAAATTTAGAATGGAAACGGGGAATGTGTCAAAGAGACAACAACCCGACCAAAGAGCAGAAAACAGTCCAAGGCCACCAATGGGTCTTCAACACAGTGAGAAAATCTTGCACCCAGAGGCGGGCTTCAGATAGCCCCTAAACAAAAAGTATTTATTTTTATGAAACAGTTGAAACTACAGATATGTTACAATTGAAAGACAAAACAGTGAGTTTTGAAGTTTATTTTTTTATTAAAAAAGATCTGCAGTTTTTATTTAATGTTTTGTAGGATATGACTTTGGTTACAGTTTGATGGTAGATAATTTTTTTAAATTATGTTTTTAGGATATGAAGGTGATTCTAGTGACAATGAGGAAGGGGATACTGGATTTAATGATCTGAGTGGATCAGTCCAACAACCAATACCAAAGTTCTGGTTAATAATGAAGGTCATTTCTAAAGTCAAAGACTTAGGAGTGGATGTTTACTTTCATTCTAGGTTTGTTTTTTGAAAGTATACAAGGATATTTTGGAACGTACACGGCACAAACCAGTAATACTTCAATAAAGTGAAAAAATACCAAAGGAGCAGTCATAAAACACAAGTCAAAAAAAGGCAGACACAAATAGCCAAAAGAAAAAAAGAAAAAACAACAAACACCACACAGATGGAAACTAAAGATGGATCTTCACGACCCTGGGTAAAGAAGAGGGGGATATTATTTATCTGCAATTTGTACATTTTTCCATTAATCTTACTGCATAATATTTGTTAAGATTATGGACAGGACTTGATACTCGAAAATCTTAGGCAATGACAGCAACGTCACATATTCATTTCCATCTGCATCTATATATTTATCAATGAAATGCACGCATATTCATTCATACATCCGAACAACTATCACAACGTTTTGTATGCTTAAAAGTACTTTTACTAACTAATTCATTTATTTCATATTCTCAACCAATAAAAAGTATTTTATAAAAACAAATTGCCAATATAAAGAATAATGGCATTTTATTTTTTGATACTGACTTCATCAGCTCAAATATCAGCTCGCCCTAGCGGGCTCGCTTGATATTCTTGCTGATAAAGTCGGTATCAAAAACAAAAATGGCATTATTCTATATGTATACAACATATCTATTTCATCTTTTAAAAGTATTCATCTTGTGTCTTTCTATTTTATCAAAATATAAAAATTATGTCAAACACTATTAAATCCTTTGTTTAATAACCATAACAAACCACATGGTGAAAGTTTTGTCAGTTCTATTTTGATATGGTATAATATTTGTAATCAGAATAAATTTTATTTTATCCACTAGCAGGTTGGATATCCATGATCTTAAGTTCGTTTCCCCATAATAACATCTGCAGATTACAATTTTGTCACTGTTTATACAATAGTTGATAATTTACAGGGAAACTGGTCAAGAAGACACAGAAGAAATTATTGAACAAAGAAATTTAGTATCTCATGTTAAAGACAGTATAGATAAGCTATGTTGTAAAGTCAACCAATTGTTGTTATTGAATGATTTGTATGACACAAGAGTTTGTAAAAACCTCCTGGTTCCTGAAGCTGATGAGGATGTCAAGTGGGCAGTAGACAAAACAGTTCCCAGAGGGATGACACAAAATAGAGGTAAATAATGATAATTGATTTTTTGTTTTGTCTAAAAATAATTGTTACAAGCACAAATTGTCTTTCATTTAATGATTCCATTTTTTGAGATTTTATATTCCTCCCCATCAAAGTGTATTACTTGAAAATAAGAATGACCTCCTTTCAAAAAACAAATTTAATTATTTTAAGGTGCTGCTTATTTTTTTAAAGTTTGAAATATGAATTTATTTATTATATTACCAGGTTCAGAGGATGGTTCTGAAGAGGAAGAAGAAGAAGTCGGGGACCAGCATTACTTGTACGACAGCCATAAGTGGGATAGTGGCTATTTTGATTGTGAAAGTGTTTATACCAAAACATTTTACATCCATTCCAGGCTGAAAACAATGTCAGGAACGAGGACAAATACTACTGCTATAGGTGAAAGTGATGTTAATTATTAAGCTTTATTAAAAACAACATTACCATACACATATTATTTTGGCTTTTGTCAATTATATTGAAATTGTAGTTGATATTCAAAAACTTACTTTTATTGATGAAATCAGAATCATTCCATTGATACAGCTGGAGAGTTGATTTTGCCCAATCACACTGTAGTTATTTTTTATTATTATTTTCTTTTCTCAATAACAATTTATTTTTGGTGAGATTGATGGAGTAGATTAGAATTGGCAATCATTCAACATCTCCTTATTATTAGATCACCTGGCCAAAAAGGTCAAGTGAGCTTTTCTCATCACTTAGCATCTGTTGTATGTTGTGTCGTCCGTTAACTTTTACAAAAATATTCTCCTCTGAAACCACTGGGCCAAATTTAACCAAACTTGGCCACAATCATCATTGGGGTATCTAGTTTAAAAAATGTATTCAATGGCACTACCTGCCAACCAATATGTCCAACATGGCTAAAAATAAAACATTAGGGGTAAAACGCAAGTTTTGCCTATTATTATTAAAAAAGCGATGAAAAGAGAAATTCTGACTGGAGCAAAAATGTTCAAGATGTTGAGCTAAAACTATTGTCCATTTAAGTCAAAACTGTTAGATGACTTTTTATAGGAGTTGTTGCTCTTAAATGATTAATTTTACCATTTTAAAAAAAAGATTTCCCTATTATCTGGAAAATTATAATAGATAGACAGAAACTCTAAATAGCAAAAATGATCAGCAAGACAAGATCTACAAATAAGTCAAATGACCAAAACAGTCAGATGTCTCCTTTTTAGAGTTATTGCCCTTTAATGACAATTTTTACCAAATTTTTGCCCATTTTTGTCTATTATCTTGAAAACTGTAATAAATAGAGAGAAACTTCAAAAAGCCCAAATGATCAGCAAGACAAGATCTACAAATAAGCCATATGGTTGAAATATTCAGTCGACTCTTTATTGGAGTTATTGACCTTTAATGATAATTCTTTACATTTTTTTGCATTTTTTGCCTATTATCTTGAAAACTATAATAGATAGAATGAAACTTTAGAAAAGAGAAATTATCAACAAATATGTAAACATGACTGAAATTGTCAATTAACTCTTAGTAGAGTTGTTCTCTTTTAATGATGAATTTTTACTAAAAAGTGGCCATTGCTGAAGATGCAAGTGAGCGACACAGGCTTTTTAAAGCCTCTAGTTATATATTTCAAGTTTTGTGTTTGTTTTTCTGTGCATTGTCATGACATTGTCATGGGAAGGATGTGCAGTCAAGCATGTTGCATTTTATTGAGAAATAAGATATAATTTTGGAATGCATCTCGATTGTTGTCAGCCAATTAAAAGTATGGATTCTTATGAAACATTTTGTGGACTTTCACCAAAATCTCTACTTTATGCTTATTTTAGGGTGTAAATCATAATGCTTTATAGGAAAAGCTATAAAAGAATGGTTCTATTATGAAACACTTTTGGTCTTAAAATAATGGACTTAATATACTAGGCCAAAAAAGGCCCTCTCCACACCTACTTTAATTTGTATTGACCAGTTGCAAAGAAATTGGTTGAATCATTTATGGTCTCTCATACAAAATACATTACAATTATTACAAATTTGTATTTACAGGAATGCAGGCACTGAAGTCTGTGCTGAATAAATTCTCAGTCATCAACAGGAAAAATATGTTTGTAATAAAGGAATCTACAACACAAGCTGTGTTTTATCTCAGGTGATTTTTCACTTTACCATACTCTTCTGTGTTTTATTTCTGGTAATTTTTCAGTTTACCGTACTTTGCTGTGTTTTTCTCAGGTAATTTTTCAGTTTACCGTACTTTGCTGTGTTTTTCTCAGGTAATTTTTCAGTTTACCGTACTGGTACTCTTTACACATCTTTTTTATTCCTTTCCAAAAGGTTATTTTCTTGCTGATCATAAAATGTTATGATACAGTGAGCCAAGGCTCTGTGTTGAAGGCCACACTTTGACCTATAATTGTTTACTTTTTACACATTGTGACTTGGATGGAGAGTTGTCTCATTTGCACTCATACCACATCTTATTTATATTTTATACTCATTGGGGAAAATGGATAGGGGATGGATTTGCCAAAGATATATATATACCAAAGGAATGTTTTCATGGCTTTTTTTCAACACGACAGTTACTAGGAGTTTTTCAACCATGAGCTAGATAACTGAATGAGCAATATCTAAACATCCCTTCTGTTGATATAGTTCTTACTCTTGATTAACATACTTCTTCTATCTAAATTTTGAAGGTCTTGTCCTTGTCCAACTAATTTTTTGTATAACGAAGAAAATCAATTGTATTTTTATTTTTTTTTATGTTAAGATGAATATGGGTACTGATAGGCAGTGGATGTCATTTGTTTTGCCTGCAGTATCCCTGGACATCTATTAATAGTAAGCATTTTATATTTCAGATTAAAAGAAGTCAGTGGAAAAGATGCCATTTACCAGAGACAGTTATCTACAATAATTGGGGACGAATTTGAACTAGGGGGTAACATTAAAATTGAAGTATACAAAAATACTTTTTTTATATATATATATTACTTGGAGAAAAGAAGGACATAGGGTCAAGGACAACAATTATACACCACATAATGTAACGTTCCGGGGTTATCTTGTCAGGATACCCGTCGTTACTTATGTTGGCCTCTGGTGAAGGAAGTAATAATAAACATCATATAGGAGTTCATAAACTGTATTAATTCTATTATTTCTGCTTAAGCAATACAACAAATACAGTAGTACATAAAACACATGAATAGAGATATATCTTAAAATAAATATTGGTGCATTTGTCCCTGAAAACTTAATAATGATTCCTACTAGCATTTGGTGCACAGCAAATAATTTGGGACCCTGCTTGGTGCAGGTTATATAAATTTGACCTCATAATTTCATAAGGATGAATAAAAGACTAATAATTTAATATTTAGAAGCTTTCTATTAAATAAAAATACTTTTTCACCAAGTAATTTCACTTGGTGCAGCACCGAGCAAATCTGCTTGGTGCTAGCCAAAATGTAAACACCGACTACGCAGCTTGGTGCAATAGGGCAGACGACGGGGTTTTAGGGTAGTCTCTGATCAATGAATTAAAATCTTTTTATAAAGTTTTGGAGTAGACATTTACCAATTTCTGTCCAAAGCTTACATGATTTTTTGTCATATTCCAGCATAAATAATATTTTGCTTGGTGCAATATGATTGTGTTTACAATTTAAAACCAGCGAACATTCTGCATTGAGGTGAAAAGCCTACTCGGTGCATGGGAACTTGCTATTTATACTTTTGGCTCCGCCCACAATTGATGTAATACACAAGAAAATACACAACTTACAGAATGGCGCCGAAAAGTGAAAGTAGCGATGAACAGAGACGAATTTGGACAAATGCACCTGTAAATGAAGATGATACATCGATTAAATAGCATCTTTTAATAGATTTAAGTTCAGGTAACCCACTCCTTTCATAAAAATACCGTACAAGCGTATGCGGGGACATCTGCATGGAGAAGTGTGGAACGGAGGCCACAACTAGAAAATGAAAAATACACGTTTTAAGTTTATGACATGAGGCCAATGACCAGAGCGTAACAATATTGATAAATAAAAAAAAGAAGTACACAATAACAATACAAAAGATGGACAATAGACAAACATGAGAGCATGAAGCACTAAAATGTGTAGTTAAACTAGTTACACTGGATCAAACTATCCTCTCTTCTGTCTCAATCTTGTTTAAAAAAATAAAGTTCAAAAGGAGTAAATGGAAAAAAAATTCCAAATAAATGTAATTATAATTGAATTTTACTCCTTGATTTTTTAAATAAAATTTGATAATTGTATATTTGTAGAATCATCAGCATCACTAATTGCCATGATGAAGAGAGAAGAAATGGTAAGATATTATATATTTATCTGTCTTTCCTCTATCATTCAGCTCAACTCTTCATAAAATTTTACATCACAGTTTTTTTATGACAAATATAGTTGACAAGAAATCATCACCACAGTCATAATACTTGACCAAATGAGAGTTTTTTGGATTGAGTGTGTCAGTTTTATCTAGGTGAAATAATGATAAGGGCCTACAGACTAGTCTACAGAAATGTTTTTCTTTGTTAGAAGTCGAAGGGGACTTTAGGTTTGCACTCTGTCTGTCTGTCTATCGGTCGGTCGGTCTTTTCTTCATGCTTGAAGATATTGATTTGATATTTGGTGTATTGTTTTATCATGACAAGTTACAGATCAAGTTCAAATTTTGTTCTGGTCTGATGATTATGTGCAGAGTTATGGTCCTTGGACTTAGAAAATTCACTTAAATAATCAGTTTTCAACACTTTTTTTCGTCATGCTTGAAGATATTGACTTGATATTTGTTATATAGTTTACACCATGACAAGTTATAGATCAAGTTAGAATAATACAATGAATTTTTAACCGGTAGGGGACTATGTATTGCTGTGCAATACTCACAGAATGCTTGTTTACATCAGTATTAACAGTTGTTTCTGTGCCTCACACAAAAATGTGCTAGCCGAAGCCTTGCTGACATATCAGTTTTTGTTGTTTCTGTGCTTCATACAAAAATGTGTTAGCCGAAGCCTTGCTGACATATCAGTTTTTGTTGTTTCTGTGCTTCATACAAAAATGTGTTAGCCGAAGCCTTGCTGACATATCAATTTTTGTTGTTTCTGTGCCTCACACAAAAATGTGCTAGCCAAAGTCTTGCTGACATATCAATTTTTGTTGTTTCTGTGCTTCATACAAAAATGTGCTAGCCGAAGCCTTGCTGACATATCAGTTTTTGTTGTTTCGGTGCCTCACACAAAAATGTGCTAGCCAAAGCCTTGCTGATATATCAGTTTTTGTTGTTTCTGTGCTTCACACAAAAATGTGTTAGCCGAAGCCTTGCTGACATGTCTGTTTTCTAGTTGTATATGTTTTGTGTGACAGTGCCCCAATTTTTCAATGATTCAATCACTCTTCTGTATGAACATCATATTTGTTATGCATGTAAACTTTAAAATAAAATGTTTTTAAATATTTGTTATTGTTGTTTTATTACAACTAAAAGAATAAATGTGACCTGAGGCTTAAATTGCAAAACTTTATTGTTTATTTTGCATTTATACCTGAAAAATATCTAGTTTTGTAAAATGTACAATGTACCATTTCATGTATATAAACATTTTGAACATATACCATAAATTACTGCTTTCAATACTTCTATAGCTTTGTTTTACTTTCCACAGCTAAATGTCCCAGAAAAAGATAGTGACACTTTATCAATAACATCTTCAGGCAGTGCTATATCCTCAATGAAACCACAAGATGAAATCCAACTGTTTGTCCATGGCATAGAACCACCAGGTAAAACATCACATTTCTGTATTGACATTATTATCCATGACATAGAACCACCAGGTAAAACATCACATTTCTCTGTTGTCATTATTGTCCATGAGATAGAACCTCCAGGTAAAACATAACATTTCTCTGTTGTCATTGTCCATGACATAGAACCACCAGGTAAAACATCACATTTCTCTGTTGTCATTATTGTCCATGGCATAGAACCACCAGGTAAAACTTAACATTTCTCTGTTGTCATTATTGTCCATGACATAGAACCACCAGTTAAAACATAACATTTCTCTGTTGTAATAGTCCATGACATAGAACCACCAGGTAAAACATCACATTTCTATGTTGTCATTATTGTCCATGACATAGAACCACCAGGTAAAACATAACATTTCTCTGTTGTCATTGTCCATGACATAGAACCACCAGGTAAAACATAACATTTCTCTGTTGTCATTGTCCATGACATAGAACCACCAGGTAAAACATCACATTTCTCTGTTGTCATTATTGTCCATGACATAGAACCACCAGGTAAAACATAACATTTCTCTGTTGTCATTATCCATGACATAGAACCACCAGGTAAAACATCACATTTCTCTGTTGTCATTATTGTCCATGACATAGAACCACCAGGTAAAACATAACATTTCTCTGTTGTCATTATTGTCCATGACATAGAACCACCAGGTAAAACATAACATTTCTCTGTTGTCATTGTCCATGACATAGAACCTCCAGGTAAAACATAACATTTCTCTGTTGTCATTATTGTCCATGGCTTAGAACCAGCAGGTGAAAACATCACATTTGTCTGTTTTCATCATTGTCCATGACATAGAACGACCAGGTAAAACATAACATTTCTCTGTTGTCATTGTCCATGGCATAGAGCCACCAGGTAAAACATAACATTTGTCTGTTGTCATTGTCCATGGCATAGAACCACCAGGTAAAACATAACATTTCTCTGTTGTCATTGTCCATGGCATAGAACCACCAGGTAAAACATAACATTTCTCTGTTGTCATTGTCCATGACATAGGACGACCAGGTAAAACAAAACATTTCTCTGTTTTCATTTTTTTCCATGGCATAGAACCACCAGGTAAAACATAACATTTCTCTGTTGTCATTGTTCATGGCATAGAACCACCAGGTTAAACATAACATTTCTCTATTGTCATTGTCCATGACATAGAACCACCAGGTAAAACATCACATTTCTCTGTTGTCATTATTGTACATGGCATAGAACCACCAGGTTAAACATCACATTTCTCTGTTGTCATTGTCCATGACATAGAACCACCAGGTAAACATCACATTTCTCTGTTGTCATTGTCCATGGCATAGAACTACCAGGTAAAACATAACATTTCTCTGTTGTCATTGTCCATGGCATAGAACCACCAGGTAAAACATAACATTTCTCTGTTGTCATAATTGTCCATGGCATAGAACCACCAGGTTAAACATCACATTTCTCTGTTGTCATTGTCCATGACATAGAACCACCATGTAAAACATCACATTTCTCTATTGTCATTGTCCATGACATAGAACCTCCAGGTAAAACATAACATTTCTCTGTTGTCATTGTCCATGACATAGAACCACCAGATAAAACATCACATTTTTCTGTTGTCATTGTTCATGGCATAGAACTACCAGGTAAAACACAACATTTCTCTGTTGTCATTATTGTCCATGGCATAGAACCTCCAGATAAAACATCACATTTTTCTGTTTTCATTGTTCATGGCATAGAACTACCAGGTAAAACACAACATTTCTCTGTTGTCATTATTGTCCATGGCATAGACCGACCAGGTAAAACATAACATTTCTCTGTTGTCATTGTTCATGGCATAGAACTACCAGGTAAAACATAACATTTCTCTGTTGTCATTATTGTCCATGACATAGAACCACCAGGTAAAACATCACATTTCTCTGTTGTCATTGTCCATGGTATATAACCACCAGGTAAAACATAACATTTCTCTGTTGACATTATTGTCCATGACATAGAACCACCAGGTAAAACATAACATTTCTCTGTTGTCATTGTCCATGGCATAGAACCACCAGGTAAAACATAACATTTCTCTGTTGTCATTGTCCATGACATAGGACGACCAGGTAAAACATAACATTTCTCTGTTGTCATTGTTCATGGCATAGAACTACCAGGTAAAACATAACATTTCTCTGTTGTCATTATTGTCCATGACATAGAACCACCAGGTAAAACATCACATTTCTCTGTTGTCATTGTCCATGGTATATAACCACCAGGTAAAACATAACATTTCTCTGTTGACATTATTGTCCATGACATAGAACCACCAGGTAAAACATAACATTTCTCTGTTGTCATTGTCCATGGCATAGAACCACCAGGTAAAACATAACATTTCTCTGTTGTCATTGTTCATGGCATAGAACCATTAGGTAAAACATAATATCTCTCTGTTGTCATTATTGTCCATGACATAGAACCACCAGGTAAAACATCACATTTCTCTGTTGACATTATTGTCATTGGCATAGAACCACCAGGTAAAACATAACATTTCTCTGTTGTCATTGTCCATGACATAGAACTACCAGGTAAAACATCACATTTCTCTGTTATCATTGATCATGGCATAGAACTGCCAGGTAAAACATCACATTTCTCTGTTGTCATTGTCCATGACATAGAACTACCAGGTAAAACATAACATTTCTCTGTTGTCATTGTCCATGGCATAGAACTACCAGGTAAAACATCACATTTCTCTGTTGTCATTGTCCATGGCATAGAACCACCAGGTAAAAACATAACATTTCTCTGTTGTCATAATTGTCCATGGCATAGAACCACCAGGTAAAACATCACATTTCTCTGTTTTCATTGTCCATCACATAGGACGACCAGGTAAAACATCACATTTCTCTGTTTTCATTGTCCATGGCATAGAGCCACCAGGTAAAACATCACATTTATCTGTTGTCATTGTCCATGGCATAGAACCACCAGGTAAAACATAACATTTCTCTGTTGTCATTGTCCATGACATAGGACGACCAAGTAAAACATCACATTTCTCTGTTTTCATTTTTTTCCATGGCAAAGACCCACCAGGTAAAACATAACATTTCTCTGTTGTCATTGTTCATGGCATAGAACCACCAGGTAAAACATAACATTTCTCTGTTGTCATTGTTCATGGCATAGAACCACCAGGTAAAACATAACATTTCTCTGTTGTCATTATCCATGACATAGAACCTCCAGGTAAAACATTACATTTCTCTGTTGTCATTGTCCATGACATAGAACCACCAGGTAAAACATCACATTTCTCTGTTGTCATTATTGTACATGGCATAGAACCACCAGGTTAAACATCACATTTCTCTGTTGTCATTATTGTACATGGCATAGAACCACCAGGTTAAACATCACATTTCTCTGTTGTCATTGTCCGTGGCATAGAACCACCAGGTAAAACATAACATTTTTCTGTTTTCATTGTCCATGACATAGGACGACCAGGTAAAACATAACATTTCTCTGTTTTCATTATTGTCCATGGCATAGAACCACCAGGTAAAACATAACATTTCTCTGTTGTCATTGTCCATGGCATAGAACTAACAGGTAAAACATAACATTTCTCTGTTGTCATTGTCCATGACATAGAACTACCAGGTAAAACATCACATTTCTCTGTTGTCATTGTCCATGGCATAGAACTAACAGGTAAAACATAACATTTCTCTGTTGTCATTGTCCATGGCATAGAACTAACAGGTAAAACATAACATTTCTCTGTTGTCATTGTCCATGACATAGAACTACCAGGTAAAACATAACATTTCTCTGTTGTCATTGTCCATGGCATAGAACTAACAGGTAAAACATAACATTTCTCTGTTATCATTGTACATGGCATAGAACTACTAGGTAAAATATCACATTTCTCTGTTGTCATTGTCCATGACAAAGGACGACCAGGTAAAACATCACATTTCTCTGTTTTCATTATTGTCCATGGCATAGAACCACCAGGTAAAACATAACATTTCTCTGTTGTCATTGTCCATGGCATTGAACCACCAGGTAAAACATAACATTTCTCTGTTGTCATTGTCCATGACATAGAACCACCAGGTAAAACATCACATTTCTCTGTTGTCATTGTCATAGAACTACCAGGTAAAACATCACATTTCTCTGTTGTCATTGTCCATGACATAGAACCACCAGGTAAAACATCACATTTCTCTGTTGTCATTGTCCATGACATAGAACCTCCAGGTAAAACATCACATTTCTCTGTTGTCATTATTGTCCATGGCATAGAACCACCAGGTAAAACATCACATTTCTCTGTTGTCATTGTCCATGACATAGAACCACCAGGTAAAGCATAACATTTCTCTGTTGTCATTGTCCATGGCATAGAACCACCAGGTAAAACATCACATTTCTCTGTTGTCATTATTGTCCATGGCATAGAACCACCAGGTAAAACATCACATTTCTCTGTTGTCATTGTCCATGGCATAGAACTACCAGGTAAAACATAACATTTCTCTGTTGTCAATATTGTCCATGACATAGAACCACCAGGTAAAACATAACATTTCTCTGTTGTCATTATTGTCCATGGCATAGAACTACCAGGTAAAACATAACATTTCTCTGTTGTCATTGTCCATGGCATAGAACTACCAGGTAAAACACAACATTTCTCTGTTGATATTATTGTCCATGGCATAGAACCACCAGGTAATACATAACATTTCTCCGTTGTCATTATTGTCCATGGCAATAGAACTACCAGGTAAAACATAACATTTCTCTGTTTTCATTATTGTCCATGGCAATAGAACTACCAGGTAAAACATCACATTTCTCTGTTGTCATTGTCCATGGCATAGAACCACCAGGTAAAACATCACATTTCTCTGTTGATATTATTGTCCATGGCATAGAACCACCAGGTAATACATAACATTTCTCCGTTGTCATTATTGTCCATGGCATAGAACCACCAGGTAAAACATCACATTTCTCTGTTTACATTATTGTCCATGACATAGAACCACCAGGTAAAACATAACATTTCTCTGTTGTCATTATTGTCCATGGTATAGAACCTCCAGATAAAACATCACATTTTTCTGTTGTCATTGTTCATGGCACAGAACTACCAGGTAAAACACAACATTTCTCTGTTGTCATTATTGTCCATGGCATAGACCAACCAGGTAAAACATAACATTTCTCTGTTGTCATTGTCCATGGCATAGAACTACCAGGTAAAACATAACATTTCTCTGTTGTCATTATTGTCCATGACATAGAACCACCATGTAAAACATCACATTTCTCTGTTGTCATTGTCCATGGTATATAACCACCAGGTAAAACATAACACTTCTCTGTTGACATTATTGTCCATGACATAGAACCACCAGGTAAAACATAACATTTCTCTGTTGTCATTGTCCATGGCATAGAACCACCAGGTAAAACATAATATTTCTCTGTTGTCATTGTTCATGGCATAGAACCAACAGGTAAAACATAACATTTCTCTGTTGTCATTATTGTCCATGACATAGAACCACCAGGTAAAACATCACATTTCTCTGTTGACATTATTGTCCGTGGCATAGAACCACCAGGTAAAACATAACATTTCTCTGTTGTCATTATTGTCCATGACATAGAACCACCAGGTAAAACATCACATTTCTCTGTTGACATTATTGTCCATGGCATAGAACTACCAGGTAAAACATAACATTTCTCTGTTGTCATTATTGTCCATGGCATAGAACTACTTGGTAAAACATCACATTTATCTGTTGTCATTATTGTCCATGACATAGAACTACTTGGTAAAACATCACATTTATCTGTTGTCATTATTGTCCATGACATAGAACTACCAGGTAAAACATCACATTTCTCTGTTGTCATTATTGTCCATGGCATAGAACTACCAGGTAAAACATCACATTTCTCTGTTGTCATTATTGTCCATGACATAGAACTACCAGGTAAAACATCACATTTCTCTGTTGTCATTATTGTCCATGGCATAGAACTACCAGGTAAAACATCACATTTATCTGTTGTCATTGTCCATGGCATAGAACTAACAGGTAAAACATAACATTTCTCTGTTGTCATTGTCCATGACATAGAACCACCTGGTAAAACATCACATTTCTCTGTTGTCATTATTGTCCATGACATAGAACTACCAGGTAAAACATCACATTTCTCTGTTGTCATTATTGTCCATGGCATAGAACTACTTGGTAAAACATCACATTTATCTGTTGTCATTATTGTCCATGACATAGAACTACCAGGTAAAACATCACATTTCTCTGTTGTCATTATTGTCCATGCCATAGAACCACCAGGTAAAACATCACATTTCTCTGTTGTCATTGTCCATGACATAGAACTACCAGGTAAAACATCACATTTCTCTGTTGTCATTATTGTCCATGGCATAGAACCACCAGGTAAAACATAACATTTCTCTATTGTCATTGTCCATGACATAGAACCACCAGGTAAAACATCACATTTCTCTGTTGTCATTATTGTCCATGGCATAGAACTACTTGGTAAAACATCACATTTATCTGTTGTCATTATTGTCCATGGCATAGAACCACCAGGTAACAAGTATCACTTAAAAACAGATTGTTAAAGAAGATCAAAAGGAAAATTCCAAATAAAATTTTCTTGTACAAAAGAAAGACAAATGGTTACCTTAGAAATAGTAATTTTGAGGTATTAAAATAGAGAGGTTAGTGGACACTTTACAGAACATATTTGATGTTTTTGTTGGGGATTCTGTATGTAAGACATTTGTTTTATTTCAGGAAAAGATATTAGAGAAGGATTAGTGAACACTTTACAGAATAAATTAGATGATGCTGTATTGGACATTCTGTCTGTACAGCTTAACAGGAACCCTCTGTCAAAATTATCAGCTGAAGATGTTCATGTAAGTCAATTTTATGTATACTGATCAACACAAAAAAAACTCCACCTTTTTGAAGACACAATTTTACTTTCTTTTCTGTGTATTTTTACATCTCACAAGACCTGTTTTGTTCATTTATCTTGACCTATCTTTGGAACAAATGAATAATTCATTCAACTGTAAAACTCAAGTTTCAATGCATTGACTTGCATAACTAAAATCCAACCTACCATCAACAAAATTAACACATATGTAGGTGTAAGGTTAAATCAGGTAAATGAAAAAAAAATATGGCACACTCTAGAAATGCTGTTCATTAATAAAAATATAGAAACATTTTTTGATAAGTAACTGATTTTCGGCGTTCAGTGAGAAATAATGCTTTAGGATATATAGGGTACAGCCATCCACATGTTATAAGATATGTGGTAAGCACTGTATCATATTTTTCTCATTTCTTTGTAAATATTGAATTATTTTATGCAGATAATAAGCTTTAAAAATTGCAGTTGAAAGCAAGTTTTCTCTTCCTGGAAAAAAAAATCAATTCATATCCTAAATAGTATTAATCATATATTTTCTTTCTTATTCTAAACAGTTTATTCAGAAACCACAAGAGATTAAAAGAAATGCTGAGGACAGCAAGGGACCTATGCAGTTACAACTGACAATACCTGTATCTGCCACCATGCAGTTATCAGCTGTTGTGTACTATCTGAAACAAAACCTAAAGCTGTTCTCTCATATACCTAATTATGCTGATAACAGACCAGACAGTCACTTCCAGGTAATGGTTTTACCTATTGTTCACTATTTTTTAAGTGTCAACAGCTCTTCCTTCACTTTAAGATGTGATGAAAAAAAACATTATTCTGGAAATTCTAGTAATTTTCAACAGAAGTTTAAAACATTAAAAGAAGATGACCATGTTGCATTATTAATTAGAGTTTCAAAGTCTTTCCCATTCCTTTTAATATTGCATAACATGCTGTTTCTAAATGTTGCTGAGAAAGGCTAATTTAAACAAAAGTCCTGCTGTCAATCCTTAACAGTCTTAACCTTTTGAAAATTTTATGAAAGTAAATGTTATGCTCCTTTTCTTAAAACTTGAGGAAGCATTTACTTGCCCTTTTGTACTTGCGTCATCATGTTGCCAGTTGATAACTTAAATTTGCTTAGGAGAAAGACCTTACAATTTTTCAAAGTTGATAAATACAACGAAATGTCATTTAAGTTCAATTTTCTCTGTTGCCTAAAATACATTCTGAGAGTTATGCCTCTTGGATTGTTGAATAATGGCAAGATACAGTTTACAGATAATCTAGTCAGTTTACTTTTAGTCAGAATCTTACAATTTTGTTATTTAACTACATGTGACTACTATAAGATGCTGGTCAAGTTAAATATTCGCAATGACCAATTTCACCTTTCCAGAGTTATGCACCTTGCATTGTCTCAAAATGGTAAAATTGATAGGACTTTAGAGGCTCTATTGTTATTTTTGCTTTTGTCAATGTGCATCTGTTTGCTGCACTGACATTTTTCTTATTTTTTCTGCTAACAGTGACTTTATTTCATCAAAGAATTTTTGTAAACTTCTTATTTTGTATTATAGGACATAATGGATGGCAGACAACAAGCCATTCATGATGGTCAGGCATTTCTTTACATCAGACCAGCCCATGGTGGGAAAGGTAAGTTTATTTGTGTTTTATTGGCAGTTTAAATAAAGATTCTTCTTTTAATGTTTTACAATATAGACATAACAGCCTACCTCTGTTTTAATGTGATTATGATAACAGAAATCAACAGTTATAAGAATGGCCTTTTATAATCTCCAGATTTTTTTTTAGTAAATAAAAAAATAATATTTGAGCATATTTTGTGGTTTGACTGAAAATGTTTTCAAGATACTCAACTACATTTGTACAGTTGTGTGTTTTTTCTAATCCTTTTTCAGGGATAGCATGTATAAGTTTGGCATTAGTTGATGGGAAAGGTATACCTGTACAAGCATTGGGTTGTCGTAAACCTTCTAGGATTGGTTATACCAAAATCACCTCAGAGAAAGAATTTGAACATCTAATACACACAGATCTGTATGAAAGTAATGGTGATTCTCGGCCAGGTAAATATCATATGATTGTTCGATAGAGAATTCTATTTGGTAATTCTAAACCTTCAAGGATTGGAACGTAGGCCCATGGAAAGAATATACTGCACACACTAATTTGTATGAAAGTTATGGTTCTATATATATAGGCCCTTAGCTGTATGAAAGTAATGGTTCTATATATGGACCAGGTGTAAGGCAGTTAAAAGTAAAATTGAAATTAAGTTTGTATATAAAATAAGGACATGTAGTATGATTGCCAATGAGACAACCATTAACCAAAGACCAATACTTATAATCATAACATTAAAGTGATTTACTGTTACCATTACATGTATATACCACGATGAAGTTTAGATGTAGTCTTACATACTGAACTGAGTAGTTACTTTGTGATTAATGTTTTAATGATTTCTGCATTTTGTTATAGGACCCACAGCCTTGCTACAGTTCAGAGCATGGGAAGTTGGTTCAGCAGATCTTGGCTCACTGAAGGAGAAATTGATATTAGCTGTTCGCCATTCATTGTGTGACATAGTGACAGAGTTCACCATGCTGACGGCCTCGGTCTGTCAGATACCTCAACAGTTGATGGAGCTACTGCCAGTAGCATCATACTCAACTCCTTCCTCACCTCATGCTCCTAGAGGTATTGATTATCTGTCTTTGTCTTTCAAAGTCCTCATAAGTTTTAGGTCGTACTGAATTCCCTTCTCATTAGAAGCACCAAGAGGTAACATATATCTTCCTCAGTCTTTCAGATACCTCAACATTTTGTTGATTTACTGCCAGTTATGTCAGTAGAGCTAACACTTCTATTTGCCTTCGTCAGATATCTAAAAAATTAATTTATTTACTGCCAGTAATGTCAGTAGAGCTAACATATATTTGCCTTGGTCAGATACCTCAACACTTAATAGATTTACTGCCAGGAAAGTCAGTAGAGCTAACATATATTTGCCTTGGTCAGATACCTCAACATTTAATGGATTTACTGCCAGTAATGTCAGTAGAGCTAACATATATTTGCCTTGGTCAGATACCTCAACACTTAATAGATTTACTGCCAGTAATGTCAGTAGAGCTAACATATATTTGCCTTGGTCAGATACCTCAACATTTAATGGATTTACTGCCAGTAATGTCAGTAGAGCTAACATATATTTGCCTTGGTCAGATACCTCAACATTTAATGGATTTACTGCCAGTAATGTCAGTAGAGCTAACATATATTCGCCTTGGTCAGATGCCTCAACATTTAATGGATTTACTGCCAGTAATGTCAGTAGAGCTAACATATATTTGCCTTGGTCAGATACCTCAACATTTAATGGATTTACTGCCAGTAATGTCAGTAGAGCTAACATATATTTGCCTTGGTCAGATACCTCAACATTTAATGGATTTACTGCCAGTAATGTCAGTAGAGCTAACATATATTCGCCTTGGTCAGATGCCTCAACATTTAATGGATTTACTGCCAGTAATGTCAGTAGAGCTAACATATATTTGCCTTGGTCAGATGCCTCAACATTTAATGGATTTACTGCCAGTAATGTCAGTAGAGCTAACATATATTTGCCTTGGTCAGATACCTCAACATTTAATGGATTTACTGCCAGTAATGTCAGTAGAGCTAACATATATTTGCCTTGGTCAGATGCCTCAACATTTAATAGATTTACTGCCAGTAATGTCAGTAGAGCTAACATATATTTGCCTTGGTCAGATACCTCAACATTTAATGAGGTTATTGTGAGATCTTATGTTTTCTAACTTTATCCTTACCTCAGAATTTAAAAGACTACCTGGCCTATATTTCATCAGATGATAAATGTATGGTTTATTACATCTTATTCAAATTTACCCAAAATTAGGTTCCTAGGTAAGAAAAGTCTTACCTCACTAGTCACTCACTAGACCCCTTTTTGACCTGAGACTCAGCAATGTATTCCTGGTTCAGGTTTAACAGTGATTAAGATTGAATGGTATCCATGAACATAGTCTTCTTTCTTTTTCATAAGTTTACAAAAGACATTAATTAAGGATGATGATAGAATCCCTATTGTTTAATACCTGATTTATTGAGTTTTTATATACATTTACAGAATCAGACCTTCAAAGGAGACATTCTATAATGACCAGAAAGATGCCAGATAAGATAGTCCTAAGTAGTGCTGTGTCATCTCCATTGCTTCAGTCACTTAAAGATGTCTTCCAGAGAGTAACCTCCCCTACACCAGATCAGGCTAAGGTATGTACAATTATCTCATCGACTAGGGCATATCTGCCACTCATGTGTCAAGCATGTGCTCGTGTGTGACAGTTTCTTTAAGATGACATAACTTTTTTTAGACAAATCAACAAATCTGTTTAATAGTGGCATTGCAAGGTTCTTTTTCAGACCATGTAGTTTTGTCTTGCCTGTTACGCAGAATGTAAGACATAGGGATGCTAAATAGGCGACTTAAGTGTTAGCTCTTTGCGTTAAGTTTAATATTTTAAAAGGTATAGGATAAGAACTTTATACTTCATTCATTTCTTGTATACACATGTCATATGTTTTAAACTTTCCGTTTTGCATGGTTCACCAACTGTTTAAAAATTATGAATAAAATATTAAAATATCATTATGGACAACTGTATTTGGTATATAGAATCATTGCAAGGTACACATGTTCAACATATATACAGGGTTCAATTGACCATCACCTCATTTCATGGATCAGTAATCGATGTGTTTTTATGATTAGATCTGTTTCTCAAATACAATAAGCAATAGGTCAACTATATTTGTAGTATAGAATGATTGTTTGGTGTACATGTTTTATGCTTCCATCATAAAATTCAATCATAATATATAAAGCAGAGGAGACATTTCAGTGTGCAGTCTTGTTACTAATGACCATTATAGTTTTCTTATTGTCATTTCTATTATTTTTTAGTAGGGATCATATGATGATTTGCTGATTTACACTTTTTATTGTTCCAGAAAATACTTTGATACAAATTCCTTTTTTTTTTAGTCATTTTTTGATATTCCGAGTTCAGCAGCACAAGTTCAAGGTCAGCCCTCACCAAGTTCATCTTTGATGTCTGGTGTAAGCTCAGGATCAGAAGGTGATATACAGCAGATCATACAAAAATACGAGGAAGGCAGCCGTGGCATTCTGAATCCTGTATTCTCTTCACTTCTTGTCAAGTGGTTTGATTTCTGTCATGAACTAGGTTTGTTTAAATACAGGCTATGAAGTAGATACACAATGAAGAATGCTGTAAACTATTGTAGATTCCTGTCATGAACTAGGTTTGTCTAAATACAGGCTATCAAGTAGATGTACAATGAAGAATGCTGTCAACTATTGTAGATTTCTGTCATGAACTAGGTTTATATAAATACAGGCTATGAATTAGATATACAATGAAGAATGCTGTCAACTATTGTAGATTTCTGTCATGAACTAGGTTTGTATAAATACAGGCTATGAAGTAGATGTACAATGAAGAATTCTGTCAACTATTGTAGATTTATTTCATGAACTAGGTTTGTATAAATACAGGCTATGAAGTAGATGTACAATGAAGAATGCTGTAAACTATTGTAGATTTATGTCATGAACTAGGTTTGTATAAATACAGGCTATGAAGTAGATATACAATGAAGAATGCTGTCAACTATTGTAGATTTCTGTCATGAACTAGGTTTGTATAAATACAGGCTATCAAGTAGATGTACAATGAAGAATGCTGTCAACTATTGTAGATTTCTGTCATGAACTAGGTTTATATAAATACAGGCTATGAATTAGATCTACAATGAAGAATGCTATCAACTATTGTAGATTCCTGTCATGAACTAGGTTTGTATAAATACAGGCTATGAAGTAGATGTACAATGAAGAATGCTGTAAACTATTGTAGATTTCTGGCATGAACTAGGTTTGTATAAATACAGGCTATGAAGTAGATGTACAATGAAGAATGCTGTCAACTATTGTAGATTTCTGTCATGAACTAGGTTTGTATAAATACAGGCTATCAAGTAGATTCACAATGAAGAATGCTGTCAACTATTGTAGATTTCTGTCATGAACTAGGTTTGTATAAATACAGGCTATGAAGTAGATTCACAATGAAGAATGCTGTCAACTATTGTAGATTTCTGTCATGAACTAGGTTTGTATAAATACAGGCTATGAAGTAGATGTACAATGAAGAATTCTGTCAACTACTAGTATTGTAGATTTATTTCATGAACTAGGTTTGTATAAATACAGGCTATGAAGTAGATGTACAATGAAGAATGCTGTAAACTATTGTAGATTTATGTCATGAACTAGGTTTGTATAAATACAGGCTATGAAGTAGATATACAATGAAGAATGCTGTCAACTATTGTAGATTTCTGTCATGAACTAGGTTTGTATAAATACAGGCTATCAAGTAGATGTACAATGAAGAATGCTGTCAACTATTGTAGATTTCTGTCATGAACTAGGTTTATATAAATACAGGCTATGAATTAGATCTACAATGAAGAATGCTATCAACTATTGTAGATTCCTGTCATGAACTAGGTTTGTATAAATACAGGCTATGAAGTAGATGTACAATGAAGAATGCTGTAAACTATTGTAGATTTCTGGCATGAACTAGGTTTGTATAAATACAGGCTATCAAGTAGATGTACAATGAAGAATGCTGTCAACTATTGTAGATTTCTGTCATGAACTAGGTTTGTATAAATACAGGCTATGAAGTAGATTCACAATGAAGAATGCTGTAGCTATGGTAGATTTCTGTCATGAACTAGGTTTGTATAAATACAGGCTATGAAGTAGATGTACAATGAAGAATGCTGTCAACTATTGTAGATTTCTGTCATGAACTAGGTTTGTATAAATACAGGCTATGAAGTAGATGTACAATGAAGAATGCTGTCAACTATTGTAGATTTTTGTCATGAACTAGGTTTGTATAAATACAGGCTATGAAGTAGATGCACAATGAAGAATGTTGTCAACTATTGTAGATTTCTGTCATGAACAATGTTTGTATAAATACAGGCTATGAAGTAGATGTACAATGAAGAATGCTGTCAACTATTGTAGATTTCTGTCATGAACTAGGTTTGTATAAATACAGGCTATCAAGTAGATTCACAATGAAGAACGCTGTCAACTATTGTAGATTTTTGTCATGAACTAGGTTTGTATAAATACAGGCTATGAAGTAGATGTACAATGAAGAATGCTGTCAACTATTGTAGATTTCTGTCATGAACTAGGTTTGTATAAATACAGGCTATCAAGTAGATGTACAATGAAGAATGCTGTCAACTATTGTAGATTTCTGTCATGAACTTGGTTTGTATAAATACAGGCTATGAAGTAGATGTACAATGAAGAATGCTGTCAACTATTGTAGATTTCTGTCATGAACTAGGTTTGTATAAATACAGGCTATCAAGTAGATGTACAATGAAGAATGCTGTCAACTATTGTAGATTTCTGTCATGAACTAGGTTTGTATAAATACAGGCTATGAAGTAGATTCACAATGAAGAATGCTGTCAACTATTGTAGAATATCTAATGCTCAGTAATGTGATATATTATCATACTTACATAAAGCAGCAAAGAATAAGTGGCAGATTGAAAAACAGCAAAAACTTAATGTTTACATTTTATCTCATTTGTTGAGGCATGTGCCAGTAAAAATGGTGGCTGAAATCTGAAAATCAGTGTCTATAGATGTTGAAAAAGTTAATAACAATAACAAAAAAATGTTGTAAAATTGAAAACTATTTTTCCCTTTTTATACGACCGCAAAAAAATTTTTGTGGTCGTATATTGGTATGACGTTGGCGTCGTCGTCGTCCGGCGTCGTCGTCGTCGTCGTCGTCGTCCGGCGTCGTCCGAAGACACATTGGTTTTCGCACTCTAACTTTAGTTTAAGTGAATGGATCTTTATGAAATTTTACCATAAGGTTCAATACCACAAAAGGAAGGTTGGGATTGATTTTGGGGGTTATGGTAATAACAGTAAAGGAATTAGGGGCCAAAAAGGGGCCAAAAATAAGCATTTTTGTAACTTCCAGACATAACTTGTGTGTTAGTGTATGGATCTCTCTGACATTGTACCACAAGGTTCCATATCACTAAAGGAATGCTGGGATTGATTTTGGGGGTAATTGCCTCCAAATTTTAGGAATTAGGGGCCAAAAAAGGGGCAAAAAACAAGCATTTTTCTAGTTTCATGACAATAACTTGTGTGTAAGTGTATGGATCTTTCTGAAATTGTACTACAAGGTTCCATATCACAAAGGGAAAGCTGGGTTTGAGTTTGGGGGTAATTGCCCTAAACGTTTAGGAATTTGGGGCCAAAAAGGGGCCAAAAAACACATTTTTTTCTAGTTTCCAGACAATAACTTGTGTTCAAGTGTATGGATCTCTCTGAAATTGTACTGCAAGGTACCATACCACAAAGGGAAGGCTGGGATTGAGTTTGGGGGTGATGAATCATAATGGGGGTTCAAAAAATTTTGGGGGGGGGATTTATTTTTTTTTCCTTTTTTTTCTTTTTTTCCTTTTTTGTTTCTTTTAAAATTTTCCATTTTAAGTTGGTTATTTCTGATTTATATTTAAAATCAAATAATAATGATATGGTAGGAGATACACACCAAACAGGATGTGTAAATTATTATATAATAAGTATTGTGCAATAGCAAGAAATTTTCAATTGCACAGTATTGCACAATAGCAAGAAATCTTCAATTGCACAGTATTGCGCAATAGCAAGAAATCTTCAATTGCACAGTATTGCGCAATAGCAAGAAATATCCAATAGCACAATATTGCGCAATAGCAAGAAATTGTCAATTGTACAGTATTGCGCAATAGCAAGAAATATTTAATAGCACAGGATTGTGCAAAAGAAGATACTTCCTATAAATTGCTTATTTCTTGACCAATTTCAATGGGGTTTTATTCTTGATTTCATGGGGTTCTTTAATATGCTGAATATAACCGTGTATTTAGTTTTTGGATTTTGGGCCCCGTTTTTAAATTGGTCCACATTGAGGTCCAAAGGGTCCAAAATTAAACTTTGTTTGATTTCATCAAAAATTGAATTATTGGGGTTCTTTGATATGCCGAATCTAACTGTGTATTTAGATTCTTAAATTTTGGATCCGTTTTCAAATTGGTCTACATTAAGGTCCAAAGGGTCCAAAATTAAACTTAGTTTGATTTTAACAAAAATTGAATTCTTAGGGTTCTTTGATATGCTGAATCTAAACATGTATTTAGATTTTTGATTATGGGCCCAGTTTTCAAGTTGGTTCAAATCGGGGTCCAAAATTAAACTTTGTTTGATTTCAACAAAAATTGAATATATGGGGTTCTTTGATATGCTGAATCTAACCATGTATTTAGATTTTTGATTTTTGGGCCCCGTTATCAACTTTGTCCACATTGAGGTCAAAAGGGTCCAAAATTAAACTTTGTTTGATTTCATCAAAAATTGAATTATTGGGGTTCTTTGATATGCCGAATCTAACCGTGTATTTAGATTCTTAATTTTTGGTTCCGTTTTCAAATTGGTCTACATTAAGGTCCAAAGGGTCCAAAATTAAACTTAGTTTGATTTTAACAAAAATTGAATTCTTAGGGTTCTTTGATATGCTGAATCTAAACATGTATTTAGATTTTTGATTATGGGCCCAGTTTTCAAGTTGGTCCAAATCGGGGTCCAAAATTAAACTTTGTTTGATTTCAACAAAAATTGAATATATGGGGTTCTTTGATATGCTGAATCTAACCATGTATTTTGATTTTTGGGCCCCGTTATCAACTTTGTCCACATTGAGGTCAAAAGGGTCAGAAATTAAACTTTGTTTGATTTCATCAAAAATTGAATTCTTGGGGTTCTTTGATATGCTGAATCTAACCATGTATTTAGATTTTGGATATTGGACCATAATAGGTGAATGTCCAATTTAAAATTTTTAAGTTCTTAGACCACATTCAATCTGTGTTAGAAACCTATGCTGTGTCAAATATTTAATCACAATCCAAATCCAAAGCTGTATCAAGCTTGAATGTTGTGTCCATACTTCCCCCAACTGTTCAGGGTTTCGACCTCTGCGGTCGTATCAAGCTGCGCCCTGCGGAGCATTTTATTGATATATAATTTCCAGAGCAATTATCAGTCTGCATTTCATCATTTTATTTATGAATCTTATTTTTAGGTGTGCCTTCTGTGAGTAAAGACGTTATGGCTTTGGCTTCAAGATTTGCTGTTGATTTTTTCCTGAAAGAATTCATTAACGTTGTGTCTCATATACTTGGTGATGTCCATCCTAAAATCTTCAAGTTATACAAAGACAGTGAGGGAAATCTCTGTAATGGAACGTTATACAACCCATGCAGAATTCCAGTTCAGGTAATGCTTATAAGATAAGCTTGGTTCTAACAAAAAGCTCTGTGATCATTTGGATTTTTTATGATTTTTAAACAGACAGCTTGGGATTTCTTAAAAAAACGTGAAGAATTTTTATCTTTTCCTAGGTAAAGCTTTAGACCCACCGTCTGAATTCTGACTACATGTTATCATAGCATTTTTGTTAAAATGTTTCCTTATATCTTAGGTATATTTCTACTTATATCATTTACTACGTAAAGAAAATTCTCTTTGCTTCCTGTCAGGCGGAGTTCACAAGTTTGTATTATGTTTGCAGGCCTTTAACATATAGAATGATTTCAATGTATTACAGACTGATGATGTAAATATAGAGAGTTCATTGGATACTACAGACAGATTTGATATGGTGATGGCAGATCAAGACATTAACTTTGTGGTTGTTGGACGTAACACAGAACAATGGCAGGCTAGTGTCCAGGATTTTAATGAGGAAGAATTTACTGCTTCACCCACTTCTCCTAAAGGTAATGCTTGATATTTACCTATGTCTGTATCATTTACTGCTTCACCCACTTCTCCTAAAGGTAATGCTTGATGTTTACCTATGTCTGTATCATTTACTGCTTCACCCACTTCTCCTAAAGGTAATGCTTGATATTTACCTATGTCTGTATCATTTAATGCTTCAACCACTACTCCTAAAGGTAATGCTTGATATTTACCTATGTCTGTATCATTTACTGCTTCACCCACTTCTCCTAAAGGTAATGCTTGATATTTACCTGTATCTGTATCATTTACTGCTTCACCCACTTCTCCTAAAGGTAATGCTTGATATTTACCTATGTCTGTATCATTTAATGCTTCAACCACTACTCCTAAAGGTAATGCTTGATATTTACCTATGTCTGTATCATTTACTGCTTCACCCACTTCTCCTAAAGGTAATGCTTGATATTTACCTGTATCTGTATCATTTACTGCTTCACCCACTTCTCCTAAAGGTAATGCTTGATATTTACCTATGTCTGTATCATTTACTGCTTCACCCACTTCTCCTAAAGGTAATGCTTGATATTTACCTATGTCTGTATCATTTACTGCTTCACCCACTACTCCTTAAGGTAATGCTTGATATTTACCTATGTCTGTATCATTTACTGCTTCGCCCACTTCTCCTAAAGGTAATGCTTGATATTTACCTGTGTCTGTATCATTTACTGCTTCACCCACTTCTCCTAAAGGTAATGCTTGATATTTACCTGTGTCTGTATCATTCACTGCTTCACCCACTTCTAAAGGTAATGCTTGATATTTACCTATGTCTGTATCATTTACTGCTTCACCCACTACTCCTTAAGGTAATGCTTGATATTTACCTATGTCTGTATCATTTACTGCTTCACCCACTTCTCCTAAAGGTAATGCTTGATATTTACCTATGTCTGTATCATTTACTGCTTCACCCACTTCTCCTAAAGGTAATGCTTGATATTTACCTGTGTCTGTATCATTTACTGCTTCACCCACTTCTCCTAAAGGTAATGCTTGATATTTACCTATGTCTGTATCATTTACTGCTTCACACACTACTCCTAAATGTAATGCTTGATATTTACCTGTGTCTGTATCATTTACTGCTTCACCCACTTCTCCTAAAGGTAATGCTTGATATTTACCTATATCTGTATCATTTACTGCTTCACCCACTTCTCCTAAAGGTAATGCTTGATATTTACCTGTGTCTGTATCATTTACTGCTTCACCCACTTCGCCTAAAGGTAATGCTTGATATTTACCTATGTCTGTATCATTATCTTTAGCTTTGCAGAAGTTTCCATATTATGACTTTCTGACATCAAATAGAGTTGACTGAATGGTTTTTTAAAAGTTTGACCTAACAATATCATTGTAGGCTTCTAAAACAATGAAGTTTAAATCAAGAATATCACTCAGATCAATACAATAAACAGATGATCAGTTTTTCAGCATATATGCAGTGTAAATTATCAACAGTATTAACCTAATTGACTTGTTCTCTACTGTGCTTATTCCCTGAGATATGCTGAATAGTGGGAAATTTTACAATTTCTGAATGTAAAAATCCTGATAATCTATACAAACATTTATAAGAATTAGGAGATATGGTAGGATTGCCTATAAAATAACTATCCATTAGAGACCAAAGGCAAGAATGTAAACAATATTCAACAATGAGCAAAACCCATACTGTATAGTAAGTTAGAAACAAAATGGGAAACAATATAAAAAAAAAACATCCCAACAACCTGATTTATGCTTAAACAAATTACAACATAAGGAAGACAGCAATCAACAACTGTCACTGAGACTTGTCACAGACACACAAATAATGTGGTAGGGTTGAACAATTTTGTGAACATTCAACCCTCCTCTTAATCTGGAACAGTGGTGTAACAGCACAACATAAGAACAATATATAAAAATCAGTTGGAAAAGACATGACTCATCAAATTTGCACTGAGCACAAACAAAATCTATCAAAAAGACAAAAGACATAAGGTACCAATTGCAATCTAAGACATAGGCAGATCCAGGGGGGGGCCCTGGGGCCCCCCCCCCCTTTTGTGGGAAAAATTTGGTTGATTATATAGGGAATCACTGAAGCATGACTGGAGCGGCCCCCCCCCCTTAGGTCAGTCAGTGGGCCCCCCTTACAAAAAGTTCTGGATCCGCCACTGTAAGAGATATTGCAGATACTATATGCTATAGGTAGTTTATTTACGTGATGTCAGAAAAACATGTTGGTAGTTTTTTTATCGTTCATTATTTTCCTATTTTTTACATGATTTAGAGGAATAGTATTTTAGTGATTTTCTTTTCGAAAAAAAAGGGGGGAGAGAATTGTATGTTTTGGTTCAAATATTGATAATAAATCTTGAACATAAAATGCCTTACAAATCTTAGGTATTTGCCTTTAAACACCTGCCTTTAATTAACAGTGGATGTTTTGGAATCTGTTGCCTATCCATCCATTGTCATTCCTTTTGTCTGTTCTTATCCTTTATAGAATTGACTGATACAATCTTTCAAATTGGAATCTGTTGATTGTATACACAAAACCATGCAGAAATTTCTATACAGTGTGGCTTATAAATGCAAGAGGTTTTGGCAACCTTATTGTGTGGCATTACAATTCAAACCATATCTTGTTTTTTTTCATTAACTTCATTGTTAGTTTTAAACTTATGATGTTGTAGTAGAAAACATTCCCAGCCCCTTTGTATATTTAGCTAAACAGAAAAACTGTTATACAATGATAATATTTTTTTTAAAGATGGTAACATGTTTACTTCAATATAAGCAATAGAATAAAAGGATTTTTTTTATTTGTGTTTCTTTAGCTATACCAAAACAAACATATCAGAGATTTCCACCATTGTGGTCTGAAAGAGAAAAATCACCAGATATAATGAACATGTTGGCAAGTCCAGATCCATTGTTTATTCCGAGACAGAGGTTACTGTTACTTACTGTACAGAACAGAAATGTAAGTATTAGGGGGGAAAAAGGGGGGAGTGTACAAATGATATCCCCAGATATGTAATGGAAATATTGGCAAGTCCAGATCCATTGTTTATTCCGAGACAGAGGTTACTGTTACTTACTGTACAGAACAGAAATGTAAGTATTAGGGGGAAAAAAAGGGGGAGTGTACAAATGATATCCCCAGATATGTAATGGAAATATTGGCAACTCCAGATCCATTGCTTATTCCGAGACAGAGGTTACTGTTACTTACTGTACAGAACAGAAATGTAAGTATTAGGGGGAAAAAAGGGGGAGTGTTCAAATGATATCCCCAGATATGTAATGGAAATATTGGCAAGTCCAGATCTATTGTTTATTCCAAACTAGTGTTTATACCAAGACAAAGGTTACTGTTATTTATTATTAAGAACAGAAATGTAAGTAGAAGGGGAAAAAAGGGAGAGTGTACAAAAGACCTGAACCACTGTTTTTTTCTAAGTAGAATTTGTTGTTACTTTCAATACAAAATACATATCTAAATGGAAGGAAAAAGGTTGGAGTGATTGAATAATCATCAGATGCAGCTTATGATGAGTTCTGAATAATTGCTTATTATATCCTGACAGAAGTTACCTTAATAATATATTTTATCTTACCTCCTATACATTTCTAGAAATATGATTGTTTAAAAGCGACCACGTGAAGACCATGTATATTTCATATGGGATTAGTAGGCATGGTTTATTTCAATACAGGGTTAGTAGTGGTGTTATGTACCTTTGTAAAAAACAAGACGGCGTTGAAGAAAAACCTGAAACGTTTCGCTCTGACAACAGATGAAGAAATTGATGATGAACGATTGAAATAAATGCAGAAAACACATTAAAAGCTAACAAGTTGTTATTGTTGGCATTTGTTTTTGTATAGACAAATGGAAGTAGGTTCTTTATATTGAAGACTTGATCACTTTGATAGGCCACTAGTCTAAATGCCACATGTTAAAATAGTGGGTAAGATAAATTGGTTCCACAGTGTACTAGTGACCTAATACGATATATATGGGGTCAATAAATTGCATATGTGGTTCAAGACTCGCTCTCACCCCATATGGAATTTACTGAACCCATATATATCGTATTAGGTCACTAGCACACTATGTAACTAATAATATTCCATGTTGTGAGCTGCTTTAGACTATTCATGATGATTTTAATTTCTGATTTTGTAGCTATGCCTGTACACATATAACTGGGCTGGTGATTTGAACAAGATCCTCGTTTCCAATGTTATGAAGTTAGTGAAGTGGAATAACAATCGTAATACCTTACTCAATAGTATTATCAGTCAGAAAATGGGACTGTTCCATCATTGTGGATTTTCACAGTCAAGTAAAACAAAGGTGGGTTTCTTATGATCTTAAAAACTTACAACATAAAATTCAATTATTATCATTAAAGCTGGTGAGACATTTCAGCATACTCTTTCTTTTTGTGTCATATCTTGACAATGTTGCAAAGGCGAGACCAAGGCCTGCTGTTCCTTTTCGGCCACATCAGTGTCAGCAAATTATTCATGTTTTTCTTATAATCTCCATGACGATAAGTTGGCACTGCCCCCTCATTCATGGTCTATTGACTCTAAAACTTAGGCTAAGCTTGAATTTTTTAATTTGTGATTAGGTCAGTTTAAGGATAACCACTTATTGAAAGTCAATGATATTTGGTATGCAGTTGTATTAGCATTTGCACATGGCCCAAGAACACAGTTATTTCATAGTGCATTTCTTTTAGACAATAAATTCAAATTAGAAAAATCGCACCTGCTCTATCTCAAAAAGATTTTTACAATGTAGTGTACTACTATTGGGACAAATAATATCAAAATTCTAGAAAAGTCTATCAGCTCTAACTCAAAATATGGACAATTCTATGTTAAGGGGGTCTAAAATTCAGTTTGACAGCTTCAGACATTCTAGATTTTGACCTTTTTAACTGGACCAAATCACTACTTAACATAAAGATTCAGCACCCAAATTTTTTTAACGTAATTTCATCCCCTTAATACTTCATGCATAAAATATAAAGAAATAAATGTGGACAGTGTATTCAAAAATATTACAAGTTATACACTGTCCACACTAGGGACTATATTTGTAGACAACTGAAATCAGACAACTGAAATCAAAGGACAATAACTGGGTCCTCCGACCACATTTCATTTCCATGAAGATTGTTTGGCCCTGCATTTTCTGTTCATTGACTTTTGTTTTTCTGTTCATTGACTAATGTTTTGCATAATTTACATATTAAATTATTGCCAGAATAGTCAAAGGAATATTGTTTTAACCTGTGTATCTGCTAAAGTGGTATATGATTTGTCTACTCAACTTCTACAGTTTATTTTAGCTACAATGTTATTATTTTTGAAGAATGTTTATGCATGTTTAAAGAAATTCTTTTTAGAATTTTTATATATTATAGAACACTGAATTAGACAATTTGATCAAACATGCAGCACCACCTCCAAATGAACATCTGAGAAGGAAGAATAGTAACATTGGCCAATTCAGTGCTAGTCATCCTAGTCAACCTTTTGATGAGGCTTACAAGGACACACAGCCTACGAAACCTCTCTCACAGACACTTCATGCTGCCATTAGAGATGTGGTCAAATGTCATGGGTTACAAACACAAGGGGTCAGAGGTCATGTCAGAAAAGGTAAGAGGTTGATCCATATTAACAAGATGCATCAGTAATGTGTTTTATCGTATTGTGTATATACTATATATTCTACAACACCTAATGTGTTTTGTGTTATTGAACAAGGTATAAGGTCATGTAATTTAAGTAAAGAAACCATTTAAGGTATCATCAGTTAATACAAGTATTTCTTTTTTTAAACAATATGCAGTAAAGATTACTTAACTGAATTTAAGGAAAAAATATGAAAAATCAAAATTAAAAGGACAATTTGACAAACAAACACCACTGTAAACTTAACCCGTAAACAAAACCAAATGAGTTTGATGGTACATATGTCTTGCTTTGCATATAAGATTGATCATATTGTACAGAGGTCAATGCCAAGGCAATAGTTAGTCATATATTTACAGACTGTCAATATGTTAGAAAAAAAAAGACTATGAAACTCTTCTTTTAACTATTGACCAACCACTGATAGTAGGTGAAACAGTTTAGAAATATATTTTTAACAAAATTCATCTAAAGCTCAGCTAAATTTATATCTGTAAGTTTCACACATTACTACTGCTGATTCATTTATTTTTCGTGGGTACCAATATTCGTTGATTGATGACAGTTGTATTTTCATGGATATTTGATTTTGTGGTTTTGCCAAAGTTTTCAAAAAAAAATTTGTACTTCATTAAACACTTATATTCTTTACATGTAGTGATTTACACAGTACTGTTTACTTTACATGGATTGTTATGTTGTATATCTTTTCCAGATTTAGATGCAATACTGACCTTAAATAAAATGTTTTGGTCATGGATTGCTAAATCCAGTTGTAATGAACCAATTTATGTAAGTTTTACTGAGAGTAGTCAGATGAAAGTAGATGAAAAATATGCTACTGCAATAAATGTTGTATGTTTACTAAAGTTAATGATTTAATGTAATCTGTGAAAAACACATTTACACAAATCTATAGAAACCACACCAGTTATTCCTCAAAATTTAACTTCCACCAGAAGAACTATTCATGTAAATACCAATTTTTGGCAGGTAAATTCTAGTTGTACTAAAAAACATTCTTCTATAGTTAAACAGTTTATTTCTTAAGACTTGACTCTACCTTTACTTGGCTTTCACTATAACAGTTTTTGTTTCAACAGATTTGATTTTTAAAAATAGTTCTTGTTACAATTTTAATCTAGAATTGTATATTTGCATGACAATTGGTTGACAGATTAAAGATTTTTGCTTATATGGAAATTATTTTTTTCCCAAAAGCTGAATGTTAAACTTCAGAGAAGTTAACTGGTATGTCTCGACTTTTCACTTATGTAAAATGTTTTTTACAGGAAGAAGATTTACAGCTGTTAAAACAGTTCAGTCGTTTACTTCACTACTGTGCCACACCTATTCTCTTCTTCTCCCAATGGAGACAAAAAATTATGGAGAAGTATAGATCTACTCAAAGGCTACCTGGTACTCCTACTCCAGATAAAACTGATAAAAGTGTAAGAAAGGAAATAGTAGAACTGCAAAAACCTCACATTTATATATACTCATTACAAAAATATTTGTCAGTTTACAATATGGATTGAACTGAAGAAAGCTTTAGAACATATTTCTGATGCCGCCATAATACTTTTTGTGTTTTCATTCCAGTAGTATGAAGAATCAAGTGTGGGTTGACTTGTTTACAAACCTGTTGCCAAGACAACTTCACAGACGTGTTTTAAAATAATTATTTCTGCCTAAATAATGTTTGTATAATTCACTTAACAATCTTTTGATGAAGATTAAGGGCTGTTCCGTACAGGTACATGAGACCCATAGAATGCACTTTGAAAATAGGTTAACCATCTAATTTAGATATTCTCTTACACTATCCCTTTTCAAAAGCACCCACTTATGGTTGAGATTCAAAAGTACCTTGCATGGGACAGTGGGACCAATGTATGTTTTTATAAAAACAGCTCTAAGTAACATTTTAAGGATCCACTAAAATATTTAGATAGAAAAGAGCTTACAGCTAGGATGGTACAAAAACAACTATCCCACACTGATTTGACTTTAACTTTTTACAGAGATCTCGTCACAGTTCAGGAGCATCCACTAGTAGTTTGAGGACCAAAAGAGCTGACAGCCAAGATGGTAAGAAACGACCAGATTCGACACCAACCGACTCTCCCATTCATGGACAGAAACAGAAGACTTTTCAGGAAGAAGGATGGCATGTAGAAATACGGTCTGAGTTCATCAGTGAATACATCAACTATGTCAAGTCTCTGGGATTTGTCCCTATTAATCTTACAGCTAATCCAAAGAAAAAGTAAGAATGACCTGAATGTCAAGTCTCTTGGATTTGTCCCTATTAATCTTACAGCTAGTCCAAAGAAAAAGTAAGAATGACCTGAATGTCAAGTCTCTTGGATTTGTCCCTATTAATCTTACAGCTAGTCCAAAGAAAAAGTAAGAATGACCTGAATGTCAAGTCTCTTGGATTTGTCCCTATTAATCTTACAGCTAATCCAAAGAAAAAGTAAGAATGACCTGAATGTCAAGTCTCTGGGATTTGTCCCTATTAATCTTACAGCTAATCCAAAGAAAAAGTAAGAATGACCTGAATTAGTTTACTCTTATCTTTTTTATCTATCATTCTAATATGACGTTCTTCTTTTGCATTGGAAACAAAGCCATGTTCTAATTGGAATAAAACATGGGCTGCATGTGATTGACGTCACAATTGAAATTGCAACGTCAGTTGTATTTTAAACAAACACTGTAGATCAAAATAGACATTTGTGTTGGTATTGCTCTCTAGGAAATTATAGAAAATCATTCTAAAAGTAAGTTTACATGTATCTGTTCATTTTTATACGACCGCAAAAAAATTTTCTGGTCGTATATTGGTATGAAGTTGGCGTCGTCGTCGTCGTCCGAAGACACATTGGTTTTCGCATTCTAACTTTAGTTTAAGTGAATGGATCTCTATGAAATTTTACCATAAGGTTCAATACCACCAAAGGAAGGTTGGGATTGATTTTGGGGGTTATGGTACCAACAGTTAAGGAATTAGGGGCCAAAAAGGGGCCATAAATAAGCATTTTTGTAACTTCCAGACATAACTTGTGTGTTAGTGTATGGATCTCTCTGACATTGTACCACAAGGTTCCATATCACAAAGGGAATGCTGGGATTGATTTTGGGGGTAATGTGCCTCTAAATTTTAGGAATTAGGGGCCAAAAAAGGGGCAAAAAATAAGCATTTTTCTTGTTTCATGACAATAACTTGTGTGTAAGTGTTTGGATCTTTCTGAAATTGTACTACAAGGTTCCATATCACAAAGGGAAAGCATGAATTGATTTTGGGGGTAATTGCCTCAAAATGTTAGGAATTAGGGGCCAAAAAGGGGCAAAAAACAAGCATTTTTTTCTTGTTTCAGGACAATAACTTATGTGTAAGTGTATGGATCTTTATGAAATTGTACTACAAGGTTCCATATTACAAAGGGAAAGCTGGGTTTGAGTTTGAGGGTAATTGCCCTAAACATTTAGGAATTTGGGGCCAAAAAGGGGCCAAAAAACAAGCATTTTTATACGCCCGTCAAATTTTTGACGGGACGTATTATGGTATACAAATGTCTGGCGTCCGTCCATCTGTCCGTCTGTCTGTCCGGCGTAAACATGTCGCACTGTAACTTGAGAATGACTTATCCAAATTTCATGAAACTTAACTATTGTTTCTTATGATGGTCAAACGATCTGTATACTTTTTGGTGAAAATAAGATTAAAACTTTAAAACAAGCATTTTTATACGCCCGTCAAATTTTTGACGGGACGTATTATGGTATACAAATGTCTGCCGTCCTTCCGTCTGTCCGTCTGTCTGTCCGGCGTAAACATGTCGCACCGTAACTTGAGAATGACTTATCCAAATTTCATGAAACTTAACATAGTTGTTTCTTATGATGGTCAAACGATCTGTATACTTTTTGGTGAAAATAAGATTAAAACTTTTTGAGTTACGGGACTTAGTAACTAAAACAGGTGTGTGTTTATTTTCACATGTCGTGCCGTATCTCAGAAACAATTTATGATTATTGCTTAAAACTTTACACGCTTCTTAGTTATATTAATCTTAAGATCTGTATACTTTTTGGTGATGATTCAAAATTTCATTTTAGAGATATTGAGTATTTTGTTAAAAAAGGGGGAGGGGTTTTTCACATGTCACGCTGTATCTCAAAAACAGTTTATGATTATTGCTTAAAACTTTACACACTTCTTAGTTATATTAACCTTAAGATCTGTATACTTTTTGGTGATGATTCAAAATTTTATTTTTGAGTTATTGAGTATTTTGTAAAAAAAGGGGGAGGGGTTTTTCACATGTACATGTCGCGCCGTATCTCAAAAACGATTTATGATTATTGCTTAAAATTTTACACACTTCTTAGTTATATTAATCTAAAGATCTGTATACTTTTTGGTTTTGATTCAAAATTTTATTTTAGAGATATTGAGTTTTTTTTTTTTAAAAAAGGGGGTTTTCGCATGTCACGCCGTATGTCAGAAACTATTTATGCTTATTGCATAAAAATTCAACTACAAGACGACGGGCGTATCATGCGCTCATGGCGCAGCTGTTTATTCTAGTTTCCAGACAATTACTTGTGTTCAATTGTATGGATCTCTCTGAAATTGTACTGCAAGGTACCATACCACAAAGGGAAGGCTGGGATTGATTTTGGGGGTAATTGCCTCAAAATTTTAGGAATTAAGGGCCAAAAAGGGGCAAAAAACAAGCATTTTTTTCTTGTTTCAGGACAATAACTTATGTGTAAGTGTATGGATCTTTATGAAATTGTACTACAAGGTTCCATATTACAAAGGGAAAGCTGGGTTTGAGTTTGAGGGTAATTGCCCTAAACATTTTGGAATTTGGGGCCAAAAAGGGGCCAAAAAACAAGCATTTTTATACGCCCGTCAAATTTTTGACGGGACGTATTATGGTATACAAATGTCTGGTGTCCGTCCATCTGTCCGTCTGTCTGTCCGGCATAAACATGTCGCACTGTAACTTGAGAATGACTTATCCAAATTTCATGAAACTTAACATAGTTGTTTCTTATGATGGTCAAACGATCTGTATACTTTTTGGTGAAAATAAGATTAAAACTTTAAAACAAGCATTTTTATACGCCCGTCAAATTTTTGACGGGACGTATTATGGTATACAAATGTCTGCCGTCCTTCCGTCTGTCCGTCTGTCTGTCCGGCGTAAACATGTCGCACCGTAACTTGAGAATGACTTATCCAAATTTCATGAAACTTAACATAGTTGTTTCTTATGAAGGTCAAACGATCTGTATACTTTTTGGTGAAAATAAGATTAAAACTTTTTGAGTTACGGGACTTAGTAACTAAAACAGGTGTGTTTTTTTTTCACATGTCGTGCCGTATCTCAAAAACAATTTATGATTATTGCTTAAAACTTTACACGCTTCTTAGTTATATTAATCTTAAGATCTGTATACTTTTTGGTGATGATTCAAAATTTTATTTTAGAGATATTGAGTTATTTTTTTTAAAAAAGGGGGTTTTCGCATGTCACGCCGTATGTCAGAAACTATTTATGCTTATTGCATAAAAATTCAACTACAAGACGACAGGCGTATCATGCGCTCATGGCGCAGCTGTTTATTCTAGTTTCCAGACAATTACTTGTGTTCAATTGTATGGATCTCTCTGAAATTGTACTGCAAGGTACCATAACACAAAGGGAAGGCTGGGATTGAGTTTTGGGGGTGATGAATCATAAGGGGGTTCAACAAATTGGGGGGGGGGATTTTTTTTTCCTTTCTTTTTCTTTGAAATTTTCCATTTTAGATTAGTTATTTCTGATTTATATATAAAAGCAAATAATAATGATATGGTTTGAATAGGTAAATTAAATTTTTTTAAGTTCTTAGACCACATTCATTCTGTGTCAGAAACCTATGCTGTGTCAAATATTTAATCACAATCCAAATTCAGTGCTGTATCGAGCTTGAATGTTGTGTCCATACTTGCCCCAACTGTTCAGGGTTTGACCTCTGCGGTCGTATCAAGCTGCGCCCAGCGGAGCATTTTATTTATCGTGAAATGTTTAAATATTTATATCATTTTGGCTTTATCAAATCAAAATGTCTGCCTTTCAAACGTGTATTATAGGTCCACTTCAGAGGATAAAAGTTCTAAATTTTCCTATTAGAATCGAAATAATTCTATCATGCCGTACTCTATGCTCATTTTAACATGGGTAGGCATTATATTTGGCAACATTTTACACCTCGCTAACGCTCGGTAAAAAGATATTGACAAATATAATGCCTACCCATGTTAAAATGAGCATAGAGCACGGCATAAAAGAATTATATCTTAAATTTTATCTCGTTATACCCCCAACTATCTAAAGCGGGCAGTATATAGTGAAGGGGAGTCTGTCTTTCCATTTGTTAATTTATCTGTTCGTTTGTCCTTCTGTCTCTTAACATAATGAAGGTTTCTCAGAATCTTAACCATATAATATCATTATGCACCTTCTATTTTGTTTTTTGGTCTAAATTATTTTTAATGTGTCCTTTGTCAAAGCATGGACTTTGCCATTGCTTCATTTGGAGGGTCCCCATTTTGTATCTTGCTAAACCTATTACAATTAATTGAAATTTTCTCACAATCTTATCCATATAATGCCACTGTGCACATCCTATTTCTTAACTCATAGACTTTGCAAGGGTTGTGGTATCATTTTGTGAGCTTTGCTGGCAGTACCTCGAGTTTTCAATATGCAGCTGTTATTTTCTTCAAACAAAAATGAAGGGATATGAGGAATTCATTCATGAAACAAAATTACTTCAAACACTTTTTAAAACCAAATTAAAGCAAAGGAACAACATTTAAATTACTATTCTTCATCTTAAAGTCACAGTGAGGTCTTCTACGCACAGCAAAAATAAAAGTGATATATTGTTTAGAAAGCTATTTGACCTTGTTTCAGTTTTCGTCACAGAAAGACACCATCCCATGAAAATTTTGTACCAGATGATAGTCACAGACATGGTTCTATTGGTACAGTCAAGCATTTACAGAAGACCATGTCTGGTGGAATTATGTTGATGGAACTTAGTTTTAGGGAGCAGTATTTCTGTGTTAAGTTGTTTGTTTGTGAATCCTCCAGACTAGGAACACCTGTGAACCAGCATGTAGGTTAACTTAAAACCTTTTAAGGTTAAATTTGGGGGGGATTGTAGATTGTAGCTGAGAAACACCCTTTCGTTTGGAAAACTACCGATAATCTATTATTTTCAATTATCATTATAAGCACTCAGTGCTAGCAAAACAAGATTAAAATTACACACTGGTCTATTGACATTGGTTATGGCATTAAATTAAGTCAATTTTATTTATGACAAGATAACATAACAAGTCAGATCATTCTTTTAGGAGATGAAAAATAATAGAAACATATGGTTTTCATTTGTAGATTTTTAATGTTAATAAAGTGCTTAAAATTTGCTGTCAATATTTTATACAAAATGTTTAAATTTGTTGTTTGATACAATATGTCTCAGTAGCCATGTGGTCTGTGTGCCTATGACAATATATAAATGAAGCCAAGTGGTCCATTTGGCTGATTGATAATAGGTAAATGCAAGTAAGTGGTACATTTGACTGATTGACAATAGGTCAGTGTAACCAAGTGGTACATTTGGCTGATTGACAAATTTCATAGGTAAATGTAGTTAAGTGCTCCATGACTTAGATCATTTGTAACTTAGAAATAAGTAGGTGGTAGACATTTACCACTGGTAAGTCTAAAAGCTTTAACAGTATCCTATATATATATAGAAAGTGTAGTTTGAATATGACTTTGATGTAAGCTTATTGATTCTTTGTCAAAACATTTCCAATATAGCATAAGTAAACTTAAAATGATAGGTAGAAGTTCCAATGACATTATTATGACTTCAACTAACATTAACTCTCATTGGAGCTACAGTGTTTAGAGACCTCTTTATGACAGTTTTCTCTCTATTATTCTTCTACTGAAGAACTACCTCCACAAGATTTTGTTTCACTAATTACACAGGATACACAACATCAGTTGTTTGTAAGTATGGATTCATAATTTCTCACATGCTTAAAGCTTACTTTTCCTTTACATTGTGTAACTTAAGAAAGCAGTTTCTTTTTTTTCCTTTCAAAGCTACTGCAACAATGAACTGCACATCAATAGACTCTTTAAAATCATATGCAACTATTTCAGTCATAATAATGTAGGATAACTAAGCATGATACTGGTTTACGATTATATATAATTAACTGGTACTGTAAATTCAGGAAATTATTGCGAGGTTTTTATTGATATGTAAAAAATGCAACTGGATGAGTATCACAATAATAGGAGCTAGCATTCTGATATCTGACACATATATTTGTATGCAGCTATTCCTGTAATCGCAATAATTATTATCACACTTTGGTCCGCAATAATAAATGCAAACAACAATTTCTTAATACAGTAACCAGTATGATAATTGTTTAGAAAATTCATAAAATACTTTGACATCTTCTTATTAAACCTTCATTTCAAAAGTTATCTTATATTTATTCAAAATGAAATCATAATATAATGATATTTATAAATCATATTAAACCATTTTATATATTCTTGTAAAAATTTTCACTCTGATCATGCAGTAGTACCATATTTGTTTTCTTTGGTTGTGTTGGTGTCATAAATATTTATTTAATTTTACCATTAATTTTACCATTGGTGTATCATTAGGAAGGCATTTATATGTGTCAAAATTTAATTGTTATATAAATACTGAAAGTAAATAACTATGCATATAAGTTGCATGGGCAGATGTGTGATTTGTCTACATTTGAACAGTTGAAAACATCACAACATTTGTTACTGTGAAATTTTATCAACAGGAAAAAAAGGTTTGATTTTATGATTCTTAAAGCACACAGCACCACATGGCTTACCATACTGAAGTTATTTTCACATATTACATTTTTGCCAGTTTTTGTCGACTTTATAGTGAATTACTTTGAAATATAGGACGTCATAGGGCAAGTAAAAGGAAAATTTTCAAATAAATTTGTAATGGAAAAGATTAAAATTTAAACTACTTTTATGTATAAAAAATTATTTCTGAAATTACAAGGATTATGCAGACAATATCACATTTTTTGTAGTACTGATTTTCAATAGTTTATTTTGCAATTTTCTTTTTGACTCCTGTTCAATCTTTGGTAAAATTGACACCTTGTTAAGCATCAAAGTCACATGATGACTGCTATAGTTTGGTATGATAGGGATTTTGTTCACAACATTTAGGATACACATTGTTTTTGCAGGACTTTGCATGCTTTCTGTTTTACAACTTAACAAAACCACGTTCCCTTGCCTAAGAGAAAGGTAATCTTTACCACTGCAATCCGACATTGTTAGTAGCTGTATGAATTGAGCACTAATATGCAGTGCTTCAGGATAAAATCACAAATTTATCCTCACAGCTACAAATTTTTTTCAAGCCATGTACGAATGCATTGACAGTAATGTAAAATGAATATTTTTTGCGTTTCAGTTAAAGGTATTGTTTGTGGATGAATGTGAGAAATGTAAAGATCTAATACATGTACATTCCTTTGCCCATGATTTCCATCTACGATCGATACAGTCCTGTATCAGTGGTAAAGGCATGTATAAAAATTTCTACCATATGACTGGATTCCTGTCTGACTTCAGTTTGGTGTACCCATATCCACCAGCATTCTCAAGGAATTTTCTTCTGACAGGTATGAATCTTATGCTGGATCTCATATGGCTTCATATTATATATATTTTTCAGTGTTTTAGAACTTTTTGAATTAACATACTTTTAACAATTTATAGTATGAATAAAGAGATGTGGGGTGTATGTCAATGAAAAAAGCAACCCGATAACACAAATAACCTAAGACAGTTATTGTGTTCCACTTACACAAATAACCAATAGACCATTATAGTGTCCCACTTACACAAATAACTAAAAGACCATTATAGTGTTCCAATTACATAAAAAGCTATAAATCCATTATAGTGTCCCACTTACACAAATAACCAGAAGACCATTATAGTGTTCCAACTTCCAATGACATAAAAAGCTATAAATCCATTATAGTGTCCCACTTACACAAATAACCAAAAGACCATTATAGTGTTCCAATGACACAAAAAGCTACAAGACCATTATAGTGTCCCACTTACACAAATAACCAAAAGACCATTATAGTGTTCCAATGACATAAATAACCAAAAGACCATTATAGTGTTCCAATGACACAAATAACCAAAAGACCATTATAGTGTTCCAATGACACAAATAGCCATAAGACATTTATATATTTCTCGCACTACCTTGTCCTATCTATTTGGATTTTTGGTCAAGAACTCAAGCCCAGATTATTTCCATATACATCTGTGTCAGTGGTGTCGTGCTCGTTATACAGGACAATCTAATTAAAATATAGATTTCTGATTTCTGTGAAGAAGATTTTCAATTACGACCTGTGTCGGACTAATGGGGTGTCAGACCAATGGGGTGTTGGAATATCGGGGCAACCCCCAATTTGTTAATTTTTTATTATTATTTTTTAGACAATTATTTTGCTCAAAGAAAGAGGTACATGTTCTTGACTTCTTTGTTTTTTTAAAATTTCACATCATAATTGGAAAACTGGTTATTATAGTAGAGGGTCAAATGTCTTTGGAATTCAACACACAGACTGTTTTCCCAACACTCCATACATATATGAAAACAAGTAGTATTCACAGAATCTTTTCTCTACATTTTCAAACTTATATAAATGATATCATAATATGTAACACATTTTACAAATACATAAACAAGATAGAATTCCCAGAGAATAGAACTGTTATCAATTTCCAGTTCAAAAGTTTTTTTCAGAATTAACCTTGAGAACCAGAAATATTTTAACCTATGTCTTTGTAAGTATTGTGTTTCTTTCCAGATTATATAACATTTTCAGAGTTATCTTCTCCTGCTCAGACATTGTATGAACATATGACTAGACATATCAAAGACCATGGTATGAAAGTCATTGCCATGACACCCACTGTTGATGCTGATATTGAAAGTGTAAGTATTTTAGATATAACTTTCTCATAGTAACCATATACTGATCAGAGGTTACAAGTGAGAAGGTCATCACCACATAATCCCACTCCTGATCAGTGGGCACAAGTGAGAAGGTCATCACCAAATAACCCCTCTACTGATCATAGGGCACAAGTGAGAAGGTCATCACCACATAACCCCACTACTGATCAGAGGACACAAGTGAGAAGGTCATCACCAGATAACCCCTCTACTGATCAGAGGGCACAAGTGAGAAGGTCATCACCACATAACCCCTCTATTGATCAGACAACACAAGTATAAGTGTCAGAACTACAAAACCCACTAGTCATGTCAATATTGAAAGCGTAAGATTTTATATAACTTTTCATGAGTTATTATCCCTTACCCTGACATTGTATGAACATATGGCATTACACAGGGTTTAAAGGTGATTTTGATGACCTCAGCTGTGGAACTAATATTCTCAGTCAAGTTGTTTGAGATGGAAAATTATCACATACAAAAATCTAAGCAAAATTTAAGAAAAAAGGGGTAAATGGTATTACTTCTCATTCATTTTGCAAGCTCATCAATGCATTATATGTCTTACATGTGATAATAGCCTTGACCATATATTCATGCTTTATTGGTCATATAAAAATTTGTTGGATTTGATCTGTATCTCAGAAATTATACTTGATAGATTGAAAATATTTTATATGTAAATTAATTTCCTGTACATGAATGAATTGATTTGACATTGGCCTCAGTTTCAGATTTGATTACTATTAAAAGTAATTCAAAAATTGCAACAGGAGATATATTTTAGTGTGTCAATTCTTGTATTTTACATTTCAGGAATACTATTTTGTAAGGACAACAGAGTATGCCTTGACACAGTATAAAGAATTCAAGGTCCCTACTCGACAGAAGTCAGTGACTGACGATTTTGACATTGGACTTGTGATAACGAACATGTCTCAGAGTAATGTTTACCAGACTGATGCTGAGAAATATACTCTAAAGTTACAATACTTTATAGTACTAACCAGTAAGAGAGATCTGTTTCCTGTGGCTTACTTAGAGAAAAAGTTAGGACAGTTTAAAACCTTACCACAAACTCCAGGTAAGTCTCTTGTTTAATAGAAAGCAGATGACTAGAGCAAAGCATCAAAGAAAAGAACTTAAAAAAATTTTGTTAAAATTATGTTTATAAATCTTTTTCAATAGCATATTCAGCCAAGGTTGCAGCCATTCAACATGGTTCAACTGTACAGTTCATTCCTAAGGAAATTTTTCTCATCGTGAATTGTGCCATATTACTTTATAAATGTTGTAATAATGTACATTATGTAAATATTTCATCACATACTTACATTTTCATGTTTTAAGTCATTTATTCAAAAATAATTTTTTTTAAAATGAGGACAAAAATGTTGCCATATACAGAGCAAGTGACAAAAATTTGTAAATAAATATTAATAATGTTCACCAATATAGCACCAGTCCTATCTCACTTTCCATTCAAATGATAAAAAAAAGTCTGTAAAGCCAACACAAAAGTCCTGTCTTACTGGAGTTAAGGATGTACTTAAGTCAGGTTTAGGAATTTGTGTCAGATGTTCAGACTACTTGTTTTTATTTTTTCCTATGATACAGGGTAAAATATTTTGCCCCATAACACCCATTTTTCTTTTCATATAAGACTTCAATAGCTGATAAAAAGTCATTTACCAAAATTGAAGCAGATTCTAAATTTCTTTTCTTTCGATTTGAGACCCAAATAATACCAATGCAAATATAAGGTAAAAGTCCTAGTCAGCCTTTTCCCGCCATTTTTAAAAAATTAAATATCTAGAAAAGGAGCTCCATAACCTATCAATATTTTTAGATTATTTTGTTCCTTAACTAATGCTCTTCCGACTTATAGTATCAATTTTAAATTCTAGATTTTTTTTAATTTCACCTAAGTACATCCTTAAGTTATGTTAAAATATCACACTCTAAATGGAAACAAAATGTTTTTGCATTTATTGTAATTTAATTTAGATAATGATTTTATAGAAATTAAAGAATAATGAAAAGTATATTTTTATACGACCGCAAAAAAATTTTGAGGTCGTATATTGGTATGACGTTGGCGTCGTCGTCGTCATCCGAAGACACATTGGTTTTCGCACTCTAACTTTAGTTTAAGAGAATGAATCTCTATGAAATTTTACCATAAGGTTCAATACCACAAAAGGAAGGTTGGGATTGATTTTGGGGGTTATGGTACCAACAGTTAAGGAATTAGGGGCCAAAAATAAGCATTTTTGTAACTTCCAGACATAACTTGTGTGTTAGTGTATGGATCTCTCTGACATTGTACCACAAGGTTCCATATCACAAAGGGAATGCTGGGATTGATTTTGGGGGTAATTGCCTCAAAATTGTAGGAATTAGGGGCCAAAAAAGGGGCAAAAAACAAGCATTTTTCTAGTTTCATGATAACTTGTGTGTAAGTGTATGGATCTTTCTGAAATTGTACTACAAGGTTCCATATCACAAAGGGAAAGCTGGAATTGAGTTTGGGGGTAATTGCCCAAAACATTTAGGAATAAGGGGCCAAAAAGGGGCCAAAATTAAACATTTTTTTAGTTTCCAGACAATAACTTGTGTTCAAGTGTATGGATCTCTCTGAAATTGTACTGCAAGGTATCATACCACAAAGGGAAGGCTGGGATTGATTTTGGGGGTAATTGCCTCAAAATTTTAGGAATTAGGGGCCAAAAAGGGGCCAAAAACAAGCATTTTTCTAGTTTCAGGACAATAACTTGTGTGTAAGTGTATGGATCTTTATGAAATTGTACTACAAGGTTCCATATCACAAAGGGAAAGCTGGGTTTGAGTTTGGGGGTAATTGCCATAAACGTTTAGGAATTTGGGGCCAAAAAGGGGCCTAAAAACAAGCATTTTTCTAGTTTCCAGACAATAACTTGTGTTCAAGTGTATGGATTTCTCTGAAATTGTACTGCAAGGTACCATTCAACAAAGGGAAGGCTGAGATTGAGTTTGGGGGTGATGAATCATAAGGGGGTTCAAAAAATTTGGGAGAGGGATTTCTTTTTCCTTTTTTTCCTTTTTTTTCTTTAAAATTTTCCATTTTAAATTGGTTATTTCTGATTTATATATAAAAGCAAATAATAATGATATGGTTTGAATAGGTAAATTAAAAATTTTTAAGTTCTTAGACCACATTCATTCTGTGTCAGAAACCTATGCTGTGTCAAATATTTAATCACAATCCAAATTCAGTGCTGTATCAAGCTTGAATGTTGTGTCCATACTTGCCCCAACTGTTCAGGGTTCGACCTCTGCGGTCATATCAAGCTGCGCCCAGTGGAGCATTTTATTGTTCTGTGTAATTATTTCTTATTTTAAAAAAAAAATTATTCCTTATGCTGCTAAGATCTTAAATACTTATACTTTAGTGTAAGTAATGCCTTGTTTTATACAGAAGTTATCCCACGTACTAGCAGTAACCCAGTACCAGTTAAACAGCATATTGGTGTTAGAAAGCAATCAAGAAGACCGTATAAAAGAACCAATCAACATCAAGAAACTGCAGAAAACATCCTTTTTCAGGAATCTACTATGGCCAGGTTACTTGTATAAGAAAAACAATGCCCAGTCTGCACAACATCAACAAAGTAAAACCTTCATGGGTGACTGGGGAATAGAAATATGGTCATTTAGGTCTTCGTCCGACCGGTAGTAAAACCCTCGCCAAAGTGGGGCATCCGTTTGACTGTGCAGGATGTACAAATACACAGCTACGTCCGGTGTAAAGAGAGTGTCAAGCTCTCTGCATGTTAAGAACCCTTGCAACAACTCTTTGAGGGGTCCGTAGATGGCCTGTTGCAAGGCAAAATTTATGACCCTAATTTTCCAGTGACATTCAAAATTTTCCTGACCTCTCATCCAAGATTGCCTCTATTACAGGACCTACCTATTGTAATTATTGTTAATTTGTTCTCGTCTTGAACATGCATGAAATAGTTGCCACTGGAAGTTAAGCAACCAACAATCAATCAATCAACAAAGTAAATATTTAGGAAATTGTTCTTGGAAAAATTGTTGTTCATTTTATTAAGTGTTTAATTTTTTTTTCTCTTACATAAATATAACTTATAAGGCTAAGATACACAACATGTTTGAAGAATGAAGTAATAAATTATTCAATCAAAGATTGATCAACTTATCCTTTTGATTTAATTAAAGTTTTTAGTAAAAATCTATGTATGTAGGACTGATTGCATGTCAAATACTGGTCAAGGACCAGTTACCTTCAGTTACCAGTTACCTGTCAATTTATTTAAGAATTGAATGCTTCTTTTTGTAACTTCATTGGGGTGTAAAAGCGTTGACAGAAGTACATTTTGTATGATGCGCAGAAGTGCTTAATTCTAAAAATGTGTGCACGGTCAACGCTTTTACAACCCTATGAAGTTACAAAAAGAAGCATTCAATACTTCTAATTACATTTTTTAGCTAGGATCATGAAAACACGATTTTTATCAAGTTTTTATTTAATTTACCTGTGCACTTTATTGTGGGACCTCGTGTCATCATGAATGATAAATTTCATTGTGTAATGAATTTGATTAAGGAATAACGCGAGATTGCAGATAGCCAATCAGAATAACGTATTATAATGAAACATACATCTAATGTAATTATTCAATAATGAAAGCTTTGTGTGAAAAGAACAGACTGCTGATATCTTCAGACATATTTTTACTTCATTTGTAAAAACTCTTTTGATCTGATTAGATAGGGCAATGCAGAATTTTCTGTAAATTAAACGTGTCGTGGTAAGTTACAAGTGTGGGGACACGATGTCCTCAATTAAATACATAGCAATATCTAACCTTGCTTTTGAGTAAATAATTTCTTTCCAATGAATTTAAAAGATTTTTTAATTTAAAAAAATAAAGTCTATACATCTCATCAATACAGTGTATATAAGTGGTTGATTTCAAATAACATAGTAGGAAGGAAACCTTCCAAATTAATCATAATGGTCAAAATGGTGATGTGTTTGGTTTGATTGACATACCTTCTTCTCTTCTTGCTATACAAAAACAAAATATAACATTAATGTCGTGATTGAATGTAAACTCTATCATTTAGTGGCAAGACTCAAAAGGGATAGTAACTGGTCATCATACCTATAAAATTTCCCGCAAAGATCGGCATACTAGTAATCCCTTTTTTCCTTGTTTCTAACAGGAATTGGAGTCCAAGGCTATAGTACTAAACCTAACTTTCGGTATCCCTTTGTATGTTAAAAGAATATTTCCACTAAGAGTTCTCCTTAAAAATTAGTTGAGATAAACTGAATTTCTGATGGTAACTGGTACTCAACCAGTAGTAATAACTTAAATTTTGAAATTAGATAATTCTTTTTTTAATCAGAGAAAAAATGAATGAGTTAATAAGACAATCTACAGCAGAATGTCGTAAAGATTCACTATGGAACAGGATGTTAATTGTCACACATGCTGAGGAAGATGTCAAGAAAAAGAAACGAAGTGATACAGAGGAAAGCAAAGATGGGGTATAAAACATATAAATTGTGGAAAGGCTCAGTTTTTTTACTTGCACAAAACACTTATATACAAGACAGTGTAGATGGGTGCTACAATATTTTCGTTTGAATTATTCAGTTCCTTTTGAGAGACATTCTATTAAGTACAACAAAAGTTTGTCTAGTTTGATTGGAGGTTTGCTCAAGCATTTAATTATTTTAACACTTACAGACAATCACATAAACACTGGTTATAAAGAATACTGTGATTTGATTGGACAAATTTATGGCAATGCATTATCAAACTTCAGTACTAACTGGTCAAACTTTGTCCATTATTCTTTTGGATAGTAGCTCTAAATAGATCAGTATGCAATATGTTCAAATAAGAGTTTTTAATTCAAATTATTCTATATAAGATGATTACTCCTGAAACTTTTTAAAAAAAATGATAGATAATTGGAAGCAAATTGTAAAAATAAAACACACACAATATTGATATTAGTCAGTTTATTTCTCTTTTGTTTAGACCACATTGTTGTATGGTTCCTGAGGCCCCTCATGTAATCACATAATCACAAATGTTTTGCCAATATAATCACATAACCATTAATTATTTTTTTAAACAAGATAATCAAATAATCAAAAATACAGTCCTAGATTATCAAATAATCAAATAATCATGAAATATTTGGTCTGGGAATAAAATAATCACAATAAAAACGGCCAAGTAATCACATAATCAAAAACCCCATGTGGAGAGGCTCGTTCCTGAAATCTGTAATAAATTTGGAATGCACATATTCTTAGATTTCATATTTTTGCTTAAAATATGGGAACACAGTACATGAAAATGGATAACATATTTTATATTATTTATTTTATGTTTTAGTTTCAAAAATTATCCCATGATGAGTTTCTGGAGTTACTTGGTATGGTTGTGAAACAAAGGTTAGCAGATATAGACCCTCAGTTGATGCCATTCCACAACATGAGTTTAATGTGGTATAAAAGTCTGTATAAAGTGCTACAAACCAGATACCCAGAAACACATAGGTGTTTCTCTAGTCCTGATGGACATGTGCAATATTTGGTAAGCAAAAATTGAAACGGGTAACAAAATAGTTATGAAATTTTTTAGTTCCCTCACTGTTCTAGTGTTAAAGTTTGATTTTGGTGTAGGCAGTAATTTTTCACGAAGAAATAGAAAGGTTAACAATAACATCCTATATGAAATAGATCAGCTCTGCTATAAGATGAATTTAAAGCATAAACATTTTTCTAAAATAAATTAAAAGAAAAGTATTATAGACAACATCATGAAATGTTCAAATGATAAGATATCAATGCAATATCTCCATATTATGAGATTCAAACCTGTGATAGTTCCTTTGTTTTAAAGCTTACATTAAGAGAGTTTAAGATTACCAATGTTTTTCAGGTTGTTGTCAATCCTCAGTTTCCTGATATGCTGATGATGTTGATGATTGATGTTAAAGATAACAAAACTGTAAGTTACAAGGTCAATGCTGTTTAAATGTTAAGTCATCCTTTTAAAATAGGTTATGAAATAGGTCACTTGCTATGCTGGCTTCATGCTGTAAAATGTCCTTGTGAAAATCTGTTGATTACTTGTGTATTAGTACCGGTAGTAACTTTGACTTCTCAGTAGAAAAATTTATTTATTACATTGATTGCAATGAAATACCATGATTTCCAAGTGAAATAAAAAAACCTGATAATTTCACATGTGAAACAAATCCAACATTATATCCAATATTTCACTCCTCTGGCATCATTCAACAATAGGTGTTGTCAATGAGGCTGCATTAAAACAAATTGAGAATGCGTAGAAAAGAATTGTTCCTTGCATTTTCTACTTGATTTCCATGTAAGGATGGTCACTCCTCTGTTTCAAAATAACAACCTTTTTACCAATTGTGGAACTTAAAAAGCAGAAAAAAAATTATGGTCTGTGTCTTTTTTTTTTTGAGATATTTTCAATTGAAAATTTGGTGGGAGATGATTCTCTCTAGATTTCCAAACATTTCACATCAACACCTTTTTTCTTTCAAAAAATATGAAAAAATAACAAGGATTTTGTAAGATTTTCAAAAATGGCTTTTTTAACTATATGTATAAAATGATGAAAAGAAAAGTAGGGAGTAGTGGGCAAAATTTCTTATTGGCACTATATGGATAAAACTACAGGATTCCGAATATCTGACAAAAAGTCAAAAACAAGTATAGCGAACATCCTAAGATCATGTGTCTTTTTCTGAGCAACCCTTCTGGGCATGTTGCAAAAAAAATTTTTTTGCTTTCAAAATGTTTTACTTTGTATCATTCAATACACAACAGAAACATCTAAAACTTGAAATTTAAGATAAAAAAATTAAATGTTGCTACGTGAATTTCAAAATTTTCAGAAAAAATCCTTTTAAAATCAAAGATAATTATATTGGATTTGATAGGACAATTTGTATTTTTGGGGAATTTTTCAGGAAAATAAAGCCTGTGACCCCCTGTTTTTATATGATATTTCAGAAGTAAATATGAAAAGCAATTATCTTATTGAATTTTAACCAACTCTATCATTTAATGTTTCCTCTATAAGGAAAAATTAAGTTTCCCCTATATTACCCAAATTAAATATCTGTGATTTTGATGATTTCTATATATTTTAACGAAAAAACAAAGTCTGTGACCCCCAGTTTTATTGTCGAGCCTGCGACTTTTGTTGCAGAAAGCTCGACATAGGGATAGTGATCCGGCGGCTTTGGCATCGGCGTTAACTAACTTCTTAAAAGCTTTATATTTTAGAAGGTGGAAGACCTGGATGCTTCATACTTTGTATATAGATGCCTTATGTTACGAAGTTTCCGTCTGTCACATGTCCATTGTCCTTTACCTCATTTTCATGGTTCAGTGACTACTTGAAAAAAAAGTTAAGATTTTTTGTAATGTTAATTTCTCTCTTATTATGAGTAATAGGATAACTATATTTGGTATGTGCGTACCTTGCAAGGTCCTCATGCCCGTCAGACAGTTTTCACTTGACCTCAACCTCATTTCATGGATCAGTGAACAAGGTTAAGTTTTGGTGGTCAAGTCCATATCTCAGATACTATAAGCAATAGGTCTAGTATATTTGGTATATGGAAGGATTGTAAGGTGTACATGTCCAACTGGCAGGTGTCATCTGACCTTGACCTCATTTTCATGGTTCAGTGGTTGTAGTTAAGTTTTTGTGTTTTGGTCTGTTTTTCTTATACTGTATGCAATAGGTCTACTATATTTGGTGTATGGAATGATAGTAAGGTGTACATGTCCAACTGGCAGGTGTCATCTGACCTTGACCTCATTTTCATGGTTCAGTGGTCAAAGTTAAGTTTTTGAGTTTTTGTCTTTTTTTCTAATACTATATACAATAGGTCAACTATATTTGGTGTATGGAAATATTTTATGATGTACATGTCAGTCTCGCAGGTTTTATTTGACCTTGATCTCATTTTCACGGTTCATTGCTCAGTGTTTAGTTTTTGGGTTTTGGTCTGATTTTCTTAAACTATAAGTAATAGGTCAACTATATTTGTTGTATGGAAGGATTGTAAGCTGTACATGTCTGCCTGGCATGGTTCATCTGACCTTGAACTCATTTTCATGGTTCATTGGTCAATGTTTAGTTTTCTTGGTTAAGTCTGTGTCTTAGAAACTATAAGCAATAGGTCAACTATATTTAGTGTATTGAATGATTGTAAGGTGTACATGTATTTCTCGTTTGGTTTATATGACCTTGACCTCATTTTCTTGGATCATGTTAAGTTTATGTGATAGTTGTAGTAAAGCTTTATATTTGGGACTCTCAACATAACATCAATGATTAGTAAAGAAGGCGAGACATTTCAGCATGTGCACTCTTGTATTGAAGTTTGAAAGTACATTGACCCAGAAGTCTTTTACAGAAGTTTATAAAAAAGTCTATTATCAAACATTTAAAAGCCCCAGCTACCTTAAAAATTAATTTTAAAAAAAGAATAACAAATCCAAGAATCAGAATATAAAAAAATATTCAATTTTTTGAAAAAAGTATGGACAAAAGAAAAATAATGAAAATACAACAGTCCACAAAACACAGAAAACTGAAAAAACAATCTCCGGACCTTAAATCAGGGTTGAAGTCAGGTGTTCAAGTTTGTTCCATTAGTCATTTGAAAGGTAAATGTTAATCCTGCTTCACTTTGATTTATAAGATACAAACTAGGGGCCTTTTCTGCTGTATGTTTTTTTTAACATTATTCATATTAATGTAACATAATAATCACATAGATTGTTTTGACATAATTACAGAGAGAAAAATTCAATGTAATATTCTTAAATTTATTGTTGTAGGACCTGTGTGCAGTTTTTCGTGAAGCCCTGTCAGATGAAACTGATCAAAGCAAGCCAAGTTTACCATTTATCAACATCCAAGATCATGAAACAGACTTTATTAATGTTTGTTGTTTTCATCTTTGGGCATCCTTATTATAAAGATTTGATAAAAAAAACTTTACATTCGTTTGCATTAAAAACCATAATTTTCATTGAAGAATTTTTGTTAAACCAATATTGATTTTATGAGACTCTTAAGACATATTCTTTTTATTTTTATATTCATGCTTTAGAAGTGGAGTTAGTTATAAAGTTGTAGAAGTTTTATGATAACTTCAATTGTTACTATTACACAATCAAAATATATTCACTATGTAAGGTATAGAACATAATTCAGCCCAGTCAGAAAGAACATACAAGAAAGTAGTACATATTTCAAACAAATTAGTTCCTACGCATAGCTGTACCTTTGTCAATAAGTAAAATATTTGGGTAATCTTGGTATCAAATGAAAGCTTAAGGACTTGGGATCACTGTAGAACCCTTGTTAAAAGCTTCTTTTGAATAATGAAAAATATATGAAATTAAGATAGGAGGGCATATTTGCCCTGTTGTTCAGATTAGAAGTACATGTTTTGTACTACCCAACTTCTGGTGAACCAGTGTGCTCAAACATGCAATTAAAGATATGTTGATTTTTTTCAGCACAAGTCAGGATAAGGTATAGTTTTGACATGAAATGACTATTTCTTTATTTGAACGCAAGACAAAATAGCTATGAGTGCCTGAAGTTGCAGAAATTAGAATAGAAAGCGATGGGGCTATGAATTAGTGGTGTTATTCCATAAACATTTATTCCAAATTCCTAGTGTCAAATTTGCAGTTACAGTGAGGAATATATATATAGAACTTAGGCTTTAAATTTTAACAAAACCTAATTTTCCACCCACCTTCTTTATTTGTTTTGTCGCCTACCAATTAGTTACAAATTGTCAGGAAATAAGGGAATGTGACATTATTGATGAGATTTTCTAAACTTGTGCAAGTTGTCATGGCTACAATTTATTTCACCTTTATATGATTAATGTACATGACAAATTTAACTGACATTTTTGTTGTTAATTCATCTGTCTTGCATAATCGTGTTACAGTTCCATTTTGATCATGTTTCTGCATGAAGATAAATCTGTATATATATTTATATGTAGAACAAAAAAATCTTATTGATCTCTCTAGTCTTGCCATTTGTCATATATGATTTTACAGAATTGTTCATTTTTACCATATTTTTATTATTAAATGAGAAATGTGTCAATTAATTGCTGATTTTTTTTTCTTTTTAACAACATTTCTATCTGTTTGGTTTGATGTGAGCATTGATGTGATCAGGTTTACATTTTTATTTTTCGATGAATTTCCCCCAAAAAAATTAGGTTAGAGCTATTATAGAAATCCATGTTTGACTCTTGTTGACATGCTTGCAAACATTGTTAGGACGTTTGTTTAATTGTAATTTTACAAGATGGCCATCTGAAGGCAATGCATAGACATAGTTTCAGTCTGTTTACAATATACAATAATTTGTTGGACAATGAATATTATCATATTGGGTCCAGTCTGGAACTTGACCTTGAAACAAGATAATATTGTTTATTATTACTCAAATCATTAAAATTCAAGGTTTCCAACCAATAGATTCCAAGTGTCCTTATCTTCAGAACTTTAGACTAGAGATGTAGATTTTTATTTTATGCTGTTTGGTATGCAACAATGCAGTGATTAGTGAGACATTACCTAAATAGATTTGAATTTGAAAGTTAAGATTGGACACAACATCACTGCTAATAAAATGATATTATGACCTGGAAATTCTTAGCATTCTAAACTCTAAATAGTTACCATGTTCTATTTTATTTTGGAAAGTTAAGGACACATTTTGTAACATTCTTCTATCTCTGTGATATGGGACTTCTATTTCATTGTGTGATAAGTTTTAGTTGCGATACAGCTTCTTTAAAAGCTTTTCTGTGATTATAGTTACAAAATGTGTGATTGATTTTACATCCATTTTGGAAAAAATATTTTTGTAAATTTAGCTGTAAATTTTATCTGTGTTTGCTAGATTTGTTAAAGATACCGGTAGTCAGAATATTAGAAGAGAAGCATGCTCATGACAAGTGTTAATTTTAGAATTTTTGGCATGCCTGTTCAAAAAAGTTTCAGCAATACTGAAACGTATGAGATTTTAGTTTTGAGGGTTTATTATATTTTGCAGCCACAGTCAACTACTACTAGTATATAGAACTGTAATATACTTGAATTAATTTGAGAAAGAAGGCATTGATGGCACATTTATAAATATATATAGTTATCTTGAAAAAGTAGAAAGTTATATTTTGTTACCTCTGGTAGGATGATATTGTTAATGCTAATACATCGACAGATTTTTCTTTCTTTTTTTTATATAAATATCAAAGTGCCTTTATGTTCCTGCATGCTGCATAGTATATTTATTATCACATAAAACTTTTGGACATAATGAAATTGCATAAAAGGGCATTGTTCTGTTAAATTATGCTGTATGTGCTTGTGTATACACATATATTATATTAAATAAATCTGATGCACACAATGCAAAGTGGCAATAAGTTTTCAGGATTGTTTTAAATTGTTGAGTTATTGTACATTTAGTTGTATCCAACACTTCTGTATAATTTATCTGAATGGTTATTTCAATAAATAACTGCATTAAAATTCTTGTTTATATGAATATGACAAATAGTTTTAGACAATCAACATAAAGCAAAAATCTAACATTTTTTTTCACATTCCCTGCTTCCATAGGTGTCAACTTTCAAGATGTCGTTGGGAGCTTTATGAAGCCACAATAAATAAATGCAACTAAATTGGAAAAGGGATTTTATTCACACAAGAATATTCTAAGATTTATATATTTGTCAAAGATTGGTATTCCTCACCTTAATACTTTCTTGAAGGTCACCAACCAATAATGAGCTGAAGGCTTCACACCTTACAACATGATCATGATGAGCTGTACCATTGATTTCAGTGGTATTTTTGTTTAATAATTACTGCATATGGTTTTTAAGAAACATAATTATGCCAGAGTAATTATACCCCTGCTTTAAAAAAGTGGGGGTATACTGTTTTACCTCTGTCTGTCCGTCCGTCCATCCATCCAGCCGTCCGTCCGTCCATCGTACCGTCCATCCCATGAATATTTTTCGTCACATCTTTCTCAGGAACTACATCATAAGGATTTCTGAAATTTGGTTTCAGGGTTTATATAAGTCAGCTATACAGTGTGATGTGTTTTCAGATTCATCACTCAACAACAAATGCATTTTTGGGCTGGGGGTATCATCATCATCAGCAGAAGCTCGCAGTTTCACTTGTTGATCAATGATTTAAAATAACAGGCAAAGTCTTCCTGCAAACACTGTCATTAATAAAATATGTAATAATATGCCTTGGCCAAATTAATAAACAGTGATCATTTAGCTTTCTATCTTTCATCATAAAGGCTGGAGACTTCTTTTTATTTCTATCATTTGGTTAAAGGAGTTAATTATTTACAATTATGGTAACAGTTAGGCAAGGAAAGTATTCTTCATTTTTGTCGAGCCTTCGACTTTTGTCGAAAAAGCGAGACATAGCGATCCTACATTCCGTCGGCGTCGTCGTCGTCGGCGGCGTCCACAAATATTCACTCTGTGGTTAAAGTTTTTGAAATTTTAATAACTTTCTTAAACTATCCTGGATTTCTACCAAACTTGGACAGAAGCTTGTTCATGATCATAAGATAATATTCAAAAGTAAATTTTGTAAAAAAAAAAATCCAATTTTTCCGTATTTTACTTATAAATGGAGTTAGTTTTTCTGCCAAGAAACATAACATTCACTCTGTGGTTAAAGTTTTTGAAATTTTAATAACTTTCTTAAACTATCCTGGATTTCTACCAAACTTGGACAGAAGCTTGTTTATGATCATAAGATAATATTCAAAAGTAAATTTTGTAAAAAAAAAAATTCCATTTTTTCCGTATTTTACTTATAAATGGACTTAGTTTTTCTGCCAAGAAACATTACATTCACTCTGTGGTTAAAGTTTTTGAAATTTTAATAACTTTCTTAAACTATCCTGGATTTCTACCAAACTTGGAAAGAACCTTGTTTATGATCAAAAGATAGTATCCAGAAGTAAATTTTGTAAAAAAAAAAATCCATTTTTTCTGTATTTTACTTATAAATGGACTTAGTTTTTCTGCCATGAAACATTACATTCACTCTGTGGTTAAAGTTTTTGAAATTTTAATAACTTTCTTAAACTATCCTGGATTTCTACCAAACTTGGAAAGAACCTTGTTTATGATCAAAAGATAGTATCCAGAAGTAAATTTTGTAAAAAAGTAAAAAATTAATTCCATTTTTTTCTGTATTTTTCTTGTAAATGGACTTAGTTTTTCTTCCAGTTAACATTACATACAGTCCTCACTTTAAGTTTTTAAAACATTTATTAGATTGATAAACTATCCTGGATTTTTACCAAACTTGGACAGAAGCTACTTACAATCAAAAAATAGTATAGAGAGGAATATTTTTATTAATTTTTTTCCTCATTTTTAACATTAACAGCAAAAGTAGGCGAGACACTGGGTTCCGCGGAACCCTTACGAATTTTTAGTTGATCACATAGAGGCACTTATTGTGCGGTAACAGTTAGGCAAGGAAAGTATTCTTCAAGTCCAGTTGATCACATAGAGTCACTTATTGTGCAGTAACAGTTAGGCAAGGAAAGTATTCCTCATGTCCAGTTGATCACATAGAGGCACTTATTGTGCAGTACCAGTTAGGTAAGGAAAGTATTCTTCATGTCCAGTTGATCAAATAGAGGCACTTACTATGCAGTAACAGTTAGGCAAGGAAAGTATTCTTCATGTCCAGTTGATCAAATAGAGGCACTTACTATGCAGTAACAGTTAGGCAAGGAAAGTATTCTTCATGTCCAGTTGATCATATAGTCACTTATTGTGCAGTAACAGTAAGACAAGGAAAGTATTCATGTCCTGTTGATCACATAGAGACACTTATTGTGCAGTAACAGGTAGGTAAGGAAAGTATTCTTCATGTCCAGTTGATCACATAGTCACGTATTGTGCAGTAACAGTTAGGCAAGGAAAGTATTCTTCATGTCCAGTTGATCACATAGAGTCTCTTATTGTGCAGTAACAGTTAGACAAGGAAAGTATTCTTCATGTCCAGTTGATCACATAGTCACGTATTGTGCAGTAACAGGTAGGTAAGGAAAGTATTCTTCATGTACAGTTGATCACATAGAGTCACTTACTGGAGTATTCTTCATTTCCTGTTGATCACATAGAGTCACTTATTGTGCAGTAACAGGTAGGTAAGGAAAGTATTCTTCATGTCCAGTTGATCACATAGTCACGTATTGTGCAGTAACAGGTAGTTAAGGAAAGTATTCTTCATGTCCAGTTGATCACATTGTCACGTATTGTGCAGTAACAGTTAGGTAAGGAAAATATTCTTCATGTCCAGTTGATCACATAGTGACGTATTTGGCAGTAACAATTAGGCAAGGAAAGTATTCTTCATTTCCTGTTGATCACATAGAGTCACTTACTGTGCAGTAACAGATAGGCAAGGAAAGTATTCTTCATGTCCAGTTGATCACATAGAGTCACATACTGTGCAGTAACAGTTAGGCAAGGAAAGTATTCTTCATTTCCTGTTGATCACATAGAGTCACTTATTGTGCAGTAACAGGTAGGTAAGGAAAGTATTCTTCATGTCCAGTTGATCACATAGTCACGTATTGTGCAGTAACAGTTAGGCAAGGAAAGTATTCTTCATGTCCATTTGATCACATAGAGTCTCTAATTGTGCAGTAACAGTTAGACAAGGAAAGTATTCTTCATGTCCAGTTGATCACATAGTCACGTATTGTGCAGTAACAGGTAGGTAAGGAAAGTATTCTTCATGTACAGTTGATCACATAGAGTCACTTACTGGAGTATTATTCATTTCCTGTTGATCACATAGAGTCACTTATTGTGCAGTAACAGGTAGGTAACGAAAGTATTCTTCATGTCCAGTTGATCACATAGTCACGTATTGTGCAGTAACAGGTAGGTAAGGAAAGTATTCTTCATGTCCAGTTGATCACATAGTCACGTATTGTGCAGTAACAGTTAGGTAAGGAAAATATTCTTCATGTCGTTGATCACATAGTGACGTATTTGGCAGTAATAATTAGGCAAGGAAAGTATTTTCATTTCCTGTTGATCACATAGAGTCACTTACTGTGCAGTAACAGATAGGCAAGGAAAGTATTCTTCATGTCCAGTTGATCACATAGAGTCACTTACTGTGCAGTAACAGTTAGGCAAGGAAAGTATTCTTCATTTCCTGTTGATCACATAGAGTCACTTATTGTGCAGTAACAGTTAGGTAAGGAAAGTATTCTTCATGTCCAGTTGATCACATAGTCACTTATTGTGCAGTAACAGTTAGGCAAGTAAAGTATTCTTCATGTCCAGTTGATCACATAGTCACGTATTGTGCAGTAATAGTTAGGTAAGGAAAGCATTCTTCATGTCCAGTTGATCACATAGTCACTTATTGTGCAGTAACAGTTAGGCAAGGAAAGTATTCTTCATGTCCAGTTGATCACATAGAGTCACTTACTGTGCAGTAACAGATAGGCAAGGAAAGTATTTCCTCATGTCCAGTTGATCACATAGAGTGACTTACTGTGCAGTAACAAGTTAGGCAAGGAAAGTATTCTTCATGTCCAGTTGATCACATAGTGACGTATTGTGCAGGATCAGGTAGGTAAGGAAAGTATTCTTCATGTCCAGTTGATCACATAGTGACGTATTTGGCAGTAACAGTTAGGCAAGGAAAGTATTCTTCATGTCCAGTTGATCACATAGTCACTTATTGTGCAGTAACAGATAGGCAAGGAAAGTATTCCTCGTGTCCAGTTGATCACATAGAGTCACTTACTGTGCAGTAACAGATAGGCAAGGAAAGTATTCCTCATTTTTAGTTGATCACATAGAGGCACTTATTGTGTAGTAACAGTTAGGCTAGGAAAGTATTCTTCAAGTCCAGTTGATCACATAGAGGCACTTATTGTGTAGTAACAGTTAGGCTAGGAAAGTATTCTTCAAGTCCAGTTGATCACATAGAGGCACTTATTGTGCAGTAACAGTTAGGCAAGGAAAGTATTCTTCATGTCCAGTTGATCACATAGAGGCACTTATTGTGTAGTAACAGTTAGGCAAGGAAAGTATTCTTCATGTCCACTTGATCACATAGAGGCACTTATTGTGCAGTAACAGTTAGGCTAGGAAAGTATTCTTCATTTCCAGTTGATCACATAGAGGCACTTATTGTGCAGTAACAGTTAGGCAAGGAAGTATTCTTCATGTCCAGTTGATCACATAGAGTCACTTATTGTGCAGTAACAGTTAGGTAAGGAAAGTATTCTTCATGTCCAGTTGATCACATAGAGTCACTTATTGTGCAGTAACAGTTAGGCAAGGAAGTATTCTTCATGTCCAGTTGATCACATAGAGTCACTTATTGTGCAGTAACAGTGAGGTAAGGAAAGTATTCTTCATGTCCAGTTGATCACATAGAGTCACTTATTGTGCAGTAACAGTTAGGCAAGGAAAGTATTCTTCAAGTCCAGTTGATCACATAGAGGCACGTATTGTGCAGTAACAGTTAGGCAAGGAAAGTATTCTTCAAGTCTAGTTGATCACATAGAGGCACTTATTTAAATGTCCAAAAAGAGAAGATACCAAGGGGCCAAATAAACACCACAATTCAAAGAAAAACAGACAACACCATTTCCCAAAAGTAAACCATGAAAAAACAAAGAAGTCTTTAAAATATGATACGCAGAATTAAATATTGAGCAACTTAACCCACCAGAAACCAGGATTAACTCTGGTTAAGCAGTTCCCTCTCCACTAGTGGCACCTGTTTTGTTGCTCATGTAAGGTTAAAATTTAATGATGTATGTATCATTGTTTGAGAAAAGAGAACAGGATTTTGGCTATGTCAAGCAATTCATATTGAAGGTCATCTGTGACACACATATTTCATAACTGTCAACTAAATTAAGATGTTGTCCTCAACACTTTGGAAGGAATTACTTCAGTTTTACTATTTGGAACCATTGTTTCAATAGCTTTGTTGTTAGCAGTGACCCTTTATCAAGAAAATCATGTTAGGAATGCAAGCCCTGAAATTTTGTGTCAACTGGGAGATATATTCTCTATACAGGTGTTGCTGTAATGTTGCTACAGAGATAATTGGAAAAAAATAAAAGTTCACAACTGGAAAATAGAAATCATTTCTTTTGTCCTAAAGTTTAGTTCTAAACTTTTCCTATTTGTCAATTTCTAGATGAAAGTTAAAATATAAAGCAGAATCAACTATCTGTGCAAAGGTATAATGCTCTCAAAAATTTCCTGGGATATTTTGAACTTTACTTTTTTTAATATCCGAAACCTTTTATTGATGGTAAATGATGATTGTTGTTCTGCTATTATTATGTCCCACAAGATGTTAATATAGTTGCTACTCTGGGAAAGCAAGATTGTTGAATTGAGGATATTCAAAATGTTTTAAAGTACAGTCAAAAAAGAATTCAACTTTTGGGGATAATAATAAACTAGAACTGAGTGAACTCACAATGGAAAGGACTCATACACGCCCCGCAATACTATTATAATATTGAAGTAAGTATATTGAATATCTCTCCTATAACAGATTGGATCAGGATTATTATACTTTTAAGTAGATCCTCAAGTAGTGGTCTGCAACAGTGTAATGATTCATCAATAGCTCCCCAAGGGTTTAGGAGGTTTTACCGTTTGTCCTTATGAGAGACTATTACCATATACTGCAATATTGCAAGTAAGTTGGATAATCTCCCCTTTAAAGTTTAGGACCTAGATTATACTCCTATATACACATCCTCAGGTAATGTTCTACAGCTGTAAAGTTTCCTTAATTTTCTGTTCAGTTGTTGAGGAAGAGGTGCCCTTAATAGGCAGATGGACAGACAGACAGACAGACAGACAAACAAACAGTGTGATTCCAATATACACCTCAAAAACTATGTTTGCAAGGGGTAAAATAAATAAATATTTCAATATTAAGACTTTTATTTAATATAATTTGTAAGAATAACAGAAAATATAGATATGATATGTAAAATGTCAAACTTGCACTTAATATATAACTGGAATGTACAATAAAATCGGACATATACAAATGTTTACAAAACTGACCAGCTCAGTCCCTTTCATAGTTAGTATTCATGAAAATGACATTACTGATATGTTTCCCAATGTACCTGTTAGTATTAAACATCTTGATAGAAAAATGAAAAGGAGATGTTTCTTGAATTGTCAATATATTACCTTGTCGAATTCCTGAAAAGCAACGAAAGGATAAAGCATGGCCACGTTGTATGATCTTATCAGGTGAAAAGGAGCTTCTCCCTTTAAATCACTGTATTTATCATGATGTTCTCAGGCATCATATTCTCATTATGATGACAAACACGTAACACATAGGGAGATAAGAAATCAATTAAGTATTTGATCATGAAAAAAGATGTTTCCTTCCATTTTGCTCTTTTGAATAAACAGGTAATGACAGAATTTTAAATTCTAAGAGTAATTTTACCAGTTTCATCAAATTTTAAATGAATACATCAAAACATATATCATATGTATATCTTACAAGGATACATTAGTCATGTAACCAAGTATATCATTATCTTACAAGGATACATTAATCATGTAACCAAGTATATCATATGTATATCTTACAAGGATACATTAATCATGTAACCAAGTATATCATATGTATATCTTACAAGGATACATTAATCATGTAACCAAGTATATCATATGTATATCTTACAAGGATACATTAATCATGTAACCAAGTATATCATATGTATATCTTACAAGGATACATTAATCATGTAACCAAGTATATCATATGTATATCTTACAAGGATACATTAATCATGTAACCAAGTATATCATATGTATATCTTACAAGGATACATTAATCATGTAACCAAGTATATCATATGTATATCTTACAAGGATACATTAATCATGTAACCAAGTATATCATATGTATATCTTACAAGGATACATTAATCATGTAACCAAGTATATCATATGTATATCTTACAAGGATACATTAATCATGTAACCAAGTATATCATATGTATATCTTACAAGGATACATTAATCATGTAACCAAGTATATCATATGTATATCTTACAAGGATACATTAATCATGTAACCAAGTATATCATATGTATATCTTACAAGGATACATTAATCATGTAACCAAGTATATCATATGTATATCTTACAAGGATACATTAATCATGTAACCAAGTATATCATATGTATATCTTACAAGGATACATTAATCATGTAACCAAGTATATCATATGTATATCTTACAAGGATACATTAATCATGTAACCAAGTATATCATATGTATATCTTACAAGGATACATTAGTCATGTAACCAAGTATATCATTATCTTACAAGGATACATTAATCATGTAACCAAGTATATCATATGTATATCTTACAAGGATACATTAATCATGTAACCAAGTATATCATATGTATATCTTACAAGGATACATTAATCATGTAACCAAGTATATCATTATCTTACAAGGATACATTAATCATGTAACCAAGTATATCATTATCTTACAAGGATACATTAATCATGTAACCAAGTTTTAATTGATTTTGTGTGTGCCATTTTTCTATAAAAAAAAATGTTGAGCTCGTAATCATCTGTAGCAATCCATGCTTTAATTGGGTTAATGGCCAATATATTTAAAATTTCAAATGTAAGAAGATGTAGCACAGTTACCAAATAAAGTGTTTACAGATCATATTATACAACCATCAAATTTTATTTAGAATAACTCATTACAGGTCATGAAATTTTAAAGTTATGAAGAAATAAAACATGGTACACTTGTAAGAGCTTTCAAAACCATATAAACAACTGAGGATACATGAACACACATGGTTATACTGGAATTAATTTGAAAATTAATTTTGATTGACAGAAATTAACAAGCGATATCAGTTAATATTGTAGCTTCTGAATATATCTGGTAAATAACACACAACGGTTTAATATCACATTTGAAACACAATAAATTGCATTTGAACAAACATAAAATAAGGATTTATATAAAAAAGCAAGAATATTTATATTCAAGAGTAAATGTAACTCTGTTTAATTAAGAGATTAACGACATTTACATTTCACATAAAATCATTCAATTTTTACTCATCGGTAAAATATACAATTAAAACAAATAATTTAATCTTAAATATGTCTACACTAGGCTTTACATTTCAGATCATATTATCCTCCATTCCAAATAGAGAAATATCAATGATTTATAGAACAAACCTATTTATAAATATATATTATAAACTCTCGCAGAAAAGTTGGTCATAAAAAATCTTATTCAGTCCTTCAGCATACTGTTTGAAAATTGTTCTGCCAATTCAAAAATTATTCATTCTGATCAATAATTTGTGCAAGACTTGTACATAAAAAATCTTATTCAAACCTTCATTGTATTTCTCTTAAATTTTATGATAAAAATTTATGGCATTCAGAAAATTATTTATTCTGATTACATATTTGATATATTTTTTTTAAATCACAGCGTTAAATGCATAGAACTCATGCAGAAAATGGTAAAAAAATAAAAATATATAAGATTCTTTTTATAGAGCTATACATCATAAATCATAATAGTTCACACAACTATGTATTTTTTTAAATAATAAATTTAATTTTCATTTACATAGCACTTCTCATCATTATAAAATTTGTTAGAATACACAACTTTAAAGTTATTTTAACTATTGATTGATATGTTGTATCATTAATAAAAAGTTTTCTGCAAGTGATTTTAATGAAAGTAATGCTCTTATACAATATCATGATTATGGATTACTTTCCCTTGAATCGTTGAAGTTATGTCCCTTTTGTCACATTCATATTCATCCATACAGACTATTGATGGTACAATTCATCAGTTTTTCTGACTGTAATATATGTCAGAATGTTTACTAATAAACAATATCTGTCCTTGGATAACATTCAGGTATTTGAATTGTTTCCCTATTGTTTTAAAGCACCGTATATAATGTGTATTGCTAATAACTTCAGCTGTCTAAAATAACTCCACTACTTCTTCTTTGTTTTCTGCAAAGAGAAAAAAAAAACATGAGTAAAAAAAGTTCTCTTACTTCGAAAATGAAAAAAACATAAACATTTAGTTTTATTGTACTGTTTCAGCCAGGAGACAGGAATAGTAAAGAGTTAAATCCGTGCAATGTTTATGCATGCCAATTTAAATTTGTGTATTTTGTTGTTTAAAAGCTATCAAATGTCACCATTTGTGAAAATGGTTGAAATGTCATGTTCAAACCCAATAGCTTTTTGTACATGATGAATTTACATGTTTATTTCACTTTCCTTCATGCACATACACCTTTAATTATGATATCATTCAATTGTTGATAATTGTATAGAATCTTTAAACCATTCTTTTATCCTGAGATTGTTGGTTTTGTACTATGATGGCAGCACTACAAGGTAATTTCCATTCAAAAAGCATGTTAAGGAAATATTTATATGACATAAGCGTAACAGATTATTTTATGACACCTTCATGTTTGTCTAATATTCAAATATATAATGCATGCAATTATAATTGAAATGGGGAGGAATTAAAAAGATTAAATGATCTACCCAGTGTCATAAATAAATATGGTTCCCCAACCTATACTTACTTTAGTTCTTCTTCTCGTTCTCTCATTTCTCTTAGTTCCTTTTCTATTTTGGACTCTGCGTGTTGCCGTGACTCCCGATATGAGAAAGCAGCACCACCTGACTTTAATCGAAATTTTGGTTCCTCTTTACTTGGTTCAGGAGAAGTGATATTGTCTTTTGATTCAGTCTCTCCATTTTCTACGAGGGGTTTACCAGAACCACCTTTATGAATAACGAAATTTCTTTTTACTGGTCCTGTCAGTTTTGTTGGTACTTCAGAGAATTTCATTGGAGTTTCAATATGTTCTTCTGAAGTTGTCATTATTTTACCTTCCTTTCTATAGGTCATTTCTCTTTCCTTCTGTTTTGCTAATTCATTTTGAAGTCTTGAGGAGGCAAATTTCCTCATAGATGGCGTATCATTCGTTGATGAATTATACCGACCACTATAATGAATTTCTTCCTCTTCAGTCACACTGTCTCTTTCAACTTTTTCTGCTTTAGAATTATCTACTAATAATGGCAAACCTTTTTGTGATCGTAGTTCGTTTTCCCTTTCTCTAGCTTGTCTTATCTCACGTTCGATAGGTGTTTCTTTTTTCGGTGCTTGTTTTTTGGTAACTTCTGACTCGTCCTGCACATTTTGGCTATGTGGTGACTGACTAGATAAGAAGGAGTTGAATGATTGTTTTTGTATTGTTGGTGTCGGTGTTTTTTGTTGTTTCTGTGTAGGTGTTGTTTTCTGTACTGTTGGAACTTCCTGTTCCAGAACTTTCGTTGTGTTTCGTGTGCTCTGATGAACAGTATTACGTTGTTTTTGCAAATCCTCCTCTCTTTCCCGATGTTCTCTTAATTCTTTGGCGATAAGACTTTCCCCTTCATGTTGGTATGTTGCTATAGCCTCTTCGTATGTGATGTCTTCATCATTTGTCTGTGGTTCACCATTACCATACTGATGGGATACTTCTTCCTCTCGTTCACGCTGAAGTCGGATTTCCTTAGCAATTACACTCTCATTTGCATCATTTTCTGAATCTTCCTACAATATATAAAATTTTTGTGAATCTACAAGTTTTTGTATTTTCTGTTTGATCAGTTACTTAAAAATACTCTAGTTTGAAAAAAGTACCATAAAGAACTAAGCAAAACTCAAATAAGCTTTAAACAGGGCAACAACAAAAAAACCTTGTGAAAAGGTAAAACTAAAAAACAATTGCATAAAGTAAAAATACCTTAAAGAACACAGAATTATGTATAAGAGGAGATATGATGTATCAAAATCTTATAAAAGAAATATCACATTAGTAAATAAACAATTTGTAAGAAGTTTCGGCCCTGGCATCATCAGTTTCTCTGTTATTTTTCTAAACTTCATGGTAGACAAGTCACTTTTCACTAAGTGTAAGATGTTTGGAATTTCTATATAAAGAAATAATGTCAAAAGAAAGAAAGAACACTGAATCTAGAATTTGTGAGGCAATGGCGGAGGAAGATAATTTTGAGTTGAGGATGTAAGTTCGTCTAAGTCTGGAAATAAGGAGGAAGGAGAATATAAAAGTATCTAAAAGCTAAAAAAGTGGGGTATAAAAAATCTCTTCCCATTTCCAACCACTTTTGAGAGTTTCTTTGAGTGAAGTAAATTATACATTTTAGAATCATGAATCACAAGCAGAGCTCAGCTGTTCAAATAACACTTCACGTGTTCAATAAGTTGTCTTTTAAAAAGAAGAAATTAACTGACAAAATGATTTTTGAATTACCTTTTTTGATGATGTTCCAAATATTTTGTTACTCTCAAAAATAAGCATTGTTAAATAATACCTGGAATCTTAGGACCAGGTAACGAATAACTTTCCCGGACATGTGTAATATCGCCTTTTTAATGTATTAATCATTCACTGCAACAGCTTTTAAAAATCAATACAGCATTATTTTCTGTTTATTCCTCACTGTTACTTTAAAGGAATTTATTCAAAACTGCTGAGAATTCTGTTCTTCATATATACATGTATAAGTTTTGTTGTTATAATATATGGCTCTACGTAGGGAAAAGTTTCATTTGTCATAAGAAATTGTTCTATGTAGGTAAAATTTTTGTTTGTCATAGGATGTTTACCAATGAGTCATTCAGAGGACCTGTGATATTCTTACAATAATCACACCAAATTTAAAAAAAAATACTTTATAAAAAATGTTAAAAAATTGCTACTTCTTTAGACAGAGAAAATAAGATTCCCTGTGTATTATTTTTCTGTTTCCTTCCTCAGAAGGTGTACTTTTTAACTTGGGGGAAAGTATGCTTTACACCCACTCCTTCATAAAATTCAATTAAAAGGTACTGAAAGGTTTTAAAATTATATGAATTACTTTCTAATAATGAAATGTTCAAGTTAAATCATGAAAACTAAACTGCCTTCATTATTTTTTGCTCAGACAATAGTTAGAATTAATTTTTGATAAGTACATTTTCATTAATTCAACCACGACTGACGATATATACAAATGTATACATATTGAATACAGGAAATTCTTGGTACACTTCTTATCATAAAAGAATGAAATTTAAAGCTTCAAAAAGCTTAAAAAATTTACTGAACTTTAAACAAGAGCAATACAATTAAAGAGTGTAATTTATAAAAGAAAGCCAAACAAAGGATATGCATTGCGTAATAAATTGCTTTTCTTGCTGAAAGGTGTTACAAGAAGATCTTTTGGATTAGAAATTATTATTTTTACTGACTGTACAAAATTGACACCCAACAGTAAAAGTTATTTTATAGAGGTGTTGTTACTGATATAATTATCATTAATATTTTAAGAAGACAGTTGGTTTATATTTCACTAATCTATAGTTTATGAAAACTTATATTCAGATTGTTCTGTTGGATTTCTTGAAGAAAAGCAACTTTTCTGTTCATTAAAATCCTTGTCTATGGACAAATTTTCTAGTTTTTCAGATTCCAAATAGAAACTTTAGAACACAAATGTTCTTACAACATGTGACAAACCAAGTTTTACAGATAAATATTAAGTTAAATAACCTGCCATTGTGACAAGTTGTGGTAAGAGAATAAAAAAAAGAAACAAAGGAGATATGCACTAAGTTACATAGGTAATTCATTACATCCTGGATATTAATCAGTCATCAATCATTCAATTAATTAATCCAGTACATCCTCATACATGTAAATTTGACAGAGATATCTTTGTAAATGTGTTAGAGATATCATTTTATTTTATTCTCTATCAAGCAAGAGGACTAAAACTCAGGACGTTGCCTTAATAGGATGTGGATAATACAAATGTTTCTTCAAGTGAAAATCTTATAGCTTTCCTTTTTTGCAAAGTTTAGAAAAGAATATCCTCTACAAGTTTCAATGTGATGTCAATATACCCAGGAACAAAACAATTCTGATCAATATTCCCATCCCAGACATCTCACTGCCCATCATTGTTTCCTTTATCGAAGTTTTGTATTAAATAGTAATATATCATTGATAACTTTTTAATAAAATTGTTAACTGAATATGGGTGGGTATTAGTGACATAATCTTCTCAAATATTTCCCTTACAAGGTACAGAAGAGAACGCTTTTACCTGATGATGTAAATATGTGAACCAGAATACAAAACTTTTATAGATTTTAATTTTTAACCGTTGGAAAAGAGTCGTAAATGAATTCAAATTTCTAATCTATATATAGTCTTATAAGTAAAAATCAAATTTTTATGATACAAAATTTATGAGAAGTTAATTGTTTATACCCCTATATAAATCTAGAGTCCACTTAAGCTGTAATACTGACGTGGATATATTATATAGAAGTTTCATTCTAAAATGATGTTTTAACCATATGCCTGGCTAGCTTAAAGAATCCATGCATACAAAATAACCAAATGAAGCTTGAACTCATGGCTAGTGTAATCAATTATAAAAACTATAATATGAGGCTATGAATCTGTAATACTTTCAAGTTAGCCTGGTGCAAGAATGATTTGTCTTCTATTCTATTAAGGAAAGTGTATGAAATACACACATTTAATTTCAAATCAAGGGCTTCCTAAGATTTTAAACACAAAGGTCCTGTTTTACTATTTTATGTTAGTCTGAAACTTTTAGAAATGAATTCAAAGTTAAAACTAAGTGTTCAACCTAATGCTTCAGTTAGTAAAATTTTATCAATCCAATGATAATGTCAAAAATTTCTATGATATCCTTTTCAGTTGAGATTATATTTCCTTAAACAATTGTGTCTCTGTAACCTTGGAAAAAGATTGAGAAATGATTAAGTATAATTGATGACCCTAAGCTGATTTTGATAGGTCTTAGACTTTCATCAGTCAATATATTTGATTGTTAGTGAACCAATACAAACCTGATATGTTCGTACTTTCAAGGCTTTCTCTCTCTCTTTGTTTTCTAAGATTTCCTGTTGTATGATTGTCTCCCTTTTCTGAAGCTCAGACCCTCGGTCTGCTTCTGTCATTTCATGGTACATTGTCTGAAATTCTTTACTATTATTATTATTTTTCTTTTCAAAGTTTTGTTTAGATTCTGCTTGGCGTTTGATTAATTCCAATCTCTCCTCTTGTTCCTTACGTAACATCTCCTCACGTTCATTGGCAAGACGAATCTCTCTATCTATGGCACTTTCACTAGCATAAGGGTCTACATCTGTGTCAGACATTCTGTCTGGTGATTCGGACCTTGGAGTTGTGATAGCAGGTTGTGGATCAGACTTATAAGGTAACTTGACTTCCCAGCGTTTGGCTGGAGAGATGTTCTTTGCTTGTGGTTTAATAGGTTCGTTACTTGTTGATCTGCAGAAAGTTTCCCACTGTTTACGTGTGGAAGACAAATCTGCAATCGACTCACGGTCAACAATTTCAGATGTGTCTGACTCTTCAACAATATTTTTACTGTATAAGTCAACTTTTTCTGGTTTTTCTTCCCAATTTATTCCATTTACTGATTTTGTGTTTTCACGCCATGAATTGGATGCCGTGTTAACTTCTATGGATGGATTACTAGGAGCTGAAAAGTAAAAATTACCATTGAGGACACAGAACAAATATATGATACACAATCTATCAATATGTGATGACAAATACATGTACTGATTATCTACACTGTGATAAACTAAGCTAACCTGGAACTAACAGATAAATTGTATCTATTCAATTCATTCATTACGTAAGAATTAAGACTATAATCAATTATCTAGAAGCATTATTTAATAGATTATATATTTGATAATAACTGTACAGATGAAAATTGCATGAACAAATATGTTCAGGTTTTATTCTCCTCCAACCCCAAAAAACTTTTAGATGTTTATCAAATCAATTCTGGAGCTGTTATGATCTCTCAAATATATTATCCAAGCAGATACAGTTACCAGACTTTGTGAATCTATCAAGTTATACATGCTGCCATTTTACATTGAATCAATTTCTAAAAACTATGAAAATAAGATCTTACCTGAAGTCAGACCTCGTGTACATACAGACCAAAATGAACTTAATCAAGTATGCAGAATACACAAGATAGGATCAAACTTTAATATCAAAAGACATTGGTTCAATAGCGAAACCTACCTTGATACATGTGTAAATCCAGGTAATCAGACAGGTAAAAACTATACCTGTATTACAAATTAGATATTGTCTACCTCCGCAGGGTTACATCTATCTAAATGAGATAGTGTCACTAGGCGGTTATGTTTTACTTACAGATCCAAGATCTGTAATCCCGACATAAAAAATCTATTTACCTACATTGTTTGTACTAAATGGTCACATGACTTATTACGGCAGTAAATCTCACGACAATAAAAATCAAATATTTTATTCATGACGGAGAAAATTAAATAACATGCATAATAGATAAATATTTGCTGAGAGTAAATCTCTACCAAACCTACCTTGCCAAAGTACATACCCAGAATATTTGACTGTTTATAATTGACATTCTCAAATTTGACAAAGTTCCGATCTATTGTCATTCTGATGCCAAGTTATATTTGGATAATGGAATTCTATAGCCTAAATTTTATGTCTCATTTTTTATCAGATATAGTGTTATGTAAAATTAGGTAGCCTAACTATTGGAAGTGAAATCAACATTATACATATACAGCATTTAAAATACCTCAAAAGTAAAACTAAACCACTCAATTTGTTAATTTTTAACTAAATACCGTGTATCTATATTTGAAATCTTAAACATTTTTTGTATAGAATTCAAAGAGACAGCGATTAAATCTTTTCAAAATGTTTAAATTGTGACTATCTGCAAGACAATTAAAACGTTACTGCAGATTTAAACTGACAAATCTCAACTTTCCCTAAACTATGAAAATAATTCAAAATGAGAGAAACAATCCTCTTTCCCAGTCATACCCCCCACCCCCAACCCCACCCCCATTTCAAAAATAGAACACTGCAGATAATATAAGAGATCACTAGGCCTATTGTTGTTTGTTATCTTTGAAGTTGCTCAGAGTTCTACAGTAAGAAAACAATTGACCTACACCTGACAGCAAGATAAATATCATCTAAAACATCTATAAGACAGAAGTGTACACATAACAATGATACTATTCATTTTTTACTCATTGTTATTTAAAAGATCATCCAATCTCAAAAGCTAAATATTCATCAATGGACCATGAAAATGAGGCCAAGTGCCCTGTCAGAGAGCCATGTAAAAAATTACAATGATTCTGAAGAACAAGTATCATAGTGTACTTGATTCATAAACAAACTAAGAAACTGGCCTAAGAGTCAATGAATGAAGAATAAAGAGGAGGTGCAGATCAGATTTTCTCTGTAAGATGGACATGTACAGCTTATAATGAATCTATAGACCAAATATATCTAAGCTATTATGCACGGTAACTGAAAGGATCATCAACTTACAAACCTTATATGGTATTTTTGTCACTGAATCATGCAAAATGAGGCCATAGACAAAGAACATACAAGGAATATTCATTGCTCTTGCAAAAAAATGTCTTGAGGAATTGTTAACATTTACATAAGCATTCTAAAAACATTTTGTGTGGGCTAAAACAAATATGGAATAAAATGTAGTACTAAAAGATACCAGAAATATATGATAATGTGAACAGCCATCATAAAATGTATGGTTTTATATCATAGATCATCAGTTAAAAGTCTGTATGTTTTATTGTTAACACATTATCTATGTATTTATGATACCATCAAACGTTTTGTTTTATGGTACAGAGATATATGAAAAATGACATATTATAAAATGTCTTTAAGGATTATATAAAAATATATATAATGAATAATTAAATGTTTTCTCCTTAATTCATAGAAAATAGATACAAAACAACAAAAATACATATGAACAAAGTTTTTGTTATCAGCTGAAGGCAAAAAAATGTCAAATGTTGCACGACAGAACAATTATAATAATCGTTAAAGGCAAAGATTCTTGAAAAAAACAGGCATTTTTTTATGAAACAACAATATTAAATCAGCTGAGGGCAACATCTAAAAAATCACACACATAACAAATCAAAATTGTTAACTATTGACTAGAACATAAAAAATCATTTTACTTAGAATACTGAGAATATTTCCTTTTATATACATCTTACCCCCATTCTCTGGCACTAATTTCAGAATAATAACTGCACTAGATGAGTAGATTGGAAAATCATCCATTTTCTTATTTTAATTTCACTCCAAATATTCATAGAAATCAGCCATGACATACTCCATGTTTAATATTAACTGGAACACATTGAAACTATATAGGTACTCAAACTAAATTATCTAGGTAGCATTGGTCACCTATAAATTAAATTATCTAGGTACCAGTGGTCACCTATAAACTAAAACTGAAAGATGGAATTACTACCAACAATGGAAGCCTAGTTTCCTTAGATACAGTCCATCGTTAGAATATCATGACCCATACTGAATTAAGATAACATTGAGATAAATTACGACAGGTGCTTCCCTTGTCCCTATCTATACATCCTGAACATATATTTCACCTGTAACTTTCTCCTTGTAGGCTGACCGAACCCTGATGTTAAATTCTCTTTCGGACATAAAACTTCATGTTTAGCCCAAAGATAAAACTTGTTCTACTATCTATAATGCTTCAGAGGACAATGTCATTCATAATTTTCATATCAGAAATATATGACTATATACCGTAGGTGTTTATATTAGATTCTCCAAAATTTGTGGAACAAGGAAAATATGATCCCCCTTTTTCCCTAAGACGCTTTAGTCGGTAAAATAGTGACAAATCTGACTCCTTTTTTTCAAGATTTTAGCCAAGTATTATTTAATCTTTATAATACTTGTTAATATATCTTAGTAACAAGGATATCTTTACAGAAACTCTACAGTACAAACTATTCTTTTATCCTGTGTAAAACACAGTGGACTGAATTTGAACAAATTCCAGTGTTCTTTAGCTTGAAACCTTATACAGAATCAACTGCATCATATATCATTTGAATTTTATACATTTACAGAGCAAATTTGACAGGTGTTATTTGAGTCTAGTAATTTAGGATCTTGCCCATATTTTTCACATTTCTAACTCAGAATATTCAAACAAGTAAACAATTAATGATATTTAAAATATTTAAAAGAATTTCTCAAGTGTAAACTAAACAAAAGTTGGTAATACTCATATAGTATTCCTTTTCAGATCATTTAAGTCATCACACACTAAACATATCAGAGCTTTTAATCTTGTTTAAATGCAGACCAAATATGTAAACATTCTGATGAAAGAGCATACCAATGAAAAAAGAAAGACTTAAAACATTATCTGATAAACTGGCTATAGTGTATAATAGCCATACATACTTAGTTGAGATATTGGACAATAGGAAAACAAGGGGACAATCGATAGGTCTACTCAACAAAGATCTGATGATATAAGAGATGCTTTATGAGGATCCAAGCAAGCAAAAATTTCAGTATCCCAGGACCTGTATGTGTAATGATGATTAAAACTTTACATAATTCTTTTGATGTTTTCAGAAAGACTTCAGTCATATATAGAACAGGATAAGCTAAGGTTGAATAAACATGAACAAATTACTTCTGAAAAGAACATCAAAAACTGTTTAAAATTGGCATGATTCATAAACAAATTTAATGAGCTACATCTGCTGCACAAAACGTTTTCCATGCTAAATTTAAACACTTTAAACCCACAGCAACTATATAATCATAACTTTAAAATAAATTGATCTTGAAAAAGACAAAATTGTCCTATGCATCATATTTAACAACAGTTAAACAGACATTTTATGATTGATTGATTTGTTGATTACTTAACATCCAGTGGCAAACAGACATTTTATGACATGTATGCTAGAAATATAACAAACTCTATGGAGAATAAATGTGAATCAGCAGCAAGCTAAACTGTTACCAGGCAAGCAACCTCTTGACGTAACCATTTAAGGACAAAGGTTACAAACGATCCTCAAATTCTCCTGTTTATATCATTCTATAGATATTAATCTTCTTATTTAAAACAAACCAAAAAACCAATGATCTTCATTCCTCTACAACGGGAAAAAGTAAGTCAGATATCTTAGACACTAAACTATGGACAGAGGCGTGGACAACTCAATGTTTGTTCTTTTAAGTAAGATTTGCACAATTATGTTAGACAACTTGCCTATTTTCCTGTTTTAATTGTAGAAGATACAGTTTAAAGCTGATTTCACAATAAAAAATTGTATAACTTAAACTAATAGTTTTGTCTGATTTGAGATAATTACAAGTGCAGAATCAAACCTCCACATAGGAGACAGAAGAATGTAACAGATTAAACATGTACTCCTTTTAAAAGAATGTCAGCATTTAACAAAATGAAAATTTAGTATGTAAAATATGTACATTAAAGAATTTTGTCCTATGTTTTGCAAAGATTGCAACATAAACATATGAACCAACAAAATAAACATTAACATTAACTTACACAGACAGAATTCTCTTAGCTATGATTACTGGCGTGTTTTCGGATTTTGAATCTTGCCAAATAAGACTTTCACTATAAAACTTTGATTAACAAATTTGCAAAAACAAACCTTAATTCAAAATTATCAGTATATTGCTTCATTTCATGTTTGTTATGGATGCTTTTGTTTGTCTTTTCTAATTTAACTTAAGCTGAGACAGTTGACAATTGTAACCATTTACAGCTTACGTATCAATACAGATAAACAGAATATATCTTAATTGATCATAAAATGCTTTAAAAACTAAGGAATATCTTTAACTCTCAGGGAACATTAGGATTGATAATTGTAAAAATGCTTTAATATTGTTTACCTGGACGGGAAAAAGTGTTATAAAACATTGTAATATCCCAAATGATTTCAGCCTGGTCCACATTGAGAGATGGTCTGAGGATAATTTGTGTTTTTATGGTTTATTATTAGTAATCAATATAATATGTTTCATCAAATCTATACAGTGTAACCCCAGATGTTGTTCTGTCAACCTAATAATCAATTTCTTAAATAAATGTAGGAAAAATATTGAAATATATTTAAAATTGATGTGTCTAACATGTCTCATTGATAAACATGTTTATGCACCATAAGGATAGAAATTTGTTTTAGAGAATGATCAAGTATTGATAAAATGTTGGTCAAGGTATTGTGTTTTATCATTCAAATTAGCATAGAATAGTAATTAACATTTTGCTTAATGGCAATTTCAGAGAATATTGATAAAGGAGGCCTGAATTAATTTGTCACAGACATGACCCTACATATACATCACTAAATCACTTTTACAGCCAATGTTACCATTTGTGGTTAGAAACACCATTAACAGAAAACAAACCAAAATAATTGAAAAAAGTGTCTTTGACCTAACATGTTTCTACCCTTGGTTTCTGTGATATGGGCAATTTAGAGTTTAACATATTGTGTGGACACCTGTCTATTGTTGAAGACTGAATGTTGCCCTCTAGATGTCTTTTGGTTATTTTTGTTGTTGAGTTGCTGTCTCATCGATGTAAACTCAACATCTCCTTTCATTCATATAAATGGCAATTTTGACTTTTTTCAAGATATGATGATCCAAGTATTGTTGAAGTGTTGGTATATAAAAAAAATATAGTTGTGAAACACAATTTAACATCAAACTGGGTTTTATATTTTATACAAAAGACTTCAGAGTATCCAAAGTGTCAAATTTAGGTTACGGTAACCCAAATGTTCCAGAAATTTTTATATTATGAAAAAGATGTAGAGGTAAAAAACTCAGAATTTCTGAAACAAGGATCTGAAAAACTTAAACAATATTGTTCAAGTTACATAAGAATATTTTTTGTGTTTTTGAGGTAGACATGTATAATACACTTAAACTTCATGAAAATCAATCATGATTCATATGACTTAAAAATTTTTGTACTGAACAAAGGGATTGCAATGATGAAATATGATTGATATACCACTATGGATTATTGGGAAGCTGACTTAAATTCAAGTAAAGTAAATACAATCATGATTTGGGTATAAATTTTATTCTATTTACTACAGAAACATATTTTATCAGTGTGTGAGATGCAAGCATAGTATTTGATCAAGAAATTCCTTTAAAATTGATTTTTTTTCACATTTAATAAAAGCAGCACAAAAATTATGAAGTACACATACTTTTTGGTTCTTTTCATTGCATAGTTACTGGGTATCTTTTATTTAAAATCAGTGCAGTTTTTTTTCGTTATTTCTCAATACATATGTACTTGCTGAAGCTTGGATTATTAAAGCAAAGAGGCATTGCATATATATTTACAGTGATGCTGGGAATTCTAAGGCAATAAGATAAGCAGAGACAACAGAATATCTTACTTAAATTACTGCTATCTTCTTCTGAAAAATCAATTATACTTCCATGAGCTATATTCATTAAAACGTACTATCTATAAAGTTAGCATCTTTAACTGTTGCGTAAAATTTTGTGATTATTTCCCAAATGAGCTGTATTTTTTTCCAATGAATAGTGGAACATTATCGTATAAGGGTATATCAAACTTATGATTACTTCACAACTAAGGAAATCATTATGTGTTCACCATTATGCCAAATTAAATTGGTAACTATTTAATATTTAAAAGCACATCTGTCAGAAAATTACCATGTACATGCAAAATTCTACTTAGTTTATACATATATAGATCGTGTGGTTCATGTTCAGAATTAACTTCTGTTGTTAGATTATAGATATGTGACAAAGTAATTACATTGAAAAATCCTAATTCATTATAGTTTAACGTAGACAACATGACACACAATTATATAAACAAATGCATTGGTCGCTTGAATACTACTATTTTCTTCCTTTCAGATGAAGATCCAGGATTTTGAAAAAAGAGGGGGCCCAAAAACAAAGCAACGTTAGTAGAATATGTAAAAAATCTATGCATTAACCATACACGTAGCTCCATAAGGGGAGATTCCTTAAAACAAGCTTTGATGAAGCTATTGAAGCTTTATACTAATCCAATGATAAATATTGAGGGGTGAAGAAGAGGTCATAAGATACTTCAATCTTTCATAACTTGATAACAAAAAGATGAGAGGCAGTTATCTGTACTGATGGCAGTTTCCTAATTCAGTAAAATAGTATTAGGATTTTTTAAACTTGCTTAATTTCTTGTAATAACTTTTCGAAAGGCAAAATTTTATTTACCACTGAAAATAAATGAAATAACCTTTATGCTGTTCCTAATTCTTATTATTTTGTCAATTTTATACATGTATCAACCAAACAGTACGTCAAGTACTGCTAGTAAAATTAATTTTCGGTAACTATTTTAAATATAATTTGTAAAACAAAGTGTATTTCTCATAGACCCACCCTATGATTTCTATTCACACACCCAAACTATTAACTCCTACACATTTCTACAAAATACAAATTTATTTACAAGCACACTATTGATCATCAACATGCGAGTTGTGATTCAATAAAACTTAATCAATACTCAGATTATATAATGCAATTTCAAGCTACAGGTGAAATAATGTCTGATAAAAGTAAAAATTTCTAAAATCTACTTAAAGGATAACTTCTCACCTGAAGGTTGTACGCGGTATATCCTTACCATTTCGAAAAATCACACCTCCAAAATAATGTCAAATTTTTGTCACCATTTCAAACACCCGTCAAAACAGTGATAAATAGAATTCTTATCAATTTAGTTCAAAGTGCTATGTGTATCTGCACCCCCATCCAATACCTCGCTTCAAATATTTGGCAGGTAAATCGTCCAATTATGTGACTAAACCGTTATTATCTTTCCACTATCACGCAACGGGTAGATTGGCTGCTAATCAATGTCTAAACAATTCCATATATGTTCATTTAAAATTATCACCATTTTAAGTGTATTTTGTAATGATTATTTCCTCTATTCACTTTCATTTTTTAAAATAACTTACTTTTCTAAAATCTTACCTTTAATATTTTTAAACCTTTTGGAATATACCTGCTTTATTCAATCTGTTGCTCAGATTCTATTTATAGAATAATGTGACAAATGCAGGGATATTCCAAGGTAGCTAATGAAATTAGTGGTTGAATCATACAACTGTGTTGCCACTGTCTAGGTAGGTGCAAGTGAAATCCCTAGAAATTGCCACTGGACATAAAGCAAGCAATAATCAGTCAATCAATCATTACATATATGCTGCTTACAATTAAAAGATACAGCGGGGTTGGTTTGTAGTCAAAATAAGTTTTCTTAGTATGATGATGTATCTTTCTGACAATTTATACTTCACTGAAAGGTTTTTGTCTTAGTACAAAGTAGAAGTGAGTGAACAGGCACTCGTCCAGAAATTGATTGTGAATGTTAATTGATCCATGTTACAAATCCATACACCCATGAAAAAGTTGCGATTCTAAGATCTTTTAAATTGATATTCTTATAACAAATATATCACACAAGAGTTTTGTAAGCATTGAGATTATGAATATCCCACTCAATAAACATTCATATATGCCTGCAGTAAAGGATACTTTTTATTTAACCTTACAGTGCTTTTTTCATTATATTTTTTAATTTTTATATTTATATGATATAAACATTTCATAAGGTGTCAATCATTTTGATTCCAGACAATTTAATATATTTACATTAATGATGCCACAATATTTGTTTAGGAACAGTTAAGCACAATCCCATGAAAAAACAGATGAAAATGTTTCCCATTGCAGAAAGTCTTCATTTCTCTTGCAGCAGTTTTTTGAAAGTTATTAATCATTTATATTATTTTAAATTTCATTTCTACACCATGTAATGTAAGGTAGAGATGAGGCCTAAAATATAGCTGACAAACCCATGACAATAGGATTGTCATTGCCCTTAGTGCAATCTTATTCAACAACAACAAAAACAGTGTTACAATGTCAATTAAAACTGCAGAGGTGCAAAAAAAGTTATTCAAGGTTAAAAAAAAAACAATGTCCTCTGCCATGGTAAATATAAATGACTAACATATCAGATGTAAAAGAGCACATCAAAAGGCATGACATAAAATAATGATGAAGACACATTTATGTTCCAGTTTTTAACCACATGTTCTATTTGCTAAAAGATATGGCATTTTTTACTTGGTAGCCTTGTGATGGGAACTTTGCAGCTTGAATTACTGCCAAGTTTGGTCTCTTTATGATTGCTTCATAGATTTGTACTTTGCCTGTCTAAGGCAATGTTTTAGATTGAGCTATCACCTTTTCTCTATAACAGTTTTTAAGAAATAAAATTTCATTGAAACTAACAAACATTGGATAATTATAAATCAGATTTCTGCTAACTATCAAACCTAAGAAAGCTTTTAATGAATTTGGAAAAAAAGTCTGATCAAAGTTGTTGGCAAAAGCAACATAGCAAGTACTTGATCTATATAGCGGAATGTAACATTAAAGACAATGCTGTTACAAAATAATCTACAATCTTTACATAAATTGTATTCTAACAACTAGTATTCACTTCAATCAGACCTATAGAATGCAGTTTTATAAAGCATCAATACACATCCATTACAATTACTGTTCAACATGCGACAGAGTCATTTTAACAATTATTTTTATCAGTAGAAATATTATAAAAATCATCATACAAAAGTTTTAAAATATCATATTTACAAACCTTTCAATTAGATTTTTGTATTTGCCACAACACAACAATTCTTGGCTTTCAAAATGCATAAAACCTTTACTTCACAAATGACTGAACAGATACAAAGCTAACACTGAGCATATTATTTCCCCACCCGTTAATGGCTACACAAACTTACCAATACAAGTTGTTTACCTGTTGTGTCCACCATTAAGTTACCGAGATTTTTTTTTATCTAAATAATGAAAGCTATTTTCACCTAATTACAAAGGGAAATTTAAACAATTACTGGCTTGAGGGGAATACCTTAATCATACTAAATCTCTAGTTAAACCTACCTTAACTTGTTTCATGTTGTTTTTTACCTAAGGATTTTTTTTGGACGATTATTTCCGAAGATATTGTAGTTGTGTCTACTTATAATTTTTGATAATGATCAATGAATTACAGGTTTGACCCATTAAAATTACAAACTTCTTTCAAACCTTTGTTAAATTTTACAATAAAATTTCATCAAATTAAATTTTAACAATTAATTGCTGGTTTAAAATATCTCTAGTTCAAAAATATGTGAATGTTTTCAATGGTAGTCATTATATCTTGTTATTCTGAGTATATCAACTTCTCAAATAATCTTATTTTCAGTATTTTATTCAAAGTACTATTTTCCTTCAAATAAAATCAATGCACGGTTCTTGGAAAGTTAAAGTACTTAATAACTGTCAGAGACAGAGAATGTATACAATAAAAAGTATTAGGTCGTATTTTAAAAAATCATGTTATCTGAGGAGCACACCTTCAAACTTGAGTTTTCTGGAAATTTGCACACATTTTCTAGACATGATATCCATCAATGGCATCATGCCTTTACACTGATTAGGTTTGTTTGGGTTTTTTTTTATTGGGAGGGAAACAGGTGTAGAGTACTTTCTTACCAAAAGATAAAATTTATAAAAACAAAAACAAAATAAAAGATATATCATACAGCACAATCTACTTACATGTATTTAGGGTAAGTTAATAAAACCATCTACTGTGTAAAATTGAATAAGTTACTCCCAGAAGTAAATATAGTAAACGAATGTCTTTGGACCAAATTAGAGACCACAAAAATCAATTTAAACTGAATAATGAAGATAATTTACACAAAGCAGATGTTAAAAGAGTTTTAATCCAGCCTGTGGAGACATTGAAATATTTGTGGACTTAACTTTCAAATCATGGCAATATGTTATTTTTTTACATTTGTTTAAGACCAATGAAAGTTTTAGTGAGACATTTCTCTCTTTGCTGTTCCAAGACATTGGCATATTGTCAAATGCATCTCTAAGTTAAACAAAAGAAGGTCATTTAACTTACCACAGTTTTTACAATTGTTGATCAAATTCAAATGAAGCATTTTTAACTTTCTACACCTACTACCATACTGGTTCACCATTTTGGACGAAAAAAAACAAGGTTACTGTTTAATGACTGATGTTTAATTTTGTTTTATTTGAAAAATACAGTTTTGTTTTAGCTTGTCTGAACAAATACTTGAAAATAAACAATAAGCTAATTAATAATTAGACCAGCTATGTCAATCTCACTTTAATCCTGTTAGCTTTAACCTTTTTTTCACACTTTATTCATTTTAATAACAATAAATAAACATTTCTAATATATATCTACTTTCCTATTAAAATGTTCATATAACAGATAATCAGGTAAGACAGAAATTTACATGTTTTTGTTTGTTGAGGATATCTTTAAAAAAAAAAAGTAAGATTTTTTAGATATCCTTTTCAAAACTTCAGAATTTTCTCCTTCCAATTATCTTAGTAATTTAATCATTTGTCAATAGAATTATGTAATCATGTGACAGGTAAATATTATGTAATTTTAAATATTCTGAGGGATAAAAGGCTACTTACATATACAAATCTCAAGTACAATGTGTTGCTAAAATTGTTTTAAAAAGTAACAATAACCTGCAGTTTGAAACTTTACAAAGATAATACATTCAAGTCACATCCAAACATATTTTATAGTTAGTGAAGTGTGACTTTTAAGGAACAATTTATCATTAAAAATCTTCAATAAATTTCCCTTTTAATTTTCTTAATTTTATTTTGAAAAGATTGACAGAAAAATAACTGGGAGTAAAATCTATTGATTAAGATCTTAACTTTATAATAAATGTCCCATTATTTTTCATGTTATTTTTCTATGGAAAATTTGATGTTTTCACACTACCACTATATAATTTTCAAATAAATTATGTATAATATAAAACCAACCAATAAATCAGTTGGAACAACACCAATTTTACAGAACTCACCTTGTATTATCCTTTTTGACTTTGTGCTGTCGTCAAACAATACTAAAGTTACAACTGTCAGCGTTACAAGGAAATGTGATAACCCCAAGCCAGAGTGAAGTTTTTACACTTTTTAAACTGATATAACATAATTATATGATATATATTACACCTATCAAATCAATTAACACCTGACAGGTAAGTTTACAGGTGTATATATTTGAATAATCGAGGGTAAGGGAAATAACTCAAAATTCTATTGCAAACAAAATTTAGCTATAGAGTTATTTCCCTTTGATCATAGGCTTTGCATACCTTCTTCATCACTCCAACCAACGTTCTTCCTCTTGACAGTACTATTTTGAATGACAGCTTTCCTATGGGCATCAACTTCCTGAATATGGGCATCAGACATCTCTTTGGTGTTGGCTCGGATGTGAATTTTTGGAGGTTCATTTATAATGCTGGAGAATTTGTTAGCTTTGGTCACGAAGGATGAGGAGTCTCTGTTCACAGGTGGTGATGTCATAGATTGTGGTTTCCTTGGCGATGATTCAGGTGGTGACATAGATCCTGGGTCTGATTCTACATATTCTGTTTGTACTTCTCTGATGGTTTCCTTGACAACAAAGCCATCTGGGAAATCCTCCAGTGTACTACTGAGACTGAACTGGTTAGAGTTGTCTGGGTCATTGGAATGCATGCTTGATGCCATGTCCTCAAATGCTGAGTCGGTCTGTGATTCTGGACTTCGTAATGAGGTAGTATTGTATGATATCAAGTGGATCTCATGGTCCTCATCATCAAGAGAGGTAGGTAAGGTCCCAGTTTCTCCATCACCTAGTAACATAACAAACAGTTAAAATCAACAATCAAAGAAAGATGAGATAGCTGCATGACATTAAATACTTGCAGAGTAAAGTGATGTTATTGTTTCAAATCAACAGCTCATGTATCACTGAAAAGGTGTTGTAATAACTGTAAAATTTAAGATGTACAAGAAAAGCATACATGAGGGGGTGGACAGCTTTTGAGGGAGGTGGGCAGGAGGTGGGAGAGAAAAAAAGATTCTAAAGTGGGAGGTGGGAGATAGGGGGGCGGGAGGTGGGAGAAGGGTACCCCCCTGTCCACACCCTCATACATTGATAGTATTTTATGACATGTTTTCACTTGGTATGATTTTAAGCTTAACATATTGTTTAGAAACCTGTCTATTAATAAAGACTGTATGTAGGCCTCTAGTTGTCTTAAGGATATTTGCTTCATTGGTTTGCTGACATGTATACCATATACCTTTTTTTTCATGATACAAAGTTTATTTTCATCTTATGTTTTGTCATAAAATTTGTAGCCAAACATAGCAAATAGATCTGTAATTGATGCTTTTCTAAATAGACATTTCTGAGTATAATACAGACAAATATGTAACTACATCCACAAACAATTAATTGTGATCTATAAAACTCCAGGCAGTGTTATATTTTCTCTAACTGTTTATGTATGTATTGTTATATTGAACAGTGGTGACATAATTTGCAGAATCTGTACAACTGTTGCACTTGTCTGTTGTTAGTATTGATCACAGTGTAAATTGATTCATGCATGTAAAACTGATACTATGGCTTAAAATAACTGTCAGATGACAAATGGTATTGGTAACATCTTGTCTGAAAAGTGGTAGCTTCATATTTACAATACTTTTCACATTTTACCTGTCTCTTAGTAGAGACCAATCCCACTATATGTAACATTGATTTATTGCTATATGGTATGTCCTCCAGAAATGTGACAATTTAAGTTTTGCAAGTTATTGAGAAGATGAAATTGTGACCAAAGATAATACTCTGTTTGTTTTATTTCTACATCAGGATTTGAAAATATGATTGGATGTTTCTGGTTTTTTTTCTAATTGTGTTTGTGGTCATTTCAAGTTATCATTCTATATGAAGATATGATTAGGGGTTTCAATTTTATAAATTTATAGATACAGTTTTGTTTATAATCACTTCAAGGTATATTTCTATACTAACCTGGTGTAAATATAGCTTCAAATCCTATTTTATCTTCCTCCGTATCAGAAAGATCAGAGTCGACCTCTACCTCTAACTCCTTAGTTTTAGCCTCTAACTGTAGATCATTTAAATAAACATCCATGTCTGTAAGAGCAGTTGCCTCTGCAGGTGGAGGACTTTTACTGATTCCAAAGAAATCATCACGCAACTCAGCTACCTTCTGGCTGTGTGGTGAGATTACTTCATCTCTAGTAGATGGAGCCTCACTTTGAACTTGTGATGATGACTGTATCTCCATGATTTCCTCCTCTACCTCAACGGCCTCCATCATAGCTAAGTTTGTATTCTGTTCAAACTGTATGTCAGGTTTTCTGACTTCAATCTTTCTTGACAGTACTGGTGTAGGGGGTGGGATATCAGGGAGGAAAGGTGGTGTGCTATCTGGCAGAGGTGGAGGTACTGATTCCAATGATGTTAGTGATGTCAGAGAAATGGTGTCAGCTAAATGGTCTGGAAGACTTTTCTCTGACTGTGTTATGTCACCATAACCTTCATTAAAGTCAACTAAATCGTCTGTCATGTAATTTCCCTGAGAAGTATTTACACCTGTATAACTTTCTTTCACAATAATATCTGCTTTAGTTGATTCAATAACTTTTTCCTTCTTCTTCAAAATTCCTTTAATGTTTTTATCATTTTGTGTATCACTCACAACCTCAAAATTTTCAACTTTCTTAAAATCAGAATTTTTATCAGCGGTACTTAATTCTGTGCTTACTACATCTGGATTAACAATTTGTACTTGTCTAAATGTATAAGTCCCACTTTCAACAATGTATGATTCTTCTTCAACAATTTTTTCTTCCTGTTGAGAAATTTGATTATTGTGAATCTGTAGACGGGCCTCTTTGTCCTCTGATGAAATGTTATCACCCTGATCTGATACAATCTCACTAACTTTTGTTTTATCTAAAATGTCTTCAGAAACTTGTATTTTGTTGGTATTTAAGTCATCTGTTACTTGTATTGTTTTTACAGGTACTGTTGGTTGTGGGGCTACTTCTTTCTTCTTTCTTGGAGGTCGGTTAGGTTTTCCAGGAGCACCAGTCTTAGATGTGGTCTCAACTGAGATTAAAGGTTCTCTGCTCAAAGCACTTGATTGATCATGTTTATTTAAAGTTTCTGATTGAGTTTCTCTTGGTGAATTCACTTGAGAGATGATGTGAGTATCCTCAACCTGAGATTCTCTTGGCGTACTAATAGGGGACTCAGATTTTACAGGTAACTCAATCAGAGGCTCTATTGAAGCAGATTTTACTGATTCAGGAGATTTCTTTGTTTCCTGTTGAGTCTCATTGACTGCTGGTGGTTGAGGAGCAGGAGATTTAGGTCTTTCTGAAGTCTGATTTGTACTAGGTGGCTGTGGTGCTCGAGTTTTCTTCAATGATTCACTTTTTGTGACAGGTTTTGGAATATGACTTTCTGCTGACTTTAATGACCTTCTTTGAGGTTTTTCGACTTTAGTTTTTGTTTCAGTGTCATAGGAATGATCAAAAGTGTATGATCCTCTTTTTGATTTCCTTTCCTTGAAATCAGAATCGTCTTTTTCAATCACATAGCTACGTCTTTTTGCGACATAATCTTTATCAGTAGAACTCTTGGAGCGCCTTGCAAATCTACTTTTTTCTTTCTGTTCCTCTTCTTCTTTTTCCTTTTTGCGTGCTAAATAATCTGATGGATTTCTCTGAAAAAAGGGGAAAAAATAATAACTCTACAATATCAGATTAGTAATTCTATGGATTTCTCTGAAAATAGTAAAAAATAAACCTTGTATTAAAAAATAACCTACCTTTAATAGATTTCTCAAAAAATACACAGATTGATGGTTTTGGTAGTAATGGTAATGTTATTGATGGATTTTTATGAATATAGATTTTGTTTGGACATCTTTTTTTACGGAGGAATCAAGTGTTGGTGCAGACAAATTGTTTTGGTATTTTCTGTCATCCTTTTTTTATGTATTATATATAAAACTACAGCCTTTGTGTGAACACTGAATATTCATCTTAATTCATAAGAATTACAAAAATTGCACAATAATATAGATTTACTTATAAATGCTTTACCTAGATTTACACAAACCTACCATTTATCTGAGCAATAAGATATAAAAATGCATTCCGTTAGACACAATCAAAACATGGCAGGAAATCAGACCATTGCTAACATTTTAACCTTAATCTCCACAAAGTCAAATCATATAACTCCATTTTAATCTGTTACAGATTAATTGTGTAATCGCTCTTCAAAAGTGTTAGCAAATAAAAATCTCATGTAAAAAAACATAGTACCAATACACCGCTCCAGAACAGAATTATCACACCTTGTATGACCTAGAGCCTTCATACCTCATTGAAATAAATCCCTAATGTTCAAATTTTAAGATACAGACATACCAAATTACAACAAATACCTTGACTTACTTCAGGTGAATAGCTTCTACAGGATTTGCAATAAATGTTCTTGCTGTTACATTAACTTTTATAACAATTCCTTACAAAAACCGGTCAACTTCATATTTCAAATGATAAGTTCATATGAAATCAGAAACTAAATATTTCAGTTGCAAATGATAGTTTACAGATAACGTTTATGTGAAATGTTCCTGAAAAACTTGTTAAACAAACCTGGCCACATATACAGATCTCAATTAGAACATAAAACACTCTCTAAATAAACTGTTATAATGGATTGTTCCCACCAATATTTCTCTTCATATGAAGATAAGCAATATACAGTAAGCAATGAATCAGAGATGTCCAATTTACAGAGACATATATGTCTGTTTGTTGTTATAATTTGTAATAATTTAATAGACATATCTATTTAAGATTATTTTATATTAAAAGTGTAACTTGCACTGAAAGTCTGAAAGGAATAAGCCCAAATAAATAAAATACACATGCATCATAATTTGTGGTGATGTATTTATTGACCATTTATAACTGTAAAGGGGAGACTACTATGTATATGACAGTTTTTGTCTGTCATGTATGATACATTAGACTAGACGAGATATAGATATGAAACAAATCAATCAATAATTATATGTACACTTATGTAATGTCATCTAATGTCGGAATGATTTTAAAAATAATTTGCCCAGCAATCAAATTCTTTCAATGTTTTTTTTCAACAAATAAAATTTTCTTATCTAGACCCTATAAAAATAAACTGAATCTGCTTAAATTGTAGCATGTCAACAGAAATAGTAAAATCTGTGAAAATATACATTCCAATTGCAGGATCGATAGCAATGAAATTTTCTTAGAGACATCAAGTAAGACATCCAAACATTTATAATCATTCATCCTAATAAATTATAAAATACAATATAAAATTCTGCTAAATATAACAAAAATATAGAATACAAAAAAGAATCAAGGAGAATTCAAAAATAATTTTTTTGACATACCTGATTTTTACCTGCCCAACACCACACCTAAACTGGGTATTATACAGGTGATAAAATTGACTTATTGATTTTAAATCTTGTCAACAAGCACTTCAATTTCTGTTTCTATGGATTACAAAAATGTATTACTTATCTTACTTTTAGATTTATGTAAAAATTGACCTCATTTTAAAAAAATTCTGTGTAAAAGGAATAAAAGTATACACCTGCATAAGGTATATTAAAAAAATCAGCATTCTGTCAATAATAATGAGTGAAGAAGGTATTGATGAAGAATACCAGACAAAAATCTCACGAAGTACAGAAAATGTCTTTCTTGACAATTCTAAATTTAAAATTTCACTACAAAATCAACAAGCCAAATTATCTTTGATTATTCCTTGCATGGGATCAAACAGATACCCTCTGACATCCAAGGCAAGCACACTACCATGAGGCAACCTCATTTTTTTTGCAATCAAGCACACAGAAATGACAACCAAACTCATGCAGATCAAATTTTTAAATAGACTTATTTAAAATTGTTTCCCCTATTTATGAAATTTTGTCTCATATTTGTAACTATCTACAAGGAGTCAACACATACAAAAAGCAAAGCAAATATTTTGGGTAGTCATAATTTGGTAGTCATAATGTCTTGTAAAAAATATTTTTGCTGTTAAGTAATAACTATTAGGTTATTGCATATTGAAATTGTTTTAAAAAGTTTGAATATTAATTTTCCATTAGCGCTAGTCAGTTAGTAGTCTCTGTTGTGACAGATAATTCCCAGACACCTGTAGGCTCCTAAAGTAATGTTTGATTGCTATCACAGGTATGGATATATCTTAATACCAAAGTATACTTCAATATCATGATACCTTTCAACTCAAAAACAAATAAAATTGCTCGACTCTTTACAAAGTTTTACTATACTTTTAAAAAATATAATTATCTTTTTATCAAAATATTTCAATGTATTCACAACAAAAATTTGACCAAGATTTTTTTTATCCCCTGCATATTGTTTAGGCTAAACATCTTTTAAATGTTTAATCATACAGTGTCTGAATATCTTTTCTTTTTTTTCATAAAGTAATAATCTTTCTTTGATATATGCAATCTTTTACATTTCATAAAATACAAAACTGCATCATTTAATGATATAAATCTTTTATGTAAGTGCTTTAGACAAATATTTAAGTGGTTTTACACAACAAATCAAATATTTCAACCAGATAACATTCAAGTGAACAATTCTAACACTACAATACAGAAAATTGTTAACTCACATTCTTAAGCTGTTCTGGGGGGAAGTTAAAATATGATATCCAAGTTTAACCAAACAAACTTTAAGAAACAAAATGAATTTACTGATGTTCCACGAACAAATAACTTTCACTCTGGTTGGACAGTTATGATGTCCAGTGGTCAAACTACTCAGACCAGTTGTCAGAATTATGATGATAAGCTCAAGACTTACCATATTTCTATCAAGACTGTCCAGAGCAATAAAATGGTCTCACTAACATACAAATATTGAATAAATCAACCATCAAAGTACCTATTATGTCCAAAACAATAAAACTTCCAAAAATAGCCAAATGACCAGTGCTGACCACAATAAATGAATGATCCATCAAATAATTAATTACTTGTAATTAATAGAACACAATGATTGATCATGTTTTTGTGTTTAACCATTAGTTATTTTCTATATAGGGATGTGACTTGTACTTTTTTGTCTAGTTATACTGTAAGAATATTGTTCTTAGCAAAGAGTTGTAAATTATGACTTAAATCATGCATAAGCAGCTGTTAAAGTTCATTTGAGTATTTGCATTCAAACTTTACAAAGCAAATAACACATATCCATATACAGCCATTAGATTTCAACAAAAAAGTAAAACAATAGAATCTACAACAGACGGATATAAAAAGGTATAACACCTACCTACTGGGGTTGAACAGATAACATGAGAAAAATGACAACCAGTGTTCAACTTCACTGACTATCCAGAACTAAGGAATACATACAACACTAGTATTCACACGGTACACGTGTTAAACCTGCAAGGTATCGACAGAAACTTTTGACACATGTACCTTTGTAGGAAGTGAGATTTAATGTAAAAATGATGTCTTCATGTTGTCTTGTCACAAGGTATAGAATATAATGCTCTGCAGTGCAAGTTACCAGGAAGACTCCAAGGACTTACAAATTCGGTCGGTGGGAACACTTTTAGGGATAATTCACATTATTAATTATCTGCAGGTAAAAAGAAATAAAACACAGACATGATAGTCTTCAATGTAACAAAAAAAGGGTACAATAGTTATAATATGTAGGGAAAATATTTGAGGATTACTTATCTCTAGACTTGATGTAATCTATTACAAAATCAGGGTAGAAATAAATTACAAAAAAATGTTTTTGAAAAAATTTGATATCAGAACTTTGAATAGAAATAAATCTTTCAAAACTGTACAGCAAAAGTATCATACAATATATTAATCAGATTGTTGATCCATTGTTAAATAAAACTGTACTTCAGACTTGAACATGGAGATTGATTTGATTTTTGGTGTTTTAACGCCACTTTTAAGCACCGATTTTGGGCTATTTCGTGGCGGCCAGTTTTTATTGGTGGAGGAAGCCCGAGAAAACCACCGACCTTCGATAGGAAAACTGACAATCCTAGTCAATTAAGATTGGAGTCAAGTGCACCCACAGGAGCGGGGTTCGAACTCACAACCTCAGTGTTGACTGGCTAGTGATTACAGTAGTAACTACTTAGACCACTCGGCCACCGAGGCCCCCCTTGAACATGGAGAAGGCAATGTTGTAAAAGAAACATCTTCAACTAGCCCTAACATTTAGTCAGTTTGCTTAATGGAATAAATTCCTTTGGAATCCCCTCTGTTGACAGAAGAAGCATAGACATACACAAAGAAGGGTTGAAAAGGAGGTAATGCCTATTTATATTACTGTGGAACCAAGCTTTGTTCATGAAACCCTCTTTCAGATGATTCTTAATATTAATTATCAAAACTTTTCATAATTCATGTATGATAAACATGATCTAAGTGAAAACATTTGAAAGACCACTTTTAAGTGGTTCCATTGAATCGGTGGCCGATTTGGTTAGCATATCAACCATGTTATAATGGAAGAAGTTTTTAAAAAAACAAATTTAAGGTTATATTGCCCTGAGTATTGTCAGTTTGGATTTAAGAATGCAAAATGATTAACTGCTGCAGCCCTCAGTTTGTGAGTGGAGAAAGGAAGA